GGAGGGGGGGGGGGGGGGGGGGGGGGGGGGGGGTGTTTGTGTGTGACTGGGCGATCACGCACTGGCTGGGCATACAGACAGACACTGAGCATGTCAGATAGACGTTCATAGGAGACGCTTGATGAGTGAATGAATGAATGAATGAATAAATGCAGTCGTGCGGACGGACTCTTCCTTGAAGAAGCCTCTGCTGCAGTCGGGCTGCAGTCCCGATACCATCTCCATCTCCATCTCTGCCACTTTTGTGGGTGCTTGATCGCGAGCTGGGAAAGAGGAGCATTCGCTACACAGCAGTTGATGGTCCTTCGTCGCCTGTTGCTCGCCTGTCATCGCCACTGATTCGTGATTCCAATAGCGTGATTCACTCATCGCCAACATCTCACATCTCTCTGGCGGGCTGCGGGACGCCGTGGACGGCGCTAGCGCTGGCAATGACCGACAGCGAGGCCGCATCTTCGCCTGCAGAGGTGAAAGACTCAGATGATTGAATGAACGACAAAGCAGAAACTGCCCTGTGCTTGTCCTGTGCTTGTTTATTCAGGAGGATGCTTCGGACGGCTCATTCTTTCGTTTGACTCGCACGAGTGGGCGGCAGGCGACCGACGAAGGACCGGTAAGAACGCACAGATGTGGGCATCTGATGGATTGTGATGGATACCGTCTTCTCTGCAACGAGTTAATGCAGGCGGTGCTGCGTCTGTTAGAGAACGACTGCCTCCCATTCGTGTTTGCCTGCGACCATCCGCTCCGGCTGTTCAAGTTATGGCCGTCCATAGGCACCTCTCTCTTTGACCAGGCCACCTCCCACTACACGGAGCTAGTCATCGACTGCGAGGAGCACGACGGTCGGGAGGACGGAGGGATGCGGCGCTTCTGGGAGCGGATCCCTCTCGAGGCGGCATCGCGATGGGGAAAGGAGCTGGTCAACCAGGACAATCACGCTGCGGCAGCCGCGCCGACACGAGGGATGGTGTCTGGACGTGCTGGTGGCCTTGGTGGAGAGCCACGCACATGGGCGAGAGAAGGGCAGGGCTGGCGGGTCCCTCCAGTGCATCGCATTCGAGCGCACGGCACCCACCATCTACCCCCACGAGCACCAGGCGCACTGCGTAGCGATGGGGGGCAACCCAGACGGCACCATCGCGATGCGGCTGTTCCCCGCTCTTAACGATCGCGTCTACTCCCAGGCTCCCCAGCGCACGCAGCCCACCCTGCCGCCCGTGCCCGCCACCCCACCCACCCTCCCTTCGCTGACCAAGATCATAGGCGTGTGGACCGCCCAGGGCCAGGCCATCGCGCGAGGGTGGCACACACCTGCACTCGAGGAGGTGACCGGCGGCACCGATGGCCCCGGCACCGGCGCGCCACACATGGGGGGCATCCTGTGCTCATCCCGATGCCTCAAGCGGCTGATGGTGCCCATGCGACCCGGCGACCTGGCATCTGCGTGCACAGCCTTCCCACTGCCGCCTGTGGGGCAGAGAGGGCCGCTGGCGCGGCTGCAGTGCCTGATCCTGGAGCTGTCAGATGCAGACGAGAACGATCAACTCAACGAGCTGACGGTGGGCGAGGAGGGGACGAAGGGAGGCGAACGTTAACATGGATGGATGGATGGATGAATGGATGGATGTTGCTCTGTGTGCGTTTTGCAGGCCGTGTTGGTGGCTCGTGGCTGCCGTCGCACGATCAAGTCGCTCCACATCCAGTTTGTGGACGTCAATGTGGTCGACAGCAGCCTCGTGCACACCCTGCAGGCCCTGTCGTCCTTCGTCAGCGCCGTCGCGACATCACCAGACATCCCCGTGACATACAGCCCCATCCGTGTCTTCAACTTAGCCCTGCTGCACGACCTTCCTCCTGGCCCGCTGCCCCCCTTCGTCGCGCGGGCCCTCGTCACCTTGGCCAAGGGGGCCTTCCGTGTGCAGTGGCAGTCCGAAGCGGCACACCTGTCCCACCCCATGGACATGTCCACTCGATCGGCGAAGGACCTGGCAGCCAGCCTGACGTTCGACACTGCCATTCAAGTCGAGCTCATCGACACACCCGGATTCACGCCTCCACCCAACGCCCCCTCCCCGCGCCCATCGGTGCTCGACCACCTGCAGGAGGGCAGGGCCTTCCCGAGCAGGAGCTGCTGTCCTTCAGGGCAATCTGGCCCTGAGCCAGACCTGTTCGTGTACAGCCACATCGCATCGGAGGTGCTGGGGGTGCTGGCAGACAAGATGGGGCAGCCGCTGCAGGAGCTGACTGTACCGGCAGGCAGCGAGAGGGCGTTGGCGGCACTCAGGGGCCGGGAGGTGCGCAGAGTGCGGGTGATGTGGGGTCGGTCCGTGGGTTTAGGGGACGGTGCTGCTGCGGGAGCTCTGCAGACGACCCATAGCATTGACATAGAGCTACGGGGTCAGTCAGCACACACAGAAGGAGGCCTTCTCAGCAGGGTGGTGGATGTCTGTGTCCTGTGTGTGCAGTGCCGCGTGATGCGAATGCCATCGAGTACGTGCATTCGAGCATCCTGTCTCTGCTGAAGCTGCGGGCGGCCGAGCTGAGCCTTCGAGTGCAACCGACCATTGGCACCTTCACCCACTACTTCGTCCGGGACATGATGCAGCACCGCTTCCCAGACGGTGAGATGGACGGCTACCGCATCTCGTGCACGACCGAGGAGGCCCTCAGAGGCAACGGGCAGATAGTCATCACAGCCGCCCGCATAGACTCCCTGCCGGTACAAACGAAGATAAACACATGCCACGGAATGGGTGCATCTCTGTGGGTGATTCCGGTGTCGGTTTGTTCGTTCAGGACATGTCTGGCGTGGTGCCGCTGACCGACGAGAGCCTGACGGAGCTGCGCAGCGACTTCCCGAGCATACCGCCCGAGGCACTAGTGCAACTGCATCCTGCTGACCACCGTGCGCTGCACGAGTCGGGCCGCCGTCCGGTCGACGTCAACGAGCTCATCCATCGTGCGGGCATGGACTCATCATGATGCTGGGATGGGTCATTGCCGCATGTGAATGCTGTCTGCATGTGCGGAGTTGCTTACCCCTTGCCCTCTTCGCTCGAGAGAGGGCAGCCTGTTCCACCATTGCCGTTGGATGGTGGGTGGATGTTCATATAGATGGTGGGTGGATGTTCATATATAGCTGTGGGTGTGACCATGACTGCACATGCATGCGATTTGCTCTGTCAAAAGACTACCGGGTGGGTGGGTGTGGGTGTGGGTGGGGAGAGGACAGCCAGCCAAGTGTATGTGGGTGTGTACGATTTGACTAAGTCCTCATTCGACGCACGCTGTCTCGTTCTGTCAGTCTGTGTGCCGTCTGTCTCATTCATACATGTCTCCAGATGTATCTTTCAGCCTCCAGCCGTCAATGACCGCAAAGGAAGTCAGTCCGCACATCGCACTAACCACACCAGCACAGACAGACTGTCAGACAAACCACATACAAACCACATACATGGACAGGCAAGGCAAGCACCGAGAGATGGGATCATGGCCGGCAGAATAAGTCAGCGACACCCCCAGGGCTGCCCTTTCCTTTCCGGCGAGAATTCGAGACGTTACTGGCCGGCGAGAATTTTGGACAGCAACGTCTCTTTTCGGACAACAAATATCATTTCGGCGTTCGACCTCAGTTCGTCCCTGTTGTGTTCTCTCCTCTCCGTAATCACTTCGTCGCACCAGCTCCACACCATCAAGGCACCTGGCGGTGGGTGCCCCGATGAGACCGTCCTACTCCGGCCCCCCTCATGGGATGTGTGTCCTTGCTCCTGTCTGTAAGTTGAATCAATCAGCAGCGAGATGGCACTCCCGCCAACCGACCGAGGGCGGAGCGGAGTCGTGGACATCGCTTTTCCCCTCTGCCCGCACGGAGACGCTTATATAAAAATGGGCTTCCTCACTGATGCGCTCATGGAAGGTATGTCAGTGTGCCACCAGAGAGCAATTGTCAGTCCACCGAGCACTTGATGGTCTCTGTGTTGGTGTGTGTGCCAGGGACGTGGGATAGCGGTCGCGTCCGTGAGGGGCTCACACTGCCGCAGGCGTGTGGGCTCTTTCACACTGCGTTGGAGGGGCTGGGGAAGTTTCATGAGTGGGGCATCTCCATTAATGACATCAAGTCGAATGTAAGACGACACACAGAGGGAACAGGCCGACACACGACATAACCGTACCACTTTTTGTCTCTCTCCGTGTGCGTATGGGTGCAGGGGGACAGCGTTCCTTCCGCGGGAATGGGGTGTGGTTTGATTTCGACCAGGCTGTAAGGCACACACGGCAGCACTTCTCATAGTGTCGTTGACGTGTTGGGTGTATTCCATTGATGGCTGCAGGTGAGGGCAGGGGCCATGGATGACCGTCGCCGCCACATCATGGAGGGCTCCGAGCAGGGCACTGACCCTTATCGGAGCCCAGAGGCCGAGCTCAAGCAGCTGGGTGAGCTACACGCACACACACACATTTACTGTAATCCATCCAATTTGGTGTCGTATGGACTCTTTCGTCTGTATCTTTGTCAGGCTGGGCCATGTGCGACCTCTTGCGGCCCCTTACCGTAAGCAAGTGTGAGCCGCCATCGCGATGGACACATGCGCAAAGAGATTTTGTCATGTCTCGCGTCCCTGCACCTCAGGACAAACAATAATGAGAAAACAACAACGCCCCTGGAGCAGCGCCTCACGGTGAGCCCTCATCAGTGCTGATTCTAGTGACCGCTGTCTTGTTTCCCCTCTGCAGAAGCTGCCTTTCTCACCGAATGTAGCAGCCTGTTTTCGCATGCTCTCCTTGCAGATCCGTCGGAAGCTCAAGGACTTATCTGACTACTGAACACAGGAGACGTCCACCAAACGCTGCCCCGCTCTGTCATTGGTCTCATTTGCCTCTGTCTGGTAGTTCAGGTCGATTGTGAGCTGTGGGCCCTCTACTCTCCACCATCGACAGCTGACTGAGCTGTGGGCCCCCTACTCAGAGTAGAGGGTAGTTCAGGTAGTTCAGGTAGTTCAGCTCATTTGCCCTCTACTCTCCCCCAGCTGTAGTTCAGGTCGCGAGAATCGACAGCTGGGGGCGGGCCTCTCACACAGAGACAGAGCCAGTTTTTCATCACCAACAGAGAATACCAGGAGATCGATCGCTCTTGTGCTGTATTCGGCCAGGTAAGGTAATCGGTGGGTGCGTAGAGACGCATGGAAAACAACGCACAGGTGCTTCTCTTCTGACATGCTGTGATCAAGGTCGTGGAAGGTCCTAGAAGCGATCAACGATGCGAACTCTCATACCGGCCGGCGAAGTGGCAATTTCAAATTGTGGGCAGCTTACCTGACCTGATGCCACGACACTTTCCTTGACACGTACGTGAGTGAGACACAATCCTTCGTCATGTCCTCTCTCTCTCATCTCAGATGCTCTCATATCGCCGCCTACATTTATATTCGTCAGGATCTTCCCCATAACTGAACGACTGAAGCAGATCGCCTCGTTCTGGCAGTTGTCGCTGAGCGATGGAGAACGGGATGGTTGTGTTCCTATACCGTTTGTCGAGAGAGAAAGAGCCAGGATGCCCATCACGCTGCCAGACGGCCGCCAGGGCTTCACCGCCGCCGACAAATGCGGCTCCTACAAGAAGCTGAAGGTGCATCCGTGGGCCCGCTACATGAGATCAAGAAATCGTATCACAAAGGCGCCCTGGTACGCATTGCAAACCGATACGAACGATTGGACGCATCTTGGCGGACGGATGTGTGTGTGTCTGCAGAATAGCCACACAGACAAGGGGGGTCGCAAGGAGGACTTCCAGGCCTTGGTTGAGGCCTACACCGTCATCAAGAAGGACCTCGAGCAACTGAGGGATGGCGACCCGTCTGACCCGGTACACCAAGAGCACAGCACCATCACGCTGCATTCATCAATCCTCGCATGTACGTGTGTGCGTTCGTTCGGCCGGTCAGATTATCAAGCGGCGCCGCGAGAGGAGGGAGATGTACCAGCAGGTGACCCCGCCACACACCCACACACACACGCATTCACACGCCTTCACCCACTAACTCAGATGAAGGCGGCCGACGCGGAGAGGGAGAAGGAGCTCAAGCTCATCGAACAGGAGCTCGAGGAGATCCAACACCGTCGTCTGTTGAGAGAGAGGCGGCAGCACATCCAGACCAACAAGTCTGACAGCGCCACCACAGACGCATCGCCCCGCAGCGCCCAGCGGTCCAGCTCGCCCAACACGTCGCCGTCCACCCGCCACACCCAGCACTCGCCCGACAGCGACCAGGACGAGACTGACGAGACGACCATCCGGCTGCCGGTGGGCTTCGAGGGCGCGGTGCACCTGGTGGCCGACCAGGGCGAGGCGGCTCAGGGGATGTGGGAGGGGAGGGAGGGAGGTCAAGATAGAGGGGGATGGGAAAGGGAGAAAAGGGTGCTGGGGCTGGTTCGCGCTGCCCAACCCCTTTGCATGGTGCATGTCCGGCTGCCTCGTGTAATCAATGCATCACACAACCCACCCACCCATACACACAACCAGCAGCGACACATGCAGCCAGCTAGCGAGGGAGTCGCGAGAGATTCCTTACTTTTGGATGGATGGATGGACAGGAGGACGGCAGGGAGGGAGGGAGGGTGTGTGCGTTTGGGTTGGGTGGGGTGATGTGTGGTCTGCGTGCATGGGACGGGAGAGCGCCTTGGTTATTTTTGGACTGTGTGTGGTCTGCCGAAGTTTTTGTTAGTGAGAGAGCGAAGCTCGTCTTTGTGTGTCGCCCAACGAACGGGCCGCGTGGACGTGGTGACACAATGGGTGGGTGACCACAACGAGAGAGAGCGGCTGGCCGTATGTGGACGGGTACAGTGTGATAGAGCTAGAGAGGGCGGCAGTCAGCCCAAGTAAAGGCGACATGGTTGTGTGTGTGGATGGGGGCAGAAAGGAAAAAATGCCTATCAGAAGGCACAGCAAAAGAGAAGAGGGCCCACCAGAAGGCCACAGAGAGAGAGGAGGAAGGTCACCGACATGGTTCTGAGGGAGGGGTGAGTGGGAGGGCGGTGTGTGTGGCGGCAGAGAGGCGTTTCGTTTATCGTTGCCTACATTTTATATTCGGATGTGAGTGTTGGCACAGCTGCACACGTACGACGGTTTAGTAGCACTAGATGAATGAATCATCTGGACAGAGGAGACGAAATGAGTGGTGTGGGTGTGGGCAGAGAGGAAAACAAATGCCCATCAGAAGGCACAGCAAAAGAAAGAGAAGAGGGCCCACCAGAAGGCCACAGAGAGAGAGGAGAGGAGGAAGGTCATGGACATAGCTAGGAGGTCAGCACAGCACGGCTCAGCTCGGATGTCTTCGCGTCTCCCATGTGCGCATCCTCTCTCTCTCTCTCTCTGTGTGTGTGTGTGTGTGTGTGTGTTGCTATGGTTTGTGTGCAGCCTGGTGGTGGAAAGGCCGATGCACGCACAGAAAGACATTCGCCAGCGACTGAGTAAGCGCCTGTGACCGGCTTCGTGGAAGGTCAGTGGGCTACCGCACGCACACTAGACACACTATCGTGCACACATCGTGTGTTGGCTGGTGTTGGTGTTGATGTGCAGGCTCAGGGCGTGGCTCTGCCCCAGGCTAAAGTGTTCTTCCACGATGCATTGGAGGGGCTGGGGAAGTTTCTGAGTGGGGCGGCATCAGCATCAACGGCATCAAGCCCAACGTGAGTATAACCACACGCACACAGAGAGAGACGTTTACAGAGAGAGACAGAGCAACAGTGGGTGCCTACGCCTCTGCTCTATTTGCATGTGTGTGCAGCGGACAACACGGGCAAGTGGTTCGATTTCGACGCAGCCGTGAGTGAGCCGACAAGCGCCACACACATCGCCAGCCACACATTTGCGTGTGGATGTTGAATGGACGCGTGGATGGATGTGTGTGTGGGTCAAAGCCGCCGCCACATCATGGAGGGCTCCGCGCAGCAGACAGACCCATTCAGGAGCCAGGAGAACGAAGTGATGCTGCTCGGTAAGAGTGGACTGAATGGTGGCGACACGCATACGCAGCACACACGCACCATTAATGTGTGGTCTTCGCTCAGGGTATGCAATGATGCCAATCATCAGACGGCTCTTCCAGAAGGACAGGACCGGCCCCACCGGCCGACCATACCGCAGCCCGGCAGCCCAGGCGGCACTGGACATCCACATGAGGGTCGTGGGCACCGACAGAGGCGCGCAGCCCTTGACGCATCGGCAGATGCTGGCTGTGCTCCTCGGGCAGTGAGGGGGAGGGGCACCCACACCCAGCGCATCACGACGAACACGTCCGGTGCTGGTTCATCAGATCATCAGGCGGCAAGGGCAGCCCGAGGAAAGGGGCGGGGGAAAGTGTGAGAGTGATGGGAGTGACGGAGGGCGTGCGTGCTTGGGAGGTGGGCACCCTCGCTGGAACCGACACAGGGGCGCAAGTGCTGGCCGGAGGAGACATGTAAGTATGTGGTGTCTCGCCCGTCTTTTGTTGGTGCCATTCTATCAGTGTCTCTCTCCTCCTTCTCAGATCGCCGCCTACATTTTATATTCGTCGGGCTTTTTCTTATCAGCGTGACGGTCTGTCTCACAGCACTGCTCGACACCGACCGCGAGACGACACGCCCGAGACACCAATGCTTCGTACCCGCAAGCGAGGGAGAGTGTGCAAGATGTTGGCATTCCTGCACACCGCAGCAGTTGCTGCCCTGCCGGGAGAAAGAGCCAGCATGCCCATCACGCGTGCCGACGGCCGCACGGGATTCGTCGGTTCCGAATACGTGGGGTTCTACGAGAAGTTGCCCGTGCATCCGTGCGCCCCGCTGAATGAGGTCAAGAAGGCATATCACAAAGGCGCCCTGGTACGCACTGCAAACCGATACGAATGATTGGACACATCTTGGCGGACGGATGTGTATGTGTCTGCAGAAAACCCACACGGACAAGCAGGGTCGCAAGGAGGACTTCCAGGCCTTGGTTGAGGCCTACACGGCCATCAAGAAGGACCTCGAGCGACTGGAGAATGGCGACCCGTCTGACCCGGTACACCAAGAGCACAGCACCACCCCGCTGCATTCATCAATCCTCGCATGTACGTGTGTGCATTCGTTCGGTCGCTCAGATCGTCAAGGAGCCCTAGAGATGCAGGAGAGATACCGGCAGGTGACCCCCGCACAGACCCACCGATAACACGCATCCCAACACCACACACAACACATGGCTGCTTCTGACCTGTCTGTCACTCAGATGCAGGAGGAAGAGAAGAAGAGGGATAAGCTGCCCACCCTGATCGAGAAGAGGGATAAGCTGCGCAACCAGATCCTGGAGCGCCGCCGCTTGCTCGAGGAGCACACACTGCAGCGGCGGTGCGAGCAGATCAACACCACAAACCCATGACCGGTACGTTAAGACGCCGTTCGCTTTTCATACAGCAGGTCCGTCATGGTGTGTGTGTTGCAGGACCAGCCAGCATTTGGGCGCTCGCCGTGGGCAAGTAGCTGCTGCCCTGGGCAAGCGCATGGACACTGGGGCGACGCGTGCACGTTACCTGAGGTTTGCCCTATATCACCTCGTCTCGAAGCGCTGCGAGATGGAGGTGTGAAGGGGCTCACTGGCAGATTGTTCTCCAAACCAGTGTGTTATCTGGGAGCGCGTGTGGCGTAGGTGGTGGCCTTGGTGAGGATTCAGAGTGCTCTGGACCTTGACCTGCCAGTCACCCGGCTGCTGGATCTCGGTAAGTGCACATACTTGTGTTGGAGGGCCGACACAAGTGCCTCGTGTGTGTCTGGAACAGGTGATCAGGTGCGATACCGACGAGTCCATCCGGCTGCCGGTGGGCGTCGACGGCGCGGTGCACCTGGTGGCCGACCAGGGCGAGGCGGCTCAGGGGATGTGGGAGGGGAGGGAGAGGGAGGTCAAGATAGAGGGGGATGGGGAAGGGAGAAAAGGGTGCTGGGGCTGGTTCGCGCTGCCCAGCCCCTTTGCATGGTGCATGTCCGGCTGCCTCGTGTAATGCATCACACAATCCACCCACCCATACACACAACCAGCAGCGACACATGTAGGCAGCTAGCGAGGGAGTCGCGAGAGATTCCTTAGTTTTGGATGGATGGATGGACAGGAGGACGGCAGGGAGGGAGGGAGGGGTGTGTGCGTTTGGGTTGGGTGGGGTGATGTGTGGTCTGCGTGCATGGGACGGGAGAGCGCCTTGGTGATTTTTCAAGTGTGTGGTCTGTCTGCCGCGTTGCCATTTGCCTGGCTGCAATTTGCGTGGTCCATTTGCCTGGCTGCGCTTGATTAATTGTGTGCACGTGAGAGCCTACTTGGAGAGGGGAGAGCGGCGTCACGCCATACGTACCTTCATGCATCACTTCCTACGTGTGTCCATCCATCCGTGAGAGAGAGAGAGAGAGCATCCATGTGCATACGAGAGAGTGGGCGCTTTCGTGTGTTTGGTCAGATTATTGAGTGGCGCTGAGAGAGGCGGGACAAGTACCAGCAGGTGAGCCATTACAAACGCCGATGCCCTCCATACCATGTGGCTGCCACTGAGATGCAGGATGAAGACTTAATTGATGGCGCAGGTGGTCAACAACAACGGCTGACGCCCTCCGGCACGTCGCCCTCCGCCCGATGTACATGTCCTTTCTTCATGTCATCCTACTTGTGTCTCCTGTCATGTTATGTTTCATCAGATCGCCGAATACATTTTATATTCGTCGGGATTTTCCTTATGCGTGACGCTCTCTCCCTCCCTCAGCCTGTTCGGCACCGACCACAAGACGCACACATACATATCTCATCCCAGCCAGCAGCCCCACATGCGGTGAGTGGTCGAGTCAGCAATAGCGTCATGTGGGCGCGTGTGCGTTCGTTTGTTTCGTCAGATTGCTAAGGAGCGCCGAGAGAGGTGGGACAAGTACCAAGGGCATCAAATGCTATGATGTCTCAGCTTGGAAGCAGAAAAGAGACATTATAGCCACGACAGCAGAGCAACAGCCACGACAGCAAAGCAACAGCCAAACAGCCACCGACTCGAAAAGGTAGGTTACGAAATATACCATGGTGTCTCTGATCCTCTTTTGCCCTCGCCTCAGTAGACAGGCGAAGAGACACGACACACATGGCGCAGACAGGCGTCGGCAAGACTGACAGGGGCAGGCAGCGCAAGCAGCATGATCCAAGGTGGCCAACGATACAAACAAATACCAAGACACTCTGGTCTTCCTCATCATACCTGTGGACATGCAGCACCAAAAGCTATGATCCATGGACACAAACCGACAAGTGCACGCCCACCAAAGGCGAGGTACAAGAGACATTCCTCTTCAGCTGTTCCTTAACCCTGCTGTTTGCAGGCTGAGGCCACCGACCACAAGCACAGCGACTCGCGGTGACAGACTTGAAGGAGGAAGATATGGTGGTGCGCATTCACAATGTGCGCTGGATGTAAATCTCTTCGGTATGGATGCTTTGAGGGCGCTCAGAAGGAATGCTTGGTGATCGAATGCTTCCCCTGCAAGTGGCTGTGAGTTTCGGTAAACCGGTTTACCGAAACTCGCAGAGACATACCTCTTCAGCTGTTCCTTACCCCTGCTCTTTGCAGGCTCGGCCCGCCTCAGACGAAGAAACCTAAGACGGTGCAGAAGACAGACGCCTCCGCAAGCCCCACTCCTGTCTTGCACACGGCGCCCCGGGAAAAGCCACAGGGCGCCGACCGATGGCGGAAGAGAGATATCAGGGCCCCAGACGGTCCGGTTTGTATCTCTGGCAACCGAGGAGGTGCAAACACCGACAAAAGCCATGCCACGATCGATCGGTAATGAGCGAATTGACAAGAGGCGTGCTCATTGCACCATTTCGCTTTGTCCTGTGATGGTGTGCGTAGCTTCTCTGGTGTTGGGCAACGACCGTTTGATGCTGAGAGTGGAGAACAAGACTCGGGATTCGAAACCCCAAAGTGAGACACATCAAGTACACAGACGCACACACACAAGGGAAAATTTCTCTCTCCCGTATGTGTGCGTCCAGAACGCACATTCTTTGATGTACCGCATGCTGCTCAAGCGAATGTGAGCACTTGTCATTTGAGGAGGTCATTTGTGTCTTCTGAATGAATGTAGGCTATGTCTCAACTCGAAGCAGTTGTCATGTCAGGTTGGGCCGTTCGCGCCCTCCTAAAACCCCTCACCGAGACGCATGAGGACGGCCAACAGGTCCGGGGCGTGCCAAAGTCGCCTACGTCAAGGTGGTGGCGCCCCTCGTTGGGCAGGAGATCGTCGCCAAGGACAAGAACGGCAACCCGGTGCCCCAGCTCACGCACGAGGATATGCTCGAGCTGCTGAGGTGCCGGGTGGCTGAGGCGTCCAGCCCACCCGCTGCCCAGTGAGGGGGAGAGCACGAGTGTACATGGGGCCATGGATGGGTGGGTGGATGGATGGAAGCGAGGGCGGCAGGGAGGGAGGAGGACATATCATGCCCATCATTAATGGCTTCTGTTCTGCAGAAAACAGAAGGGCAACGATGACAACATACTCCTGAAGGATGCGTTCGACCGCGACAAGGGTGTGAGTGAGAACAGGCCCATCTTTTTCGAAGTCAGGCGGTCTTCAGGTGCTGTGCGAAATGCACACGGGCATGTACATGCGGTCAAGCGTCGCCAGCGGCATCTCAAGTACCAGGAGGTCAGCATGACGCGAATGTTTTTGCGTGCGTGTGTGCGTATGTGTGATGTGTGCTTGCAGGTGCGGTTGTCCCTGAGAAGACGAACTCACGTGAGCGATAAAGGAAGGAGAGCATACGTATACACACAGACAGGGCGCACAGATCAGTGCGCGTGTGTGTGTGTGCATCAGGTTTCACGTATTTCCCAGACCTCCAGTGAGACACACAAGACGGCATCAGAAGAAACAAATACACCATGTCAGTTTCTGTTTGCTTGCAGGGAGAAGTCTATCACGATCGGTAGGCGGTGTTGGTGAGCGGTTGAGAGAGGCGAGACGGGCCGCCACAACGCGTGCTGTTCTCTTCCGTGTTGCTTCCAGTTGGCATCTTCGGATTCGTCGAGGCTTTTCTCTCGATCATGGAAAGCTACCTCGAGTGGATGCAGAAGCCGTCTGCCTTCAGGGGCCCCCGACTTTTGCGGCAAGTGCGCCCTTCCGAGCCTGGACGCCATCGCACGGGCGGGGTGGCGGGTGGTACGGGCAGGCGTCCCCATCGTCTTTGTTGTCGGCTTCGGCCTGTCGTGCAAATACGTGTGGACCTCCACAGCCTCAGACGTCTTCGCCTTCGACTCTGTGTGTGCTCGACTAGAGACGGCCGACAGCCTCGTTTCTCAGAACTGAGACACGGGTGATGGGCGAGGCGTTTCGTCTATCGTTGCCTGCATTTTATATTCGGATGTCAGTGTTGGCACAGCTGCACACGGGTGTACGAGTGTATTGCTGAATGAATGAATGAATGAATGATCTGGACAGACGGCATGCACGGGTGATGTTGCAAGTGTCATGATGCAATGCGATACTTTCTTAATTGTGCCCTGCACCCAACGCCACCCTGTACAGCTTCTGCTTCACTTGCCGCGCGCAGCTCAGCGGCGCCACAAAATCAAAGTGCGCGTGGGAAAAACCACGCCGCCGCGTAAATCAAAGTGCGAGCTCCAATGCTGGGACTGTGAGCTCGCTCGGACTTCTGCTCAAATGGTGCATGACGTGCCGCGCCCCGGGCCATATGAGCAGGATTTCTGGCTGTACGACCTGACGTGGGAGGCGACACAGCATATTGCCGCTCGAGATTTCGGCATTGCGGACCCTCGGTGAGCCGACGGCACCGTCGTCAGGGACGCCTCAGCATCGCACTGGCATAGTCTATGGCAGTCATCGGCGCCTCGTGGTCCCGCTGGTGTGGCGCGCATGGCGCTTCGTGTTTCCGACCTTGGACGAGCAGGAGCGTCTGCGTAGATCCCAGCAGCCGCCCAACGAGTCGTACAACGTGCTGTTCGTCGTCCAGACGGGGACGGACTCGACATACCTCAGCGAGAAGACCATGAAGACGCTCTCTCCCGACAGAGAGGGGACCGGCGGCAGCATGCCGGTGGAGATCGAAGGCGTCCGTGTACACTGCTACCCTTCCCACGGCCACTTCGCCGACGTCAACGTGCTGGGGATGAATGCGCTGGAGGAGCTCGGCTGGTCGGCGGTGCTCATCAACTGGGCGGGCAAGACCTTCACACTGATGCGCTGGAGGAGCTCGGCTGGTCGGCGGTGCTCATCAACTGGGCGGGCAAGACCTTCACACTGATGTCTTCTGGGGAGGGGGAAGGGACCGCGGGTTAGGTTAGTGAGTTCTGAGGATGTTTGATGTTCTTCCCAGCGGAAGAAGACAGAGGGAGGGGGGGATGGGGTGGGGGGTGTCTGCCAGGCGCTGTCTTTCTTCGTTCTTTCCCCGCTGTCGCGATCTCTTGTTTCCATGAGTGACTGTGCATGCCATGAGTGACTGTGCATGTGACGCATGGCATTGGCGACTTGCATTGTTATTGGCCAACTTCCCAAAGACACGCTACAATAGGTTTCGGATAAGCGGGACTTTTAGCCGTGAGACATCTTTTGCTGTAAGGCTTTACAATGGGCTTCATTCGATTACTGTGAACCGAAGGATTCTGACTGTCGGACCAGAAACCTACAGTATGAGGCAGCTGGTTGCGTGTGCACTGAACACGGACATGCAGCGAATACATAGTGAGAGAAACCAATCGATGTCTCTAATACGTTCACATTCACTTAGTCGACAAATCCACATCAGCCATCCAGTACTGCGTCTCCCGTCAGAGCTTTCGATAGGCTACGGTCGCCATACTCATGACTGCACTCCGTTGCCACTTTGATGGCACGTCGCACAACCACAAGCAGAACAACAGTAGACCACCACAGCCGACGAGAGGACAACAGGCTGGTTGTGTGTGTTCAACAGACAGACAGACGGGCAGACATAACCGACGTCAAACACAACTAAATAAACCGACATGATAAAGGCACCTCGACCACGTCCAAAGACAATCCACGGAGCATCTCATCTCTCGCTGGTCCGCCTGCCTAGCAGTACTCCACTCGCTCTGGAGCTGCCTCTCTCCATCTCGCGCACACACACACACACACACACGGGGACATGCACTCTCGCACCCCCGAAGACCTCAAGACCTCAAGACGGACGGACGAAAAACAGGCTCGCACACACGCTCCGCTCCCTGTCTGCCTGTGCCTGTGCGTCCCCTCCCCCTCAGTAAGCTTCGATCTTGACTTTGCCATCCACAATGGGGGCCTTGCCCTCAGCCACCAGAGCCAATGCCTGCAGCACACACACAAGAAGCCGTGAATGCACCAATGGTGTGGGTTGTGCGCTCCATCTAGTGAGCGTACCCTTGGGTAAGCCTTCCACTCGCAGTGCACCTTGACCCTCTCTGTGAGGCTCTCGGGTGTGTCGTCGTCCTCGACGGGAATGGCTTCCTGGATGATGATGGGCCCGCAGTCGACGTGGTCGCCCGCCGTGACGTAGTGGACGGTGCAGCCCGTGACCTTGACGCCCTTCTCCAGCACACGGCGGTGGCAGTTGAGGCCGGGGAAGGCCGGCAGCAGGGACGGGTGGATGTTGATGATCTTGTTGGGCCACTTGCACACAAACTCGTCCGTCAAGATGCGCATGAAACCTGACCAACGGAATAACACAGAGACAGAGAAAGATGCCCATCGTGGGTGTGCGCGCATTGGACTGACTTCCTGACTGACCGGCAAGGCAGATGAGTTGAATGTTGTTGCGGACAAGAATGTCGTGCAGGGCGCCCTCGAAGGACGACCGGTCGGGAAACTCCTTGTGGTTGAGCGTCATGTGCGGCACCTTGGCGGCCGCGGCCCGCTCCAGCCCCCCGACGCCCGGCACGTTCGACACCACCAGGGACACCTCGGCTGGGAAGGTCGGCAGCCGACAGCAGTCGATTAGCGCCTGCAGGTTCGTGCCCGTCCCAGATATCAACACGGCCGTCCTGATGAATGGATGGATGGATGGATGACCAACACACATAGACGGGGGATGCAGGCAGGTGTGTCGGTTTGTGTGTGTTGTGTGCTGTGTTGTGTGTTGAGGTACCCACCTGACTTTGCGTGTGTTCTGGAAGTCGTCGGCGGTGAGGGATGTGAAGCGTGTGGTCTTGAGCCATGAGGCCTCGATGTTGTCGAGTTTGACGCGCGACCTGGTGGGTTTGGTCATCGACTGGGACATCTCGCTCGACGACTTGCGGGAGGCGTCGTTGACGGCCAGCTGACCGATGACGAACGGCTCCTCGCCGTGGTTTGACAACTCCTGCACACACACAGGAAGGAAAGCAGACAGAATAAGTGATGCGTTCATCTCTCCCCCTCTCCCTCCCTCTGTGTGTGTGTGTTTGTTGGTACCTGCATGACGGCGGTTTCGTCGCCCTGCGCTACGACAAGGACCATGCCCACACCACAATTGAAGGTGCGCGCCAACTCACGGGGCTCAATGCGACCCTGCACACACACACACACACACACACATCATGATGGCCAAAATGCTCCTGTGTGTCGGTCATTTCGATCAGGTGTGCTGTGCTGTGCTGTGGTGCCTGTCGTTCTCACCACTTCGAGCAGCCATCTGAAGACTGCCGGCAGCTCCCACGCCGTGGTGTCGATGCGCGCCATCAGATTCACCGGCAGGATCTTGGCCACACTCTCGAGCAAACCACCAGCTACACACACACACACACACACACATACAGAGCGTCGTGTGTGCCGGTGCCCGGACCCACTCCCTGACACGTACCTGCAATGTGTGCGGCGCCCTTGAGCATGCCGCCGTTGCAGAGGGGCATGACGGCCTTGACGTAGATGCGCGTCGGGGTCAGGAACACATCGCCGAGACTGCGGGAGGCGTCGAAAGGAGCCGGGGCATTGTACGACAAACCTGACACACATACACACGCACACACGGCCACCACACGATGATCACCACCGGCCTGTCTGTCTGTCTGTCTGATGTGTCTCGTTCCTCACCCTGGCTGGCGATGACCCTCCTGACGAGTGAGAACCCGTTGGCGTGGATGCCGCTGGATGCCAGGCCGATGAGGACGTCCCCCTCCTGCATGGCGTCCTTCTTGGGCAGCACCGTGCTCCTGTCGGCCGCCCCCACGGCGAACCCAGCCATGTCGAACTCGCCCCTCGGAAAGATGCCCGGCAGCTCGGCCTTCTCGCCGGGGAAGAGGGAGCACCCCGCCTGAATGCACCCCTCGCCCATGCCCTTGACTATCGCAACCGTCTGAGCCACTCGCTGCTTCCCCGTCGCATAGTAGTCGGTGAAGAAGATCGGCTCGGCGCCGTGGGACTGCAGCGAAACGATCAGAAGGGAGAAGCACTTGTGTGTCAGTCAGGGGATATGTGTGTGGAGGGTGGGGGGCTCGGCTCACTGACCACGACGTCATTGACACAGAGAGCGACGAGGTCAGTGCCGAGAGTGTCGTATTTCTCGACGTCGGCCGCCACCTTGAGCTTGGTGCCCACACCAGCCGTGCCCGTCACCAACACAGCGTCACGGTGGCCGGCCGTCAGCAGGTCACACATGCCACTCGTGTCTGAAACCAATCAGACCACCATGACACAACACCACAACCACACCGTGAGAGCGCGGCTGTCCTCCTTCTTGCTGGTAGGGTGTACCTTCGCTCGACGCCATGCATCCGCTTCTGGATGTCCTCCTGACGTACGGTTGAATGCCGTCCTTGGCGGCGTCGCCTGCGGCCTTGTCGACGCCAGCCGCGAGGTAGGTGAGCCCCGTACCGCCCGAGACGTCGCCGTGGTGTGTGGGTGAGGACATGGAGAAGATCGACTCGACCGACTGCTTCTTGAGCGGGTCGGACTGCATCGTGGTGAAATCCTCCGTCGGCAACCTGACACACACACACATTCGCACACACAGAGAGGGGAGCCAGGTGAGTGCGTGTGGTGGTGTTCGTGTGTTGTGTGTCTGAGTGTGTGTGTGTACCTGAGCAGTTTCTTGCCGATGTCCTTCCTGTAGAAGCCGCCGATGAAGTTGATGCACCGCATTCCAACGTAGGCGCGGGTCTGCGCCTCGGGCAGCGACCGAGCCACAGCAGTGACGGCCAGCACACGACCCCCGGAAGTCTCCTGCGCACACAGAGGCCACCAGTGGGTGTGTGTGCTTCATATGTGTCTTGCGTGTTCGTGGAGTCTGGTGTGTGTTGCGTGTGGTTACCACAGTTCTTTGTCCGAGTGCGGGATTGCCCTTGTTAGGCGAGATGGGTCGGATCTTGGTGCCGGCGTGGAAGACCGTCACGCCCGGCACCGACATGGCGTTCTTCAGACCCGTGATCTCATAACCCTTGTGGTAAGAACCTGACACACACACACACACACAGAGAGAGAGAGAGAGAGAGAGAGAGTAGAGATACATCGGCGATGTGTCCTCCGCGCGCCGCACCCACCAGGGTATCCGCCACTGGCCATGACGACAGTGCAGGCGGCCCCGGTGTGGAATTCGACGTTGATGCTGCTGAGTCGCTGCTCGGCGCATGCACACATGAGGTCGTAGAGGTCCGTCTTGAGCAGCGGCAGCACCACCTGCGTCTCGGGGTCACCGAACCGCACGTTGAACTCCAAATTCTTGGGGCCGTTCTTGGTCAGCATCAGACCTGACACACACACGGAGACACGTGTGAAGATCTGACGATCTTTGCCTCTCTCTCTCTGTGTTTTGAGCACTGACATACCGGCGTAAAGGCATCCGACGAAGGGTGTGCCTTCTTTCCTCATGCCGTCGACGGTGGGCTGCAGCACCTTGTCGGTGATCTCCTTGAGCAGGTCCTCACACACAAGCGGCGTCGGGCAGAACGCACCCATGCCGCCTGTGTTGGGACCCTTGTCGTCGTCATACGCCTGATGACACACACACACACACACACACAGAGAGAGAGAGAGAGAGATGCACGCAGGCCAGTGGCTGTTGCGTGTGTGTTGTCCTGCGCTCTGACCCTCTTGTGGTCTTGTGCGGGCAGCAGGGGCAGCACGGTGTACCCATCAGAGAGGCCGAACACGCTGACCTCCGGCCCCTCGAGCTTCTCCTCGATGACGACCTCATCGCCGGCCTCGCCGAACACCCTGCCCTCGAGACACTCCTTGAGAGCGGCGATGGCCTCCTCCTTTGTCTCGGGCACCACCACACCCTTGCCGGCGGCCAGACCTGACGCCTTGACGACCACGTCGAATGGGCTCTCGTTGATGTACTTGATGGCGGCGTCGAGCTCACCCACACCCCTGACAGACAAAGAGCAAACAGAACCACATTCACACACAGGGGGAGAGAGGTGGAGGGGATGTGTGCGTGGTCACTTGAAGCTTTTGAATTCGGCGGTGGGGACGCTGTATTTGGCCATGAAGTCCTTGCAGAAGGCTTTGGAGCCCTCCAACAGAGCTGCAGCCTTGGAAGGGCCGAACACCTTGATGCCTGCCCACACACGCCACGCCACGCCACGCCACCACACACAGCCCCATTCAGTGTCCGGTCCGTGTGTGTGCGCGCTTCCCTGTGTGTCATGCGAGCGCACCTGCGGCGTGGAGTGCGTCGACGATGCCGTCGACGAGCGGCTGTTCGGGCCCCACAGCCACGAGGTCCACCCCGTTTGCACTGCAAAAGTCAATGACGTCCTGGAAACCCTTGGTCGGCGACAGATCCAACTTGACATTCTTGATCGTCACGCGACCAACCTGATGACGAGAAACGAATGCCTGTGTCGACGTGTGTGTGTCCGTTGGGGAGGTTGTTACCTGGACGTCTTGCGTGCCTCCATTGCCTGGCGCCACCCAGACGGCGCCCACCTGTTTGGACTGTGCCAGCTTCCACGCAAAGGTGTGCTCGCGGCCGCCGCTGCCGATCACCAAACACGTCTTGCCCAAATTGCTGATGATTGCACCAGGGGGGAGGGGGCAGGGGGAGGGGGAGAGAAACAACCAGACCAGACACTCGTGTGTGTGAGCGGCTATGTGTGTGTATGTGTGTTGCGGTGCCATGCCCACCTTGAGATGACGCCGTAGGCTCGTTCGTTTCGTCCCTCGTAGTAGTTGATGAATGCCCTACCGACGACCTTCATGCCGCCGGGCGTCGGGTAGTCGCCCGTGAAGTACCAGTCACCTGATGGATACGCACACAGCACGGGCATGTGGCTGTGTGTCGATGCGATACGATGCGTGTGTGGGGAGGGGAGGGGTCCCGACCTTTGTAGTCGGGCATCGCTTTGTGGAGGCCCTCGATGGTCTGATACACCACCTTGATCTCCGATTGGAACTCCTTCGGCCTTCAGTTAGGTCGAGACACACACACACACACACACACAATGTGCCGTGTGTGTTGGTTGCGTGTGTGGATGTGTGGAATGACAGACCTGACGAGCTGTGCGACTTTGTCGGAGACCTCTTGGTAGGTGAAGGGCTCGAAGACGGCCTTGACGTGGTTGATGAACAGGTCGGGGTCGGCACTCGCCACCATCAGCTGCTGCTGGATCTTGCACTTCTCATACACCTGCAGCCACAACACACACGACACCTCTCTCTCTCTCTCTCTCTGTGTGCTGACCTCTCTCAGTCGTGCCTCCATGCCCCTCTCTTTGCAGAGTGCGGTGGCGGCCTTGAAGGCGATGAGGTTGTCGATCTTGGCGATGTCGATGCCGTAGCAGTCGGGGTACCGAATCTGAGGCGCACTCGACACAACCACGATCTTGCGAGGCCTCAGACGGTCGAGATTCCTGCACACACCAACACAGAGACAGACGTCCTCCATGCCCATCTTCTCTCTGGTGGTGTGTGTTGTGGCTACTTGAGGATAGAGTTGGTGAGGGTGGTCCCCCTGACGACCGAGTCGTCGATGACCACGAGGGCGTCGGTGGGTTTGACGCTGTCGTATGTGACGTCGTATGCGTGGCTGACGAGGAACTCGCGGCTCTTGTCCTCCTGGATGAAGGTCCGGATCTTGGCGTCCTTGAAAGCCACCTTCTCCACTCGAACCTTCAGGGCCAAGATCTGACAGACAGACAGACAGACAGACAAGTGACATTATCGATGGTGTGGTGTCTGATGGGTGTGGGTCAGTCCACTGACCTTGCGCACTTCGGCGGGGTCTGGTGCGGGTCCGAGTGCGAGGATCTTCTCCTCCTTGATGCGATCCATCTGCTCCTCCATACCTGTCACACACACATACACACACACACGGTGAGTAGTGGCATTGTGTGTGTCTGCATGTCCCATCGTGGCCAGCCACTCACCTTTGACGAGTCCGTAGTAGGAGAGCTCTGAGGTGTTCGGGATGAAGCCGAAGACTGCATTCTCCAAATCGCCGTCGAGCGCCTGCAAAACCTCAGGCACTGACCAGACAAGACAACCATCCACAACACACAGACACACATACACACACGGGAGGGGCGAGAAAGCTCCGTTCGCTTCGCTCACCGAGGTTTCTCCCCAGCCTCTCGCGCTCACGGTAGATGGCCGCATCGCCACCCCTGACCGATGGACGACACACAGATGACAGCAGTCAGACCAGCACTATATGTGCGGTGTGTGTGTGCGCGCCGCACCCACCTACCTGGAAAAATAGATGCGCTCGAAGGTGCAGCCTCTGTATGGGAGGGGGTCGATAACCTGGCACACACAACACACAACACACACATGCATATGCATCGCGTGAGCCACACATAGGTGTATCTCACTCATGCCTGTGCTGTGTTGTGTGAGTGGTTGGTCCCTCCCTGAGCTGACTGACCCGTTCCTGGAATACGGTGCCGTCCCTCTTGATGACGAGCGCATTGCCCGGACCGATCTCACGAACCTCATCCACACCACACTGACACACACACACACACACACACACAGAGAGAGACAGAGATGGAGAGAGATGCAGCCCCATCCATCCATCCATCCATCCCCTGTTGTCTGCCTTACCCCAAAGACCGATTGGATGACGGGCCTCTCGCTGGCGACCACGGCGACCTCCTCATCGACATAGTAGAAGGCCGGCCGGATGCCGCTCGGGTCACGCAGCGCGAAGGCGTCACCGTGCCCCAGGAGCCCCCCGATGACGTACCCGCCGTCCCAGTGTGCGGCGGCCTGTCTGAGGATGCGCGGCACATTGATGTTGTCGGCGATGAGCCTGAAGCAGTCCTGCATGCCGTGGCCGGCGGCGAAGTACTTGACGTACAGGTCGTTGTTCTCCTTGTCCAAAAAGTGGCTGATGTTCTCCAGCAGCGTGATGGTGTCGCTCTTCTCGCGGGGATGCTGGCCCAGCTCCACCAGCTCGCTGAAGAGCTCGTCCACATTGGTCAGGTTGAAGTTGCCCGCCAGCACCAGGTTACGCGTCATCCAGTTGTTCTCGTGAGGGATCGGGTGGCAGCGGTCCTCGCTGTTGTCACTGTCGGTGCCGTACCTGACGTGGCCGAGGAAGACCTCCCCGGTGAAGGGCACCCGGTGCTTGAGGATCCGCCCGTTGCGCCGCAAGCCGCCGTCGAGCTCCTGCAGCTTCTCGGAGGCGAGCTTCTCGCACTTGTACATGACGTCCTTGATGGGGTCCTGAGCGATGGACCGCTGGCAGTCGATGAAGGGAAACCCCGGCTCAAGGTCCAGCTTGACGCAGGCGATGCCGGCGCCGTCCTGGCCTCGGTTGCGCTGCTTCTCCATGAGGAGGTAGAGGTTCTTGAGGCCGTAGAAGACCGTGCCATACTTCTCCACAAAGTACTCGACCGGCTTGAGCAGCCGGATCAGCGCCACGCCGCAGTGGTGCCCGATGCCCTCACTCTCCATCACTCACAACCGCCGATGGATGTGATGAATCAAATCAATGGATGGATGACAGCCGCAGTCAATCGACGCTCACACAGAGAGATCACCGGAAGATGCGAATGCTCAGAGGCAGTGCACGGCAGATCTGACGACGGCTGGAATGCCCTGCCTTCAATGTAACAAGCGAGATGCGACGGCGAGACTGCGAGCTAAGAGGCGACGATCGCAGGAAGAAGGTGAAAACCGCACTTTCTTTGGCAATGATGAACGGCGCTGGGTCAAGTTTGTCCTCTCTGACGGCATTGTCGCCTTTGGACGGTCGGTATGCGTCCAAGACGGCGGCGTTACGTGAGTACTTCAGCGAGTATGGGCTCATCAAGCATCGCATCCAAGTGGAGCTGGCGTGGCTCCACACCATGGCCGACTGCAGCGGCATCCCCGAAGTCACGCCTCTCGATGCCGCCGGCAAAGGTCAGCCTAACAGAGAGATCACAACCACCACAGAAAGAGTGACTCATCCATTCATCAGCTTGCCCATTTGTTGGCTGCGGTGTGTGCGTCAGGGGTGCTGCAGCAGCTGGGCGGCATCGGCCCGTCAGATGCCGAGCGCGTCAAGGCGATAGAGGGTGTGACAAACCACGACGTCAAGGCCATCGAGTACTTCATCAAGGAGCGGATCGATGCCGCCGGTGTGGCGTCACTGCAGGGCGTCAAGGAGTTCATCCACTTCAGCTGCACGAGCGAGGACATCAACAACCTGGCCTACGGGCTGATGCTCAAGGGCGCCGTCAAGAACGTCATACGACCCGCAATGATCAAGATCATCCACACCATTGCTAACCTCGCTGTCGAGGTCAGTGAGGGAGGGAGGGAGGGAGGGGGGAGAAAGGATGGCTCATGTGGGCGTTGTCTTGTTGGTGTGTGTTGTGTGTGTCAGTGTGCTGACGTGCCTCTGCTGTCGCGCACACACGGGCAGCCGGCCACGCCAACCACATTCGGTACCGACACACACTCAAGCGCCTCACCTGCACGGACACGCTGCTGCTGCTTTGTGTGATTCCTTCGTTCCCACAGGCAAGGAGCTGGCCAACGTGGCCTACAGGCTGCACACGCACGTGTCGCGTCACATCGACAGGGTCGAGTACATGGGCAAGTTCAACGGCGCCGTGGGCAACTTCAACGCGCACCTCGTGGCCTACCCCGACATTGACTGGCCACAACTCGCTAAGACACTCGTTGAGGTCAGTGAGCAGTGGTGAGAGGCAGCGACGGAGAAAAAGAGAGAGCGGCAATCTGTGTGTGGTGGTTGTGTGTGTGTGTGTGTGTCAGGGCCACCTGGGTTTGACGTATCAGCCCTATTCGACGCAGATCGAATGCCACGACTACATCGCCGGTGCGCAAACACACACACAGGAGAACTCTTCCCGTGTGTGGGTGCGTTGATGGCTTGGTCTCTCTGTCTGTCTGTCTGTCTGTCGGCTGATTCATCGAGCAGAGTTGTGTGACGGTGTGAGTCGGTTCAACACGACCTTGATGGACTTCAACATGGACATGTGGAGCTACATCGCACGGGACCTACTCAAACTCAAAGTCATCGCCAACGAAGTCGGATCGTCCACCATGCCACACAAGGTACACAATCACACACACACACACACACACGCACACACACACACCTTGGTGCCATCGAGGCAAGCACCCACATACATGTGCCTTTTGTCATCAGGTGAACCCGATAGATTTTGAGAACTCAGAGGGCAACCTCGGCGTCGCCAACGCGCTGCTCAGATTCTTCAGGTGACACATGACCACACACAACACAACACAACACAAGAGAACCTTCTTCATCTTCCCTCATTCTCTCTCACCTTGCTTGTGCCCTGGTGTTCAGCTCGAAGCTGCCGATTTCCCGCCTGCAGCGCGACCTCACCGACTCGACAGTGCTGCGCAACCTCGGCACGGCCCTGGGCAACAGCCTGCTGGCGTATGAGAGCACCCTTAAGGGGCTGTCCAAGGTGGCTGTTGACGAGCAGGCCATGGCGGCAGAGCTCGACAGGAACTGGATGATCCTCGCTGAGCCCGTGCAGACCGTCATGAGAAAGTCAGTAGGCCAGGGAGGGAGGCGGGCAGCGGGCAAGAGTGTGTGTGGTGATGGATTGATGTGTGTACTGTGTGTCACCGGTGTGTGTAGGGTTGGTCTTGAGAACCCCTACGAGAAGCTCAAGGCGCTGACACGAGGCCAGACGGTCGATCAGGTGGCCCTCACACAGCTAGACACTCACTCACCAAGGAAGGCATTGATCCATCCTTGTGTGTGTGTGTCTGTTGTATGTGTGTGTAGGGTGTGATGCGCGAGTTCGTCAGGTCCCTGGGCCTGGGCAAGGCTGACGAGGACCGACTCATGCACCTTTCACCTGCATCATACACAGGTCCTCCGAACACACACGAGGCCCACTGCACCACGCCGACGTGTCTTCATATGTGTGTGTGTGTGTACGTGTGTGTGTCTGTGCAGGTGTGGCCTCTCAGCTCGCCAAGGACCTGCCGACCATCGTCGGCAAGAATGCCTAAGGGTCGGGTCGTCTGTTCGTGTCTTCCGAGTCTGTACAGCCCTTTGGTGCTGGCTGGTGCCCTTTGCGTACTTGCAGTGGTCGTACAGAGAGAGGGGCGGTGCGTGTTGTCGGTAGATGGATGCTGGAGGGAGGGAGGGTGTCGTTTCGTGGATTGATTTGGCTTCTCGTTGCACGTTGGTCGTTCTGTCGCTGGTCAGATCCTCAACCCCACAGCACCACCGCCGATGCGCACACGCATGTGTCGGTGGTGCTGTGGGTGGCGGTAGGAGCCAGCGGCAGACGATCATAACCAATGAACGAGAGAAACGTCAGTAAGATGATCTGAGTCCGTGTGGGGTCCGCCCAGGCGGCATGTGTGTCTATCTCAGGTGGCGGTAACTTTTCTCTCGCCCTTGGTCCTTCAAAGAGCGAGAGAAGCGTTGCTCCGTCCTGCGGCAGACAGACATGCCCCACGGCTGGATCCACGGGATGCATTGTGATGCCGGAGACACTTGATTATTTTTTGAATGTCTGTCTTGTGTGCCGTCACGAAATGAATAGCAAGGACAATCCAGACATGCATGAGCAAAACATCGTCCCACATGCACACACCCACACAGACTGTATGGCCATCCATCGATCGATCCATCCATCCATCCGACTCATCAGGTGTACATGTGCATGGAAGACACATCATGTCCCGTGCGTCACGTGAATGCGTATCCACACGTCATCGAACCATCCTTGCGCCCTGCTGTGGGTTCGAGTTGGCCGGGGCCGGCGGCTTGTCGAGACGCTGGGCCGTCACTGTCGTGTAGATGTGACCACCTGACACACACATACAGCCACATCCGCACACGGGCATATGCGCACATACACAGCATCCATCACACAGCTCACTCACTCACCCTTTCTCCTGAACAAATTGATCTCTGCCTGCAGTGTCGCTATCTCCTTGGCCTACACACACAGCGTCACACACTTAGGTGAGCCCACGAGACATCGCATTCGTTTGTGTGTGTGTATGTGATGCATTCCAGCGTGCCTGGAGTGTGATGAGCTGCTTCATGCGCTCCCTCTCCTTGGTCTTCCGCTGCTGCGTGGGGGCGGCGTCGTTGACCGTCACGTTGGTCACACGAGAGTTCAGGGCCTGGTCAAGCGTCAGCTGCATCGATCTGCACCCACACCGTGCCCACACCCCTTCATGTGTGTGTGTGTGTCTCTATGGGGTTGTGTCTCCCTGCCCATCCATCCACACACACAGCGCACCCGAGTGATGCGATTTGGTCCATGAGTTGTGTGTTTTCCTGTGTGAGTCTGAGCAGCTCGGTGTTGGCGTCGTCAACCTTCTTGCGCCAGGCCTGGATCTGCTCATGCGCCGACACCTCCGACTCCTTGACGCGATCACGCAACTCCTGAGAGACATTCACACAAATGCCGGCATATCAGCTGGGGCCACATGTGTGTGTGTGTGTGTGTGTGTTGTGTCGTGCTGACGTTGACGTATTTGGAAGGCTCCTGCGCCTCGAGTCTGTCGATGTCGACGATCTGTCCGAAGCGCAGCATCTGCACGTCCTCGTACTTGCGCCGCAAATCCTCTATGTCCTTCACCTTCTGCAATGTCCCAGCAAAACACAACACACGTGATAGGGCTCTGTGCTGTGGGTTTCCTGCCGCCCGTCCGTGTGTGTGCGCACGTGTCTCTTTTCCTTGAGTGCGGTAGTGTAGTCCTTCTGCAGCTGCCGGTACTTGACACGCACCTCCTGCTTCTCGCGATGCAGCTCCTCTATACTGGCAAACAATGAGGGACACAGCCACACACACACACACACACAGTAGAGAGAGAGAGAGAGAGACCATTGTGTGGGTGCGCTCCCTCACCCACAGCCACCGGCCACCGACCGTGTCATGAGCTGCTGCAGTCTCTGGTTGGTGAAGACGACGTGGGCGTCGAGGTGAGCCGGGAGGGTGTTGGTGTCGCCCATGCACTGCAGCTGGGAGAGCCGCAGCGAGAAGCAGACGTCCACCTGGTTGAGCTTGTGCTGCTTCTCCGTCTGGAACCGCTGGATTTCGTCCTCCGTGGCCTTCTGCTCCTTGGCCATCTGCTTCTCCTGCGCCAGCAGCTTGGTGTGGGTCTTCTTGAGCTCCTCGACGGCCTTCTGAATGTCTTGCAAGGCCTCCTCCATGTCGAGACGCTTGTCGCGCAGCTCCAACACCGACTCGTAGATGCTCATGTCACACCCTGACACAAAACACACGACGGACACACACATGGGGGAGGGGAGGGGGATGGGCAGGTTCCTTCCTGACCTTGTGGGCAGATGTCTTCTTCGATGTCCTCTTCCTCCTCCTCGCTGTCGATGTCGCTTTCCTCCTCGGCTTCCTCCTCCTCTTCCTCCTCCATCTCCTCCTCGCCCTCAACGCCCTTCTTGCGCTTACGCTTCACCTACACACACATAGACACACACACACACGCCCAGTGAGTCTTCGCAATCTGACCGTTATTTGCTTACTTTTCGTTTGTATATCTTGAGGAGCGGTGCCAGGAATGGGCTGTTCTCGCCCACCATCTCGGTGAACTCCGCCTGCAGGTTCTGCTCCTCCTGCTGCCACTGCTCGATCTCGGCCTTCTTGTCGGCCAGCTGCTCCTGGCAATCCTTGATCGACTGAAGGTTGGCGTTCTTGTCCGCACGACACTTCTGGGACTTCTTGTATAGGGCAGCGTCGCGCTCCTCTAGCTCGTTCAGCAGCTGCAGCTCCTCGTTCAGCACCTGAGGGGCAGAAAAGCGCTTATGTGTGTCATCTGCGTGTCTTGCGAGGCTCCCTGTTCTACCAGTCTTTTGATCTCCGCGTTTTTGAGGTCTGACTCGAGCTTGGTGCGCTCCTTGGCCAAAGTGGAGAGGGCCGAGTCAAAAGTCTCTATCAGACGCAACATCTGTGAAGACACAGAGACAGAGAGACAGAGACAGAGGCACCAACATCACCAGCCGACGACGCCTTCCTCTCTCCTCCCCATCCCTACTGACATGTTTCTCCATGACTTTCTTCTCGTGCATGAGCCGCTGTCTCCTCTCCTTGAGCACCAGCTGCTGCCCCGCAGCCCTCGCTGCCATCGCACCGCCCTTGCCGTCGTCCGATGCGCCAGCGGGTGATGGTGCCGATGGAGTGGGGTTGAGTGCCATGGCTGCCGCCCTCAACTGGAAGAGCCGCTCTCTGCGGCCGGCCAGTGTGGCCATCCAGCCCTTTCCCGTGCCAGTGGCCGGGAGGGTCTCGTACTCCTCCTCCTCCCTCTCGGCCGTCTCGTGGGCTGCTGCATGACGAACAATGGAAAGCGGGACTCAAATGTGTATGTCGCGGTGGATGGGTGGAAATTGCCTAACTTACGTGGCTCGGTCTTCTGTATGGCCGATGGTTTGTCCCTGTCGGCGGCCCGCCTGCCCCCCCTCCCCTTGGCGGCCTTCTCCTGCCGCTCCTTTTCCTCTTTCGCACGGAATACACTGCAACGCAATGCAATGCAGCCACACAGAATCAAAGGAAGAACCTCAGCAATCACCTCCCCTCTCTCTCCGTGTGTCCAGTGCCTCTTGGTGCTCACGTGAGCTCCTCCTGAGTGATGTCATATCTCTGTTCGGGATACTCAGACCTCGGTGGATCCACCAGCAGACGCCGTATACGGTCCGCTGTCACCGTATCCTCCAAATCGTCGGCCGAGACATGGTTCGGCTGAGGTGGCTGCTGCTGCTGTGCGAGTACCGACATGCGGGCAGCCAGTGGGTTTGTCGCTGGGGGGGCCGTGGCGGATGTCGTGCGGGTGGGGCGCAGCTGCACGTTGAGCTGGTACGTGATGGAGTCCAAGGTGGCCAAGTCGCGGCTCAGCATGTCCTTCACCTGAGATGAGACACATGCTCATTCCCGTTTGTCTGTCTGTCTGTCTGTCTGTCTGTCGGTCTGTCTGTCTGTCTGTCTGTCTGTCGCCCGACACACACACACACACACACACGCACCGACCTTTTGTTTGTACGTCCTGAGTGCGAGCACCCTTTGGTTGAACTCGGTGCGAATGGCGTGGACCGACTCGTCCAGGAGGCAGATCTGTCTCCTCTTCTTCTCGGCATTCATGCGCTGCTCCTCGGGCACCTTGTACTCGGGGGAAGTCTTGAGCAGACAGTGACCCAAGGTCTTCTCAGCGTGAACGATGGCCTCCACGTCAGCAGGGTCCTCATAGCTCTCAGATGGCCGCTGACGCTCCAACTCCTGCATGACACACATGTATTGTGCCAGAAGAGAATTGTGCCGTTGTGTTGCCCACTGACCTCCATCTGTCGCTTGCGTTGCTGTCTGAGTAGTTTTCTATCCTCCCGGTGCTCATGTGAGGTGGGCGCCCCGGCCTCCCCCGCCTCGGCCCCCATCTGCATACCCGTACCCGCCTGGGACGGGCCACCACCCGTCGCACCGAGGTTCCCGATCGTCTTGCCTGCCATGGACACAACACACGTGCGAGACATGCACATGGAGATGACACATTTATAAGCACTGCTCTCACCTGTGGCCATTTTCTGAGTGGTCGCGGTCTTGAGCACCCCTCCGGAGGTCTGTCCTCTCGACATGGTGTCGTCGCGCGCGTTGTCAGCCTCCCGCAGCAGGATGAGCTCCCTAAGTTTGGCGAGGTTCTCCTCCAGCTCGGGCGGCATCTTGCGGCACCTGAAGGTCGCCACGCTCCACGGCTGCTCAAGGGCATGCACCAGAATGCGCTCGCACTCAACGTCGTCGAGATAACGGCTCTGCACAAGGACGGGAAGCGGCATGAGACACACAGAGACAGACAGAGAAGCGTGCCCGTCTGTCTGTCTGTCTGTCTGTCTGTCTCACTGACTGACTGACTGACTTTCAGCTTGTCCACTCCCAGTTGGTGGTAAGCGACCGACCACGCCAGCTCCTTGTGCACCTCCAGCACCTACAGGCACCACACACACATCCGCGGAATTTGTGGAGGGCTAGCTGCTGCCTCAACTACGGCATGCTTATGCACCTTTTCCTCGCCCTCGTATTTGAGCTGTTCCAGGTACTCCGAGTCGATGACCAACTCGCTGTCGGAAAGGGGCATGGGCGCTGCAGCATTCTTGGCCATGAGTCGCACAAGCTCGTCTCTGATTCCGTCGATTTTGCGTCGGAGTTTCTCCTTGTGTCTCTCGGCTGCCGCCTCGGCGCTCTCCTCCTCCTGCCGCAGCTTGGCGTCCTGGATGGCGTAGTGGTTGGGGTCGTCAATGTCGATCACCAGCGTCGCCGCGCCCTCGTCTACCACCGACAGACACGACCTGATCGCCAAATCGTCCAGTCTGCCCTCGGTCGGCGGCACCCGGGTGGCCTCGAGCTTCAACGGCAGATCTGGGTCGTCCTCCAGTGCCTCTCGCCGCTTTCTTGCCTCGAGTTCCTTCTGCTTTCGGTGCACGAGCATCTTGAGGCCATCGAAGTTCATCTTGACACTGAAGAGCGCCCCGTCCCTCCCGCCCGAAACCAGCCACGGACTCCCCTCCACAAACGCGCAACATGACACAGCCCCGCTCACAGAGTCGCCAACACACAGCTGGTAGAAGAAGCCCATCGACGGGCCAGACCCCTCGCCGCTCTCTGGGTCCAGGTTGACATAGATGAAGAGGAATCTGCCGTCCTGTGTGCCGAGGACGGCCCACTCGCCTGAGGGGGTGAGTGTGAGGAGGGAGGGCGGGGCGAAGTGGTCTGGGAGAAGAGCTACGGCGGGGCACTCCATCGGGGTGCTTGTCGGCTTCTCAGAGAAGTCCCGGGGAGTGGAAGATCCCAGCTGTAGTCACGAAAAGCAGAGTCAGTGGGCGGCTCTCCGTGTCTCTCTGTGTTGCTTACATTCCTGACGTCCATTGCTCTTGATGACGGCACTGCAGTGACGTGGCACCGCCAAACGGCCTCCTGATATGCCCCCGTGCCAGTGAAGAGGACCACGTTCTCATCGAGGTACACGGCCTGCGTCACCCACGACGCAGGCCGTCTGGCCGCGGGGTGGTCCTCATCTTCATCCTCTTCCTCCTCTTGCCGCGCTCGCTCAGACCTGGCACCCGACTTGGCCGACCTGACGGACCTGGCTGCTGATCTGACCGACTTGGCTGACCTGACCGACTTGGCCATGTCTCTCTCGTTGTTTTGGGCGCCTTCCTCTCCCTCGTTATCCTCTTCCTCCTCCTCTGTGGGTGTGGGCATGATCAGGTTTGGAGAGATCCACCTGAAGTCCATCGAGCCGGCGATATCGAAGCTCTCGGCGTTGTCGTACTGGTCGCTCTGCGACCGGACGATCTCCACAATGCCGTCGAAGTTTTGCTTGACGAAGAGCCGTCGCGAGTCGGGGCTCCACACCAGGCCGACGATGCGCGCCTCGGTTGCTGATGGATCAAAGGGTGGTCGGCTGTCGGGGGCTACAAAGCCTATCGGCCTGTAAAAGGGCGACTTGTCGTGCCGGCTCATGAAGAATATGGACCGATCCTCACCAGCCGAGGCGAAAATGGCATCTGGAAATCAGAGAGAAAAGCGGCGCAATTTCGTGGGTCTGTGCCGATATCCACTGTCATTCGTACGGTCCGGCGAGTATGCGGCAGCGACCACAGGACAAGAATGCGGCTTGAAGGCCTGAATGAGCTCGATGCCATTCGACCGCACACACACCACCCGCACCACACCGTCCGAAAAGCCGACTGCGCAGAGGCCGGCTGGCTGCTCCTCTGCTGGGAATGCTTCTGCGAAACAAGTAATGTGTGTGGGCCAGGAGCGCTCGATGGCCGACAGAGACGGGGCCTCCATTGTGTAGTTCCTGTCAGAGAAATGGAAGCGCTGCATCTCAGAGACACCGGTGCACAATGTGATGGTTGCGTCGACTGACCATGTTCTGAGTGCGCCTTCGTGGCCGGCAGTCAAGAGCAGCCCCGGGGCTGACGGCACCGTTTGCACACCGATAATCGATGACGAGTGGAAATCCATCAGCTGAGGCAATCGCGCCAACCATGAGAGACATACATGTCTTCTACCGTGTGCGTCACCCTTCCTACCTTCTCCACGTTCCCTGAATCGGGGTAGTAGAGCCACAGGCGCCCACTGCTGCCCCCGCTGTCTTGCAGTATCCACGGCAGCGCACTCCTGTCCACCTCACCAAGTTTTTCCGCCTCCTCCTCTTCATTGTCCCCTTCCTTGGCCGGCTCAGCAGCGGCTTTCTCCTCGCTGTTGTCAGCACCGTCCGGCTGTGCCTCGGCTGGGGCTGCATCGGTGGGGGTCTCGATGTCCATCATGGGCTGTTCTTCCTCTGGGGGCGGAGGGCGGGGGAAGAGGCATGGCGGGTACACTATGTAGGTGATGTCGGCACCTGATACAGAGATAGACAGACGGACACACGCAGAGAGAGACGTGATCCATGTGTTTTTTGTCTGGCTGGCAGTGACAGACCGACCCTCAGGTATTTGGAGTTCTTTGACGCAGTGGATGGCACAGTCGATGCTGTCCTCCGGGGCCTCTGCGCTGTCAATCTCATTCACCGACCACCTGACCAAAAAGTCAGCATTTACTTGTGCGTCTGGCTGCACTACATCGAGTGTCTCGTCTCGTTACCTACCATCTGAGATAGCCGTCGCTGCCCGTCGATATGATAAGGGAAGTGTCCAAGGGGTCCAGACAGAGGTAGTGGATGGCTCCATCATGGCACATGGCAGACTCGCCTTCATCCACCGCACGCAGCAGGTCAGTCTTCACAAACATGCCCTGGAGCAGACACAGACACACACACACACGCACACAGAGGGAGAGCCCATATCTCTTTCTCCCTCTCTCTCACTCTCTGCCTGTCTCACCTCCCACAGAAGGAGCTTGCCATATTCCGTCGTAGATACGATCTTCCCGTCGGGCAGCTCCTGGAATCCGCTGATATCCGACAGCTCCGTCTGGCCGAACTTCCCAATGTCGCCCTGCAGCTTGAGGCCCGTGAAGGTCTGCGCCACCCTCCAAAACCGAATGTGACCCGTGCCACACGTCGTCAGCGTCCCCGGTATCTGCACCGACCAGCCGAGCCGATACACCTCCTGAGAAAAGGCCTTGAACTTGAGCACGATCCGCTCGCTCGGCCAATCCCACACTGTGAGCAGAAAGTCGGGAGCGCTGCCGACGGTTGCGAGTGTGCGGGGGTCGTGTGGCGAGAAGGCGGCGCCGACATATTCCCTTGCCGTGCCTTTGCGGAGGATGCGGTAGAGCTTGAGAGAGGGCAGCTCGTAGATGTACACACACGGGGTGCGGGAGGTGGACTTCTCAGCCACAGCAAGGTACTTGGCGGAGGGGTTGACGGCCAGCGCCCCGATGCCTCCATCATCGCGGCCATACAAATGCTTCTGTCGCCCTTTTCGTGTGTGCTCCTTGCCCCAGGGATCCTTGAGTGAGCAAATGCGGACCGTCCTCCCTGTCGAGTACGCGAATTCATCGTTTGAGAGGAACACCAGGTTGCACCGCTTTGCAAAATCAAAGCCCATAGCTCGTGAAAGATAGGCCAGACCGCCGTCCACCTCATTCTCAGCGCTGACTGGCGGCGGCAGGGTGGCATCAGCGGTGCACTGGTTGGGGTACAGGTCGGTGTCATCGATGCCGTCATCATAGTAGAAGACTTCGTCCAGCTGCCACAGCTTGGACTTGCCAGTGTCTGCCAAAGTGTCCTGGAGTGAGGGAGGAGCTTCAGCCTCTGTGTGTTCGGCCTCTGCTGGCGGCGGCAGCTCCTCGGCGGGCTTCTGTTCATCTGCCATGGTGATGAATCAGACGCTCCTATTGCCTTTCTCGTGGTCGTCGTGAACGGTGCATGCAGACCCCCAGATGCCCCCGTCTTCCGATCGTCGAGTTGACGCCGCAGGCCACAAGGGTAAGAGGAAGCTTCTGCGCAGCACCCCTGCACATATGGTTGAAGCGCGTTTCTTGTTTCGTCGATTCAGGCGCGTACCTTGAGATCTGAGGCAAGATCTGAGGCAAGATCTGGATGCGGCAGATGCAGCCGGCCCTCATCGTTCTGGCCGCATGGCTTTGATAGATGACCTCGTTGACGCACTCCATAGGGACGACCACAGCCGCCGCTTCAGCGCCACACAGCAGCTGGGCGAATATCTGTCCATCGATGGGAAGGTGCTAACCCAGCGGCTCGTGAAGGCCGGTGTGGTGCCGGTGCTTATCAAGTTGTGCAAGATCCGCGACCGGCCTGACCTGCAGCAGGAGGCGGCAAAGGCCCTCAGCTACATCGCAGCGGAGCAGCCTACAGCAGTCGTCAGAGCTGGGGCCCTTTCCGTCTTGACGGAGCTCTTGTCGTCCTCTAGCGGCGTGGTGCGAGAGCACGCCTTGGTGGCGATGGGTTTCATCATCCAAAGTCAGCCTGAGTCGCGGCGGCGGATCCTTGACACGGCGCTGACGCCTCTGCTGGACATTCTGCGAGATGCCTGTACCACTGACAGCGAGCGGCCGTCGACGACGGTTCTCGCCGCTGCACGAGTGCTGTCGACCGCCAAGAAGCTGGCTCTCACGGCCATCAAGAATGTCATAGTTCTGCCATCGCCGGCGGACAAGGGGACACCCAGACACACCACTCAGGCAAGTGCCGCATCCATCAAGGACACAAGAAACCACAAGGGGTGTCTGTGTCTATTCAGGTGCGGCAGGCGGTTCAGTGCGGCTGTGTTGAGCCTTTGTGCGCCCTCATGGTGGTCAACGATGACCTCGACATCTCTTCATTGGCGGAGGAGGCCGTTGATACCATACTTGCGTACGCTACGCCGTCATGGTCGCACACACATCTCGCTGGCCGTTCGCACGTGTGTGTCTCCTTCCTCGATCAGCGTGTACCATGAGGAGTGCTGTCGTGCGATCATTCAAAAGGGGTATTCAGACGGGTACCAATGGCCACTGTGCTGGCCACTTATTGTACGTTTGCAGGTTGACGCGTGCCTCGTTGATCGCCACGACGACATCAGATGAAGTAGATCGTTTCTGCTCACGCATCCGCGATGAAGCCACTCGGCTGCAGAAGCTCTACGATGCGGCTGTCGCCATGCCAAGGGACGGATACGACGATACACGGTGAGTCCACTCCAACCTCACAAGGACACGCCGACAAATGTGCATGGCACATGCAGGGGGTTGAGCGTGTCATCGTCGCCAGCGGAGCAGCAGCAGCGGCAGACGGTTGCCAAACTCATGACCGAGACCCGCCGGTGAGTACTCCCTGGATGTGTGTGCATGTGTGCCTTACTCCCCGTCTGTCACTGTGTGTGCGGCCTGATAGATGCGCTTTCTGCACAAGCGGACCAGACGGCCCTGCAGAAGACCTTGGTTGTGTCGCTACAGAAGAAACGCGATGAGATCGAGCAAGTGGCTGACGACAGGTACAACACACAAAGAGACACGGCCCGATTCAGCCATGCATATGCCTCCCTTTGTGTGTGCACGCATCAGACTGAGTGTTGGCACCCTGCTGTTTCGGAGCGGCGATTCTGCTGCCATCGAAGGCTTCAAAGAGGAGATAATCGAGAAGCAGCGTAGCTTGAGCCAGCTGCTGGGGGAGGCGGAGAGGCGGAAGGGCACGTGTGTGGTGTGCCTGGATCGGCTGCCCACAGTGTGTTTCTTCCCCTGTATGCAGCAGTGTGTCTGTGAGTCATGCTGGGAGGACATGTGCCGCAAACGCAGGCGCGGGAAGGCGCTGCGGTGCCCAGCATGCAACCAGGTAGCTGAGTATGCCAGCAATCTGGCGGGGGTCAAAACGACAACGTGACTTGTGTGCAGATATTGCATGTGAGGGATGTGTCGATATAGGGAGGGAGTATGTGTCGTATTGATGATCCCTTGTACAGACATTCGATTCATGTGAATACCGAGTCTCGGTGGATACCGAGTCTCGGTGGCGCCTTCCTTTGACGTGCATGTGTGTGAAGGACACACATCAGGGAGGCATCAGAGCACATCCATGATCATAGACAAGTGAAGTGAGCGTGGTCCATTAAGGGCAAAGGGCAAACTCCATAACAGCTGACGACACACCCACGTAATCAACAAAGGCCAACAGACTCATACAACCCTCGTCTCAAAATACAGAGACAGCTGTCCTTATTGGCAGGGAAGGGCCGAAAAAGCGGCCTTGCTTCCACGTAGCCACCGTATGATCATCGCTCAGCCGCATGCACACGTGTCATTACATGTGTCAGAATGGTTTGAATTCCCTGTCCAGTATGTGTTTGTGTGCACCCATCTTGCCGCAGGACACCAGGCTGCCCAGCACCTCCACCACGATGCGCAGCGCCATCAACGAGGTGATGTCCGCATGGTCGTAAGGCGGGGAAACCTCCACAATCTCCATGCCGCATATGCCCTCCCGCGCAGCCATACTCACCTAATCGACACACACACACACACACACACACAGCGTGAGCACCGAGTGCTCGTGTCTGTTGTCATGACATCTCTCCCCTCACTCACCATTTTGAGTGCTTCTCTGGGCAGCAGTCCGCCCGGTTCGGGAGTGCCAGTGCCGGGCACGAATGCGGCCTCAATGGAGTCGATGTCGTATGACAGCCAGACGGCATCCACTCCATCCCACGCCCTGTCCAACGCCATCTCCATCACCTGACCCACAAACACATCGACACACACACACACACACGCACGGATGATCGATCGATGTTTGTGCGTCTGGATACCTTTTCAGGTCCGTATTCCTGAATGTCTTGTATGGTGAAGATGGTGGGGCGGCGCTCGCGTATGACAGGGAAGGCACTGCGGTCGACGAGCCAGCCCCCGATGCCCACTTGCACCAGATTCTTGGCGGGCACATTTGGGATGTTCGTCGCGTGGAAACTGATACAAGCCAAGCACACACATAGAGGCATACGTGCTCTCTCGTGTTGTCGTGTCTTGATCTTACAATGGCGTGGTGTGCATTCTCTCATCGTGATCCTTCTCCTGATGACATTAATGACAGCGCATATCACGGATATGAGCACTCTCGGCATCCTGTGTGAGGGTGTGGTCATTACTGACGGCCGGCTGACCGATATGTCGAGGTGTCTGTCGATGTGGATGATGCCGATCTTTTTGCTTGTGCATGCCGCCACCCCACGCACAGTCGGGAAGCCTATCGAGTGATCGCCACCCAGCACTACCGGCATGGCGCCGCTCTGCGCGATGTGCCCGACCGCATTGGTGATCTGGTCGAAGGTCTTCTCTGCACATACACACACGTGTGCGAATGAGAGCAGAGAAAGGACAGATGGCGTGTCTAGATTGCGTGACTGATGTATAGTACCGATGTTGGCAGGGATGCTGACACAAGGAGGAACACAGAGCCTTACACAGCTCTCGTTTCGCTTTCTCTCTCAGCAGCCTGTCTTACTTGAATATGTCGCCACAGTCGCACAGTGACATTTGCTCGCGCAGATCGACACCCAACTCTGATAAGAAAGTAACGGAAAGCAGGCAGACAACAAAAAAGTGCATGGACTGAGCAGTGAGCGTGTGTGTGTGTGTGTGTGTGTGTGTGCCTGTGCCCTTGATACCGAAGTTGTATGGTGAGTACAAGGCAGATATCTTCCTGATGCCCTGCGGCCCAAATCTGCAGGACAACCACCACCAAAGTAACACATCAATCGCGTCACATTCAGTAATGGCAGATCTGTCTTGATTGAGGCTCACCTTGCCCCAGATCTGTACGTAGTTCCGCCGTCAAACGGCGCACCGACCACGGCAGCATCGTACTTGCCCACCTGCGTGATGTCCTCGACATAAGGCGCCTTCATGAACGTCAGGATGCCGGCAAAGTGAGGCAGCTCCCCTCTCGAGAAGGTGGGAATGGACTTGTCGGTGATGCTCGACGCCCCTGGCAGCCCCATCTTGAGTGCATGCTGTGCTTCCCTCTCAGCAGCTGTGTGTGGGATGCTTGATTCCTTCTCGACACTCTTCCACCCCTTGAGCTGAAGTGTATCAACAGGACAGCATTCGCACAGCACAGCAGATCAGGTGTGTCAGCTCGCTCATCTGTCGTGCATTCATTCATTCCCCAGGTTCATTCCTTGCCTCCTTGCCTTTGTTAGATCAGGGTGGTGCCATCTTCGCTGGACAGCAACCGGAGCTCTCCGGAGGGCAGCTGCAGCTGTGAGACCTGACAATCCGACAGGCGTGCGGATAGGCAGCATGATCTGGGAAGGGGACGACGATCTGTGGCTTCCCCTTTGCTCGGCTAAGCTCGCAACTTCAGTTCGCCACCTGGGGATGGGCGGTATCTACGTATGGAGTCATGGTGCAGGATGCACGCATGCACGCCGCCTTCAAGCTGCTGCTGGGTTGGCGTGTGTGCGACGTTGTGTGCCTGCCTGTATGTTGCCGTCGTTCGCAGCGCATTGCACATCCTCCTGTTTGCTGCGTCTGCCCTCTGCGTGCTGCGTGTTGCGTGTCCGGGTTGCATGTTAGGGTGCGTGTTTTCATGTTGGACAGACCAACAGGGGACTTGGCCGCCAGGCCGCCTAGGGTGCTCCCAGAAACCGCTGCAGTTCGCCAACTTGGCCGCCCATTGCAAACAAGGCTGCCGGCACATGACAATGCTGTATGTGGCATTTTCCGTCCTGGTGCTCATCGTGAAGGGTGCTGCCGCCGAGCAGCTCCATCATCATGATGACAGCAAGTGTCATGACGCACCGCAGCTAGCGGAGCCAGATGTCAACCCCATTCTGGCAAAGTTCAACCCCGAATGCCAGGTTGTGTCATTAATGAGCCGTCGCCTGTTTTCTTGATATGCCTTCTATATGCCTTCTTGCTTGCATGTGTCTGTTTTGTGTATGCAGCTGCCTGGGTGCGATGCGGCCGCCGAGATAGCTGCGCATGAGCATTGCGTGTACGCCGACGAGCCGACGGACATTGACATTGGTCTCCCGGAGCCTCTCGAATGCGTCGCCGCTCTCTGCAACTCGTACTCACACACATATGAGAGAGACATGTGAAAGAGACATCGTGCATGCCTGGGTATTCTTTGTGTGAATGGATGCGTTGCAGGGAGAAGCTGGAGCTCTTCCCCGGCAAGATCTTCGAACCCCACAGGTGTGATGTCTTACCGACATGTGATGAGGACGCTTTTGTGTACGATCCATTGAATGTATCCATTGGTCACGTATCTGTTCTGTCTGTCTCCCATCGAACCTCACAGCGAGAGCCCCCACTGCCTCTTCAAGCCCAAACTTGACCCTGCCGACAAGCGAGACGTGCAATGCTCCCTGCCCGTCAGTGCCAAATGTGCGCCATCTTGCAACTGGGCCTGCGACGACAAAGAAATCGCATCATTCAAATTCTGCCTCACCCCAGAAGAACAAGCTCAGAAGAAAAAGGGGGTGTGCAAGGTACGGCGGTGCAACCGTGATCAGGGCGAGTCTCTGTTTGACAAGTACTACACCGGCACCATCCGCTCTATTGCCGACGAAGGCGAAGAATCCGTGACTCTTGCCGACTTTGTCTGCGATTTCGACATCGACGAGCACCCTTGCACGCTCAGCTTTGCCAACCTGTGCCCCAAGTCGAGCGAGCCGAGTAAGGAATCGCTCGATGCGATCCTGGACATGGAGGCGAGCCGACCGCAGAAGGCGCAGAAAAAGCACAAAAAGAAGTGAAGAAGGTAAGAGATGGACAGAGCCATCGATCACCCGCGTTCTCGTCTAAACACAGTGAGATGTACTGTCTTTCTCTCGCCCTCATTCGGCTGCAGCTTGGATCGGACGGACGCCCCACACATATTGATTGACATGACGTGGCCCGTGAGATTGTGTCCCTTTTCTTTTTTCTCGCTTTCTTTTTCGCCCGTTCACTTTTCGAAGGCATGTGTGGCTGCCGATGCATGCGCTGCCTTGCTCTTACTTTCGCTGACAAACATTTACGAATGTGTGTCGGGCGACTGATCGCGAGACACGACACGGCTCAATGTCAACAAATACCGAAGCCCGTCACTTCCATTATCACCATAAAAATGTCTCTATCAGCAGCTCTTTCATGATGATGACAGGAAGTACTCAGCAAGGGTCATGACACACCGCCGCCTTCGGCAGCCCGTGCAGATGTCAACCCCATTCTGGCAAAGTTCAACCCCGAATGCCAGGTTCTGTAATGAAATTTGAATGAGCCCGGCATTGAGCCGTCCCCTTGCATGTGTCTGTTTTGTGTATGCAGCTGCCTGGGTGCGATGCATTGCGTGTACGCCGACGAGCCGACGGACATTGACATTGGTCTCCCGGAGCCTTTCGAATGCGTCGCCGCTCTCCGCAACTCGTACTCGCACACAATACAATATAGAGAGACATGTGAAAGAGACATCGTGCATGCCTGGGTATGAATGGACTGATGGATGGATACGTCGGCGTGTGTGGGCCCAGGATTGTGTGTGACACGTGGCCAGTCATTTCGTCTCCTCTGTCCAGATGTTTCATTCATCTAGTAGCAAAACCGCCGTACGTATGCCGCTGTGCCAACGCTGACATCCGAATATAAAATGTAGGCAACGAAAGACGAAAGGCCTCTCTGCCGCCACACACGCCACCCTCCCATTCACCCCTCCCTCAGACACACACAACCCCGCTGGTTGGGCGACATACAAACACGAGCTTCGCTCTCTCACTAACAAAAACTTCGGCAGACCACACACTCGCCGAGGCGCTCTCTCCCATGTAAGCTGCTGTCTCACAGCCATCCCACAGCACACTCCCCGTACACAGATGGCCTCATGAACTATGGATGGGACTAAAGCCGCCGCGCTCTCTCGTATGCACATGGACGGACGGACGCTCTCTCTCTCTCTCTCACACACAAATGGATGGACACACGTAGGTAATGATGCATGAAGGTATGTATGGCGTGTCGCCGCTCTCCCCTCTCCATGGACATGTACGCTCTCACGTGCACACAATTAATCAAGCGCAGCCGGACAAATGCATCACAGAAAAGGCATTTACTACCGAGATAAGGCGACAGTCGGGTACTCCACTCACTTCACGACATAAATTACACACAGACAAAGGGCATCGACAACTCGGTCGGTCAGCCAAACGTGCAGCACACACAGCAGACGGACACCGCACACACGTCACTCACTAGAAAGAAGCACAACTACAACTCATCCATCCAGGCGACCAATCAATCGTCATTGGAATGCATTGTAGGCAAGTGTGGCTAGAGCTAGAGAGGTGCACCATCCACCTGTGTGTCACGGCGTGTGGCTGTCGTGTGGCTGCCGTTCATTCATCCATCCATCCACCCATCCATGGCCCCATGTACACTCATTCCCTCCCCCTTCGCAGCCATGCGGCTCGACCGCCTTGTCCGTCTCTTGTGGTGGGCGCCCCTGCCACATCACTGGCCCTTGAAGATTCCCATATTGTCAACCTGGGCAGCCACAAAGGGGGACGGAGAGCCACTTAAGACAAGGTCAAACGAAGCTCATCTGGTGGCCTTTGTCTCCTTACCTTGACGTCAAAAATGGATACATCCCTCTCTTGATAGAAATGTAGCCCTCTCAACGCCGTAGCGAAATGGCCCTTGAGCTCAGCAACGCTGATTTCACCCAGCTGTAGTCCGTCCCAGGTACCTGACCAAAGAAAGGTGAAAGTATAGAAGCAGTGCTGCATGTGTCGTCTGCTGTCTCACCCTCCATCAATGGCATTATCACAACGGTACGCCCCTCGACACCCCGGCTGTCCGTCTGGACGTTGATGTGTGTGTTGTGAAAGGGGAGGACGGCTGGAGGCCACCCGCTCCATTCCTCAGCCGGCTCCTTCAGCCCAGGGGCCATCCAGGAGGCTGGCGGGATGGGCGGGTGGCGGATGGGTGCCGTCTCCTTGGCGCTTGTAGCGCGCTCGCCCTTCCACTTGTTGGCCGCGCGTCGCACCGTCTTAAAGCCTTCATGGGCCTGAAGGTGAAGGACAGACGCTCATATGTATCAGAACACAGGCAAGCTATGAGGTTCTTCACTTACAAAATCTGGGAACGAGGGCCGCTTGAGGAATTTGGCCACAAAACGGGGGCGGTCTTCTGGGTGTTGGCCAGGTGGCACATCGGTGTACTCGAGGTACACGACGTACATGCCCTCCCCAACCGTCATGGGCTGGCCCGAGCTGTCCGTCTAGACCCGCAGGCCGAGCTTTGACAGCTCACACAAACAAACAAACAAACAAAGAGTGGTCCTCGTTAAGTTGGGCTTGACAAGTTGACATCAACACACCATGATTTCGGGAGTGACCACCTCTTCCAGCGTCAACTTGTGCTGCTGCTGCTGCTGCTGAAGATAGCGCACGCAAGGAACGTCGATGAATCACTTTCTGAGGGCGTGCTCTGCCATCTTACTGCCTTCTTAGTGGTGTCCTCCGATGGCATGGACGCCTCAGCCACCCGGCTCTTCCTGAGGTACTTGACCATGCCGATGGCTGAGCGGGGGCACCGGGTTGCCGTTCTTGTCCTTGACGACGATCTGCTGCCCAATGAGAGGCGCCACCAACTGGATGTATGTCGCCTTGGCCAGGCGGCCTCATCGGCGGTGCGGACCTGCTGGTCTCCCGCGTGTGTGTCGAGCAGGGGCCGCAAGAGGCCGCGGATGACGGTGCCTGACAGACATACAGACCGACAAGGGCACCCCCACAATACCACAGGGGATGCAATTGGTGTGTGTGTCTGTGTGTGTGGTGGGAGGGGCCATGTGTGCGTGTGACTCACCGAGCAGCTTCATCTCCACCTGCGGGGGCTTGTACGGGTCGATGCCGCGGTCCGCCCCCTCCATGATGCGCTTCCGGCGGTCATTCATCGGGCCAGCCCTCACCTGCAGCTATCAATGGAATACACCCACACGCCCGTCTTGCAGTGCAGCAGCCTTGAACTGGGCGGGCAAGACCTTCACACTGATGAATTCTGCGGAGGGGGGGAGGGACCGGACCGCGGGTTGTGTGGCGGCTTTCAAGTGCTCTGCGCCAAGAATCTTGCCAACTCTGAAATCTCCCAGCGACAGAGGTCGGCTCTTGACGCCGCTCACAAAACCAGAACGGGTCGGGACGCTCTCGCCGCACAACCGAAAGCGTTATCAATGGCCACAATCTCTGACGCTCGTCTCGCACCTTTCGCATGCCCGGCAGGGCAGCAACTGCTGCGGTGTGCAGGAATGCCAACATCTTGCACACTCTCTTCCGCTTGCGAGTACGAAGCATTGGTGTCTCGGGCGTGTCGTCTTGCGGTCGGTGTCGAGCAGTGCTGTGGGAGAGAACGTCACGCTGATATGATAAACCCGACGAATATAAAATGTAGGCGGCGATCGGAGGAGGAGGAGAGAGACACCGATAGAATGGCACCAACAGAGGACGGGCGAGACACCAGATACTTACATGCCTCCTTCAGCTCGCACTTGCGCCTCTGTGTCGGTTCCAGCGAGAGTGCCCAAACACGCACGCCCTCCGTCTCTCCCATCACTCTCACACGTTCCCCCGCCCCTTTCCTTGGGCTGCCCTTGCCGCCTGATGATATGATGGGCCAGCACCGGACGTGGTCGTCGTGATGCGCTGGGTGTGGGTGCCCCTCCCCCTCACTGCCCGAGGAGCACAGCCAGCATCTGCCGATGCGTCAAGGGCTGCGCGCCTGTGTCGGTGCCAGTGAGGGGGCCCACGACCCTCGAGTAGATGTCCAGTGCCGCTAGTGCTGCTGGGCTGCGGTATGGTCGGCCGGTGGGGTCGGTCCTGTCCTTCTGGAAGAGCCGTCTGATGATTGGCATCATTGCATACCCTGAGCGAAGACCACACATTGATGGTGCGCGTGTGCTGCGTGTGCGTGTCACCACCATTCATTCCACCCACCAAGCACCATCATTTCGTCCTCCTGGCTCCTGAATGGGTCTGTCTGCTGCGCGGAGCCCTCCATGATGTGGCGGCGGCTTTGACCTACACGCACATCCATCCATGCGTCCATTCAACATCCACACGCAAATGTGTGGCTGGAGATGTCTGTGGCGTTTGTGGGCTCACTCACGGCTGCGTCCCATGAACTTGCCGGGCCCGTGTTGTCCCCCCGCTGCAGCTCTTGTTCGATTTGCTTGAGATCCTTCTCCCTCTCCACGGCGGCCGGCTTTTGCTGAGTGAGTGGGTGAAGGGGGGAGAGAGAGAGAGAGAGAAGCATGCGGGTGAATGCGTGTGTGGGTGTGTGTGTGCCGCGGTTACCTGCTGGTACCTCTCCCTCCTCTCGCGGCGCCGCTTGATAATCTGACCGGCCGAACGCACACACGTACATGCGAGGATTGATGAATGCAGCGTGATGGTGCTGTGCTCTTGGTGTACCGGGTCAGACGGGTCGCCATGCCTGAGTCGCTCGAGGTCCTTCTTGATGGCCGTGTAGGCCTCAACCAAGGCCTGGAAGTCCTCCTTGCGACCCCCCTTGTCTGTGTGGGTTTTCTGCAGACACACACACATCCGTCCGCCAAGATGCGTCCAATCGTTCGTATCGGTTTGCAGTGCGTACCAGGGCGCCTTTGCGATATGCCTTTTTGACCTCATGCAGTGGGGCGCAGCGATGCACCTGCAACCTGTCGTAGAACCAACCCCACGTAGTCGGAACGGGTGTAGCCCTGGCGGCCGTCTGGCAGTGTGATGGGCATGGCGATGGCAAAACACTATCTCCTTGACTATCTCTCCACAGCAAACGCTGGCTAATTTCTCTCAGCGCGGCAGCGACAGCGATGTCAATGCCACAACGCTGCCTTCTCGCCATATGGGGGCCTGTATTAAGGGCGGTGGCGGTCCGCCCCCGCCTTGATGCGCTTGCGGCGGTCGTCAATGAGGCCTGCCCTCACCTACGCAACATGTCGACAACACCATGACGAGTGCTGTGTGCGGGTGTGCGTCTGTCTCACTGCTGTGTCGAAGTCGAACCACACGCCATGCCCTCGGTAGCTGCCCGCGTTGTCAGGCTGCACATACCCATACACACCATACACACAGACGGATCATTGTGTGGGCGTGTATACTCTCTCTCACTCTCTCTTTTTCTTTTTCTCTCTTCTTCCTTGTTTGCCTGATTCGTACCAGCCTTTTTATTACTTGAGAGCTTTCAAGTAGCTTGCAATCGACCTAAACAGGAGCGGGGGCAGGGTCTGGTGAAGTTACCGTGCCGCTTGCTGCTGTCTTCACCAGTTCAGAGATGTGTGGGGAGACATCAACAGGAGACTGACGATTCCTACCAATTACCTTCGACACCATGCAGAAACAGGCTGCGACATTCGTCGAGAAAGGCAGCTCTTGCACAGGAAAACAAAACAGTTGTCAGTAGACCTATTGTTGACGTTGGGCTCACCGTAAGGCGCCGCTTCAGGGGCTTTACTGTGGCCTCAATGTCCTTCCCGTACTTCAGAGTCTTCTCCTTGTGGCTCGGGATGATCGCCGACTTGTCGTTGCATGCTCATCTTCATCTGCGGTGCAGGACGCGAGATATGAGGGAATCCATTTGCACATGTGTCCATCGCGATGGCGGCTCACACTCGCTTACGCACTGAAGTCTGGAAGAGTTTCGCCCGGATATCGGCGGCTTCATCGCGGGCGGCGACAGGCAGGGGACGTCCGATGATGAAAGTGCCCGACGAATATAAAATGTAGGCGGCGATATGAGATCACCTGAGATGAGACACGAGAGGAGTGACATAAGCAGACACGTCCGACATGACACTTCCTTAATGCTCACTTCATGTCTCTGTGTGTTACGGGCCCTTCCCCCTCAGCCGAAGCCTTCTCGCCAACGTGTCGACGTGTGAGGGTGAAGCTTCCTGGCGACAGAGGCTTGTCTGTTCCATTTGGCTTGTCTATTCTCTTTACTTTTGAGTTGCTCGCGTACCAAGGGCGAGGTTGAGTCTTGTGTCCGTCGTGAGGCGCCAGTATAGTTCCAGACCGTGCAGCTGTGACACTTCATCCGCGTTTCTTGTACACGCAGACAGCCACACAAAGAGACAGACAGATATGTCTGGGCTGATGTCTCTCTGAGCGTTTTCTGGGCTCACCGTCTATGAGCGGCTTCATGGGCGGGAATCTGATGAAGACCTGCTCAACGAATATAAAATGTAGGCGGCGATCTGAAAACACAGAAAAACCAACAGGATGACGTCAACAAACGGCTGAGACATCACGTATTAATCACACATTTCCTCCCCCCTCGCTGCCATGCGGCTCGACCGCCTTGTCCGTCTCGAGTGGTGGGTGCCTTTGCCACTTCACTGGGCAGGGGGTGTGGTGGACGAGACGGCAACCCGGCTCTTCTTGAGGTACTTGACCATCTGCTGGTGCGTGAGCTGGGGCACCGGGTTGCCGTTCTTGTCCTTGAGTTGGAGCTGCTGCCCAATGAGGGGCGCCACCACCTTGAAGTAGGTGATCTTAGCCCGCCCCGCCTTCTGGGCGGTACGGACCTGTTGGCCGTCCTCATGGGTCTCGGTGAGGGGCCGCAAGAGGTCGCAGATGGCCCAGCCTGACAAAGATACAGACGAAAGAGTCCATACGACACCAAATTGGATGGATTACAGTAAATGTGTGTTTGTGCGTGTAGCTCACCCAGCTGCTTGAGTTCAGCCTCTGGGCTCCGATAAGGGTCAGTGCCCTGCTCGGAGCCCTCCATGATCAGCCGACGGCGGTCGTCTATGGCCCCTGCCCTCAGCTGCAGCCATCAATCCACGCAACACATCAACGCCACTATGAGAAGTGCTGCTGTGTGTGTGCCTTACAGCCTGGTCGAAATCAAACCACACCCCACTCCCGCGAAAGGAGCCCGTGTTGTCCCCCTGCACCCATACGCACACGGAGAGGGAGAAAAAGTGGTACGGTTATGTCGTGTGTCGGCTTACATTCGACTTGATGTCATTAATGGAGATGCCCCGCTCATGAAACTTTCCCAGCCCCTCCAACGCAGTGTGAAAGAGCCCACACGCCTGCGGCAGTGTGAGCCCCTCACGGACGCCCTCGCTATCCCACGTCCCTGGTGCACACACCAAACCAGAGACCATCAAGTGCCCTGGACTGACGGTGACTCTCTGGTGGCTCACTGGCATACCTTCCATGAGCGGCATGACCATCATGGTCCGCTGCATGTTAAGGAAGCACGAAATTGGGCCACCCGGTCCACTTTGCAAACACGTCCGCCAGCTTGGTGTTCATGTCGGGGCTGGAGGGGAATGTGTAGGTGGCCGGGCGGCTGGGTGGGCTCGTGCTGCTGGCGGTTGTGGCGCTGTCCCATCCGTCGACCTGCTGCTGCTTCCAGGCCATGGCGGCCTCCTCAACCAACATGAACCCCTCATACACCTACACCCACACACGTCCAGAACAGACACCCATGGAGGCGTGACGCGAGGTGCTGTGCTGTGGTGCGGTCTGGCGCGTGTACCCAGTTGCCCTCATCGTCGTGCGTGATGAGCTTCATGCAGAGCTGCGGGGCGTCCTCAGGCACCTCGGCGGCGTCGATGTAGTCCGAGTGGACGACGATGCCGTTGCCGCCATGGCCGACGATCCTGGGGTGGCCCGCGCAACGCACCCGAAGGTCGCACCGCAACAGCTCCCCCTGAACCAACATCACACCACAAAAAGTCTGTGCATCTGATCTCTCCCTCTGTGTGTGTGTGTGGTGTCTGTGTGCGTACCACGACGTCGCCATCGAGGAACTCCCGCAGCCTGTGCAGCTGACCACACACAACAACACGGGAAACACATCCAATTGTCCATCTGCTGGTGTCATGTGACTCATCCATTCATCCATCCTACGTGGACGTATTGTTCGGGCTTGATGGCGTCCACACAGGTCTGAGGGCCACACAGGTCTTCCAAATGAGTGAGTGCATCGATCTGCACTTACCGCTTCGTCAACGGTGGTGCCTGTCGCCTCAGTGAGGAAGCCCATGTATAAGCGTCTCCGTGCGGGCCGAGGGGAAAGCGAAGTCCACGACTCCGCTCCGTCCTCGGTCGCTTGGCGGCCGTGCCATCTCGCTGCTGTGGCTGGGCCCAGCCGGTGGACACACATCCCATGAGGGGGGCGGAGTAGGACGGTCTCATCGGGGCACCCACCGTCGTCAGTCGGTCGGAGAGGTGCCTCGATGGCGTGGAGCTGGTGCGACGAAGTGATTACGGGAGAGCAGAGAACAGAACACGGACGAACTGATGCCAAACGCCGAAATGAAATTTCTTGTGTCAGAATTGGAGACGTTACTGTCCAAAATTCTCGCCGGCCAGTAACGTCTCCAATTCTCGCCGGAAAGGAAAGGGCAGCCCTGGTGGTTAGTGTGTCAGCTGACCTATTCTGCCGGCCATTACTAGGCATAGGCCGTCAGATTGCACACAGCCGATGTGCCAGTGTGGCAGCGATGTAGGAGGGAGAGGTCTACCATCAACCTGCGATTGTTTCTCTTGTGGGGTGCGTGGCCGGATTGATGGAAGGATTCTCATGACATCCGTCTGGACGGCAGCAAGTCAGCGGACACAATCGCCCCTGCTGCCATCCGATTTGCAAAAGTGCGGCACTTCTTCTGCAGAACTTTGCTGAGCCATCCGATCTGCAAAGCTCTGCGGAGCGTCTGTCGGTTGCTGCCGCTGACAGAAGAAACACCCATCTCTATTTCATCTTTATCTTCCATGCGTGGGCACCGATTTTCTGCCCCAGTCCGTGTGGTGTGCTGTCGCCGTGCATGAGGACATCCGTACGTGAATAGGCACATCTGTGCGCCTCTTCTCTGTGTGACGTGACGGTATAGCTTGTCGGACAGAAAAAAGACTAAAGCAAAGGACCGATTGACATGATGTGCGCATAATCTTCTCAACACACGCATTCGTCACATCCAGACCTTGCGCACGCACGCATCTGTCTGTCCATCATGCAGCACCCAGTCCGCCCACCCACCTTACCACCAGACAGACAGTCAGCTACTTGTGTGTCCCCCGTGACGCTAGTCGTTCAGCAAGTCAGCTTGTAGAACCCACAATAACACCCGCACAATGCCTACATCATGGTCTAGAGTGCCTGGCCGTCGAGGACGATGGTTGCGATGGGGCCGAGGACGGGCCTCGCCTTGGCTGCCGTCAGGGGGAATCGGTGGGCGAATGGGGCGTCATGGGCCACACCTGCTGCTGGCGATTCGGTGGTACGAATGAAGATGCCTTTTGCACGCAGCCATAGAGGAGGCCACAGGATGGCACAACACAACACGTGTTGTGGGGTTCTCGTTCCCTCACACGCATGCGTACCGTTCTGGTTGGTGCCTGGAGGGGTGCGAAAGGCAACCCATGCCATGAACGGGTCGTACGATGATGTCAGCCGATGCGACTACACACAGGCCCCATCGACCGCCTCGTATGCCGTCACGTGTGAGCACTCGTCAAGGGGCGTGTGAGGGGATTGTGTCACGATGCGATCCAAATAACCACCACACACACTCCTGATGCACACACATTTGACACATAGCACAGGCTATTTGCTATGGTACAGGCGACCTGCCGTCCATCCACTCACCGGTCTACCGCCACTATTGGCGAATGGGAGATGCCGTCCCCAACCATCACCCGGTAATTCAGCATCAGCCTCTTCAGCATGGAGCTCGCCGATGAGAAAGCGCGCCAGTCGTGGGCACCTACCGCCACCAAGCCTACAACATCATCCCACCCAATGCGTTGACAGACGGGCGGGTCGTGTGGCTTGGCGTGTTGCTGGAAGGGGTGCTGTGAGAAGGGATGGATGGGGCGGTTGGGGTGGGGGAGGGGCGGGTTGAGGGTGATGGCGAAGCCGGGTTGGTTGTGGATGATGCGAATCTCATGGTTATGGCGGAAGAGCTGGAGTGTGCCGTCTTGTTGGCCAGTGCGGCGACGGAGGACGACATTGCGACCGACGAGCATCCACTGCGCACAGAAGCGGGGCAGTGCCAAGAAGTCCTGAATGACACATCCAGCAGCTTTCCCATTGCCTCTTCTGTGTGTCGTGCTTACCGCCTTGCTGGCGTGTGTCTGCATATCTCCAGCACCCACAGTAACCGGCAGCTGGCAACAGCCGAGATGCTCGGAGAGTCTGAGCGTGTCAGCCGCCTCAACCCAGCCGGCCTCGCCCTCCTCCTCCATCACCCACATGGCCTTCATCACATCGCCGTGGCTCAGCTGATCGTCGAACCGCACCACAGCCCACACCCCCGCACACTCGATGGCCCTCCGCAGCCGAATATTGCGGATGATGGGCCGCAGGGCGTTTCTGAAGTGGCGGGCTGTCGACTTGAAGCGGCCGACGGTCGTGAGGTCAGAGAATGCCAGGACGATGCTCATCGGCCCGGCGGGAATGTCAGTCACGTGCAACCGCCGAGCCTGACGACACACAGAAAGACATACAGGCAGCTGTGTGTGTCTGTGTGTGTCACTGTGTGGTCTCTCTCTCACCTGAGTGCGGGTGTGTGTTGTGAGTGCGATGGTCGAGTCGATGCTGTCCGCCAGCTGGGCCAGACGGGCCGATTCATTGGCGAGTTGACGAGTGACATTGGCCACCATCTGATGAATGAGTGAATGAGAGCACACGAGAGCATCATGACACAGAGGCCTTTGTGCTGTGTGTGGCAGTCTGGCCGCACCAGTGGTGTGATCGCAGAGGTGTCCATTTGAGTGAGTCGGCCGATGCCACTGTTGACCTGCACACCACAGCACACACAAACAACACAAAGCAACCGATGAGCGACGGATGCACTGAATGAGTGAGGTGAGTGTGCCGATTAGGTACCCTCGCCTGATTGGTCTGATAGCCCTGAATCTGTTTGAGCATCTCATCCCTGGTTCCCATTTCACTCATCTGCACCAGACAGACCGAATGACAACACATTCACACGCAGACAGCACACACAATGATCTATCCCATCGTTCACGTGCTTTGTTTGGCCCGAGGTTTGGCCGGCCGGCAGGCTGCTCTTCTCTCACCTGATTCGCTTTTGCCATCCATCGTCCTGCAAAGTTATGAATCAGACTGATTCCTCGGGCGTCACGAGCGCTCTGCACGCATCTGTCGTCACCATGAACGGTTTTCATTCCTTTCCTCCCTTGCATGCGAGCTGAAGCTCGCAACGCAGAGAGGAGAAGGAAAAAGGACGTGAGACTATCTCAAATGGCGGATCACAGGCGCAACGCCGCTGCAGGGCGGCAGGAGATGCCATTGATTGATGGCGAGATCTGCAGAGCAGACTTCCCCTTGCGGATTTCACAGAGTTGTCGGTCGACCAGATGGCCTTGTGGCCGAGAGCCGTTTCCTCGTCCTGCAGACCCAAGGATGTGTGTGTTCTCGCTTCCAGCCATCGATTCGTCCGGCTCGATGAGATGAATTGAGAGATCTGGGCAGACACGGAGGGAAATGGGAGGCGCGGAGCTTTGCTGATCTTGCCGGAGCATCGTCGCAGGCGGGGACACGTGAGAGGAGCTGACAAGTGAGATGAGCCGCTCATCAGATATCTGAGACCTCGTCTGTCGTGTTGTGTGTGTGTGTGTGTGTGTGTGTTGGTCTGTCAGGGGCTAGGTGTCGGTTCTCCCTGGCCAAGCGACGGCCGTGGACGTGCCAGCCGATGCCAACACGGCCTCATGAGGTCTCATCGCCAGGAGCAACGTGATATGTGAGGGGGCTGGCGATGGTGCATGGTCCTGCGTTTGTGGCTGATTGGCGTCAATGAAGTGTACTCTTCGCTGGACTGAGCCCAGCTGAGGTACCCTACCTGCTCTTCGATGTGTCATATGTATCGTACATAGCTGACTGACGGGTGAGTGCATTTGTCACTGTTAGTTTATGTTATGCACTCAAGCCAATTTGTCAAGTGCCGCTACACACGCCCATGTCATCGGGGACCGATCGCAGGTTGACTGCAGCGGGAGGGGGCTGTCTGTGTGACGCATGCCCCTCTCCCTCCTACATCGCCTGCCACACTGGCACATCGGCTATGTTTGATCTGACGGCCTACGCCAACCAATGGCCGGCAGAATAGGTCAGCCGACACACCCATACACCTCACACCAACCACAGATATACCATCAAATGCTCCTTCGGGGGTCACTCACGAACGCTCATAACTCGTGGATTGAAGTGTGTCACGCTGCGTCCGTCATTGGGCGTGTGTCACACATCATGCAGACTCGACTTCTCACTTCGTGTGTCTGGGCAGAGGCAACAGAGGCACACAGAGAGACCAGGAGTTCGAGTGATGTCTGTCTGATACACACCAAGTGTCCATTATATGTCTACAGGCATCGCATCAATCATGTCACAAAACGCTTCGCCGCCAAATCGTCTGTCTGTCCCTCACGTCAGTCACCCGCTGCACATCACACCACAGTGTCTGTCTGTCTGTCCCGCGTCACGCTGGCTGCATTGCAGCCCTTCGACGCATCGTCACGTCATGTGGCCAGCAGTGGCGTCGGCTGCTCGGGGGGAACGGGCTCAACGCCCTTGAGAGCACCTAACCTCTGACCCACACGCAGCTTCTGACCCTCTTGCTGCACAACACACACACACATACACACACACACAAAAGAGTGAGGGCGGGACACGCAGCACCGGTGTGTGTGTCTGCTCACCACAGTCCACTCCCAGTCCTCTGGCGCCTCGAATATGAGGATGATGCTGGAGCCGAGACGAAAGTGCCCCAAATGCTCCGATCGGTCCAGCCGCACCCCATCTGAGACTCATACAGACAGACAGACAGACAGGCAATCAGTCAGTCAGATGAATCAGGCCTGACATGTCTCGAGATGGTGTCTGTGTCGGTGGATGCGTGTGAGGTGTGTGTACCTTTGTATTGGTTGGAGAAGACCTCCCCTCCCAGATAGACAGGCGGGGTGCGGTACCGGTTGGTCCAACATTTCTGACACACAGACAGGCGCACACACGGCAACTGTGTTTTCGGCCCTCTCTGCGTGTCTTGCCTGGTGTGCTGCCCCCCAACTCACTGACCCTGTCGAATGAGAGTTTTATGCTGCCCACGTTGTATGCCCCGACAGCCGCAAACCACAGCTTGCCCTCGTGCCAATTACCGTTCACTACAACACGCTCGTTGACCGCAAAGATGTCCTACACAAACACATCCCCACACAGAGAGGCACAGCACAGCTGCAATGAGCAGATGGAGGGGCGGGCGGGCGGTGTCTGCATGTCATGGCGTCTGTCTATGTGGTTGGCTGGCTGACGTTGAATGTGCTGAAGAAGAAGCTGTTGACGGGCAGGAGGTCGCCGGGGAAGTGTTTGGCCATGCGGATGTCGTACTCACACGGCGAGTGGAAGTGGTGGTAGTCGGCAGGACCCAGATACAACACACAGTACTTGAGCGGCTTCTGCGCACACACACACGAAGCAGAATGGTGCAGTGCATGTTGAGTCGTTTGTGTGTGTGGGCGATTCCTCTCTCGTGTTTAGGTGGCTGACCGATGCTTTCCTCCTGGGGTCTTCGCCGAGAAAATGCCTCATCAGATAGCTGGTGCCTGGACAGATAGACACGACACAAGCAGTGCAATGCAATGTGGTCATTCATTCTCCTCTCTCTCTCTGTGTAAGCAGCATTGCATCAGCATCAGCCGACAGACCTTTGACTTTCATGGCCGGCAGTCTGTATCTGTCGTCCCGTATGTCGTAAAGGAGGGCCTCCTCCTCGCCCGTGAGGCCCCCACCGATGTCGGTCGGCGACCGCTGGCTCACCGACAGAGGGATGTCACCGAGCGTCATCACCTTGCAGTCACACGGGCTCACCTGATGGACATGAGTCCATGACACACGCGTCAACCTGGGAGGGCACCGTGTGAGTGTGAGTGTGGCTGTGGCACCATTGCGGATGGGTGTGCGTCTTCGATGGGCCGAGCGTCGAGCAAGAGTTGTCTGCAGAAGAAGTCGGTGATGCTGCGGTAGGAGTCGATCGGATACCGCACCTCGTCCATGTTGATGCCCAGCAGATATGCACCTGCACCGAACACATGCTTCCTGCACACACACACACACACACACACTGGCATTAACGTCAGGAAGAGAAAGCGTTCGTGTCGCGGTGTTGGTTGGCTCACCTCGTCCAGTGTGGGAGTGGTTTGGCCATGAGAAATCCCGTCCACCGCGATCGAGTCCGGCCGAAGATTATCCGAAGAAACCATAACTGACACAGACAGCCACACAGACGCATGGCACCACCCGTTCACGTGTTTGTGGTGGATGTGGGTGGGTGCCGACCTTCCCTCACCGTATGAACGTTTGTGAGCCCAGCCGAGTTGCCCATGACCTGCACGGCCTCGCCGAACTTGTAGTCAGAATTGAAGAGAACTATAGCCGTGATGCCTGCCACAAGCTTCTTCGGGTGGTGCGACACCCACCTGACGACGCCAGTCAGTGCAACACACACCACCACACGCCACACGAATCATGAGCAATCGATGTCTGTGTGGCGTGCACATATGCGCATCTCATCATGTGGCTTACGTGAAGACGCCCACTTTCGGCTGGCTGCCGATGCGGCGCGAGAAGTTGGTCCCCATATCTGCTGCCCTTCAAAGACAGCCGCCAGCCGACGAATTCCACTCACTCACTCACTGCCTTCCAATGACAAAGCGATGAATGGGAACACAACACGATGCTTGCTGCTGCCCAGCTACAGCCTCAATAGATGCGCACACCAGCTCCCTCGTCAATGACCTCTGTGATGATGCATGCGATGCGAATGCGCCGGATCTGTCGATTTCGGTGCTGGACAGGTCTTCACTCTTCTCACTGCTACTGTACAGACCACCAACAAGGCCCGAACCTCGAAATCCCTTTTTGCGAGATCAGCTACGAGCTTAGAATGGCAAGCGCCTTGCGAATTTGAGGCGGCTGAGGCAGTGATACTCGGTGGTACTCGGTCCTGCTCGCCCCACCACAAATGACCACGAGAGAATCATCGAAAGGCTTGAGGAGGATTCTTCGATGCGCGCATTTGCCAGACAGACTGAAGGGGACACTTGTCGTTCTCGGCGGCGTTCTTGTGCTCACGCCAGATTCATTGCTGATCAGGTCGGGGATCGGCACGCATACACACAGAAAGGAGGATACATTGCATTCACGGCTTGTGGTTCATTCGTGTGTTCTCTTTTTCTTGCTCGTACTGCAGGCAGGTGAAGCACTACAATGCCTGGACCATTGCATTTGGGCGGCAGATCCTCCTCTTCTTCACTCTGCTGACCGCCACGCTTGTCACGACGCCGCCTGGTGAGCGATGGCGGACACTCAAGGCTGGCTTCCCTGGCGTCCTGTGCGCGATTGCTCCCCTCTCACTCACACAGGTTAAGCGAACCGAATGCTTGAATGCACGTTCCTGACGCTCTGAAGTGTCTGTCTGTCTGCCGCAGCTTTCCTTTCCATTCGCCATTCTAATGACAACGGTCGCCAACACTCTCGGGTAAGCAGCGCTTGCCAACTGACATCTATCCACTCACTGTCTTTCGTGTGATCGCAGGATCATCGCGTCAAATCCTCTATTCGCTGGTCTCTTCTCGACATTATTTCTCCGTGAGCACGCGCCCCTCTCTCTGTGGCTGGCCATCGTTGCTGTTCTAAGCGGTGTGGCCCTTGTGTTCATCGATGACATCAATGGCAGTGGTCTGTGGGGCAACCTGCTGGCTTTGGTGGTGGCCATCACTGTGGGTATCTACTTTGTCGTTGTCAAGGCCCTGCTGCGCAAGCACAGCCATCTCAGCCCAATGCTCATTGTCGCCTACGCCGCCCTGCTGACAACCATTGTTTCTGCCGCAGCAGGAGAGCTCGATTTCACGCCGCTCGGCTACTTCAAGTGGTCCGACATCGGTTGGTTTGTGATCCAGGGGTGCTTGTCCATCCCAATAGCCTTCGCCTGCCTCACCATCGGCCCACGATATCTCCATCCGGCAGAAGCGGCTCTCTTCTTGAATGTGGAGGTGGTTTTGGGGCCTTTCTATGTGTTCCTCTCTGAGGGTGAGACGCCTTCAACGATGGCTCTGATTGGCGTGAGCATTGTGCTGTTCACCATGGTTGCACATTCTGCCCTCGTGCTGTGGCAGAGCCGCAGAGAACAAAGAAAGACAAACGGGGAGGTGATGGTGGCTGACAAGGACAGAGGCACGGAGAAGATGACCAAGGCAGACACGCAGCCGACCCGCCTTGAGTCGATTGATGTAGGGGTGGATGTGTCGCCGGCTGACGCACGGCAGAACGAGTGTGACTGTGATGGGGTGGAAGATCGGGAAAGAGTAGCCATGGAGGGTGTAGCTGTTGTTACGTGTGCGGCTGGGTGCGAGAGGCCAGATCTGCGAGATAGTGGGCAGAGGACAGCAGGGGCATAAGGGACGTTGCTGGTTCGATGCAAGGTCCACAAAGTTTGGCGAGAATTAGAATTCTCGTCGAGAAATCGCGTGAGACGGAAAAAAAAACAAGATTAGACGATTCTGCGAATTCATCGTATTGCAATCCGTGGTGTCCGACGGCGCACTGTGGTGTGTCGCCAACATCCCTGTCATCAGCGGCCCGCTCCTCGTCCACTCCCGCGCGCCCCACCACACTCTCCAGCAGCATGTCATTCAAACGGGTGAGCTCGAGCAGCGCCAGCTAGTCGCACAGACCCATCTTCGTCGCTCTGTGCCCTGCGTGGACGAGCGCCATCAGCGCTCGTTCGCGGCGTGTGCGTACGCGTTTTTCCCTTCGGTTCCCTCCTGAACAAAACAGCACGATGGGGAACTTGAAGAACATCACCGAGCGTTTCTCCTCGACGTGGATCTGGCGCCGCGCCAGAGGTACGTAGGGCGTCAGTGGGTAAGAAGGGAATCTGTCCGTGTGTGTGAATGTGTGATTGGTTCAGGGACGGCACACAGCTGTGGACGGCCATCGACAGGGAGACGAGGAGGCACTGCGTCGTCAAGAGGATAGCCAAATCCTCTCCTGCGCCCAGCGACGTGAGGGCCCGTGCGACACACGACAGACGCGCGCGTCCCCCCCTCCACACGAGCATGGCTACTCCCATCGATTTGCTGTTCATCAATTTCATCCGGGATCTTTTCTCGACGGCTCAGTCGAAGAAGGACCGCAGGATGGCACGTAGGATGGCCGTAATCTTTAGCAAGGTTGGAGCCATCTACACCATCGAAGAGGAGCGGAACAAGGTTCTGGCCGTGATAGAAGCCCATAAACAATATGGCGACCCTTTTCAGCATCTGTGGAGCTATGCATGAACATTAACATCATCACGACCGCAGGTGACGCATCAATTGCGGATGCGGCATCGATGCGTACGTGTGTATGTCTATGCGTCTGTGCGTGTGTCTGTGTGTTTTGTGCCTCTGTGTTTTGCAGGTGTGCCGATTCGTTGTCGACACGTACCCCAAACCCTGCCTCTCTACGTGCGGGTCGCGCAGAGCATCGAGACAATCAGCAATGTAAGCAATGTTTGCAGATGATGTGTTGTGGAATTGTGTGGCTTCACGTCGTTGCCCTCAGCTGCCCCACTGCACGCGCCGTCTACGAGCTTCTCCAGCACGACAGCCCCCCATACATTGTGGGTGCCGACTACGTCAACATCGTGCTGGAGAAGCTGAGCGGCATCACTCTCAGCAGCTACCTGGACAGCTTCGAGGGCCAACTGCCAGAATTCCACTGCAGAGTCATCATCGACAGGCTGTTCCTCGCTCTCGAGCACATCCAGGACAGCGACGTACTTGCGTGCACGCCGTTCCGTGGGGCGTTGCCAAGGCTGGGTGGCGGTGGTTGGGAAGCGGTGATGCTCGGCTTTGCGCTGTTCTTTGGGATCGTTGGCTTCTACCACATAAGTCAACCGGAGAACCAGGAGATGCGCAACAGCCTTCTCGCAGTGGGGTTGATTGCTTTATGTGCCTTTTCAGATCATCTCAAAGCGGACAACATTGTTTTTGTGCGACAAGAGGAGGGGCCGAGGCTGCGCGATTTTGACCTCGCCGAGGCCGTTGATGGTGATGGGAGGGTGGTTGACGAAAGGGCTTCTGTCCGGGCACAAGCGATGGATGAGCTCATCGCCCGCGCACCCGCCTCCGGCGAGCTCTTTTTCCAACTCCAGCAAGACCAGGAGACATTCACCGATTACGTCAAGAAGGCTGTGTCGGCGCTGCAGGATTACGACCTCAGGATCGATGTGCTCCATGACCCTATATGGTGAGTGAGTGATTGAGTAAGCGAGTGAGTGAGTGAACGAGCGGCCACGCATACGACACGCCCAATCCTACCTTGCCTCCTGCTTGCTGGCTCTCTGGTCGCTGTTCATGTGTGAATAGGCCGCTGAGTGCCTTCAAGGGAGATACTCAAAGGCCTCCGACATGTGGGCGGTTGGGGTGATACGTAAGCGTTGAAGCAGTGACGTGTCTCCATCAAATGTATTTTCGTCGATGTATGGGTCTTGCTTGTTTGCATCCATCAGATACATGATGTTGTACCAGAGGTTTCCATTCGATATCGCTGACAACGTCAGTACGTCCGAAGCATACGAGTGCACTAAGAAGGTAAGTGACTAATGCGCGATGTACCACAGCTGACCATCTCTTCTGTATATGTTCTTCGGACAGGGAACTGACTTTCCTGAAACCGAAGGCGGCCGTTTCGACGAGGCGAGGAATTTGGCGCAACATTTGTTGCAATTCGAGGACGACGGCCGGCCATCCGGTACGCAGCCCACTATTACTGAATGTCTCAATGCTGTTGTTTGGCATTCAGCAAAGGGGGCATTGTCTCACAAGCTGTGTGGTCATTTCCTTAAGCTGGATCTGGGTGTGCCTTTTCTTCTCTTCGTTCTTGGTGCGCAGGTGTGCTGGCAGCACTGTAACGGCCATTTCAGCTCCAGCGTCCGACTCGGGCGGCGCTATTGGCATCTCGTTGACGTCGGTCCAAGAGACACAGACAGGTAGGCGCTCCTCCCACCCCCCCAACCACACACATGCGTGACAAATCAGGTGCACATTTGTGCGTTCCGTGTCTTATCTAGGTGGAGGATTGTTTGGTGCGAGTCTGCACCTGCCTCCCTCGGGCGGCCCATCCCTCCCAGCCATGGCGCCCGCCACCGTCAGCCCTTCCGCAGGCACGTCCACGGTGTCCACTGGTGCCTTGGGCATGGGGGCTGCTACCGTTGGAGGTCTTGGGGCATCGATAGGAGGGGCACAGTTCCCGGCGGGTGAGCAGAGGTATGAGAAAGGGACATGAGCATGCTCTTGTTATCATATTCAGGTACCACTAGTTGAGTTGGTGATGGCGTGTCGGCTGGCGCCACGGTTGCTGGAGCGCTCGGTGGGGCATCAACTTCTCAAACTACAGGTCTGTCACCCACAAAACATTCGCTCTCTCTCTGTGTTTCGGTGCATTGGCTGTTTTTGCTGTCGCTTGTGCATGTAGAGGCGTACGTGGGGGCCACGCAGGCGCAGGGGCTGCCCTCCACCACAGGAGCGCCAACCACCACTACCACCACCACGGCCACTGCGCGTCCCCGATTCGCTCGCTTCACCATCGCATCTCCCGGTCCACATTCACTCACAGAAAGACGCTTACAGACACCCACACACTTTTTTTGTCATTTCCTTCAGCTGATCTCGTTTCCCCCCCGTCCCCGCCCCAAGGCAGATGGGCCAACGCCACGATCGACGAAGAGCAGCAAGCACTCGACCGCCTGAGGGAGCAGCTCGGCAGGTTCGTGGAGGCACACCGACTTGAGGGACGCGCCTGGCTCTACAACGAGGTCGTCAAGCGGATTGGCGGGGAACGCAGCCTCTCGCCCGACCAGAGGGGGCTGTCTCTCCGCAAGAAGACCCCAAAGGACCTCGCCAACGAAATACTGGACAAGCACCAGATCCCCCACTCGGTATGGCCACACACACGCACACACACACACGCAAACATCAACACGTGTGCATATGTCCTTGCTGCTGTTGCTGTCTCCTGCCGACATGCAGCCTCCTCCCCCGCCGGCCTTGCCGAAGAGCCCTCACCGAAACCAGCAGCGAAGCAAGAAACCGAGTCCTCAGAAGGGCCGCAAGGGACACGACGACCACAAGGGGGGAGGGGGGGGCAAGGACGACAAGGATCAGGGAGGAAAGGGCGGGTGGCCTGGAGCCATGTAGACACACGCCGTCTTGTTCGCAACGCATCGGACCCAGGTATGATGCTGTCAGCAACTGGGCAGGCAATGTTCCTCTCCTATCTTCGCATTGATGTATCGTGCCTCTCAGATCGCCGCCTGCATTTCATATTCGTCGGGAGTTTTCTACTGCCGTACGAGTGCACATCGACACAAAGGAGCTGCCTCGAGGTGGGAAGGAAGTCTTTCAACAGCATTCTGCGGTCAAGTAAGAAGGAGTGCTGATATGTCCTGCCTGACCTCCATCCTGTTACAGCAAGCCGGCCAGCTCCAGCCCGAGCTCTCCCTGAAGTTCGACATCTCAGGCTGGAAATGGCCGCACAAGGGAGGAGACACACCACCGCCTCCCCCGCCAGGCGAGATTGACGACCGCCGGCGGGCGATCATAGAGGGGGCAGACCGCCACATCGATCCCTACAAGCCCCCGGTGCAGGAGTTGAAGCAGCTGGGCGGGCAGCCGAGACAGAGAGAGCACCAACGGACACATGCACATGCATGGTGAATGTGATGCAATACATATCTGTATCCCTGCAGGTATGGCCATGAAGCGGCTGCTCAAGCCGCACCACACCGTCGAGAAGCTGCCGGACGGCTCCACCCCCCCGCGCACCCACCAGCAGAGCCTGGCCCTGGACACATACTGGAAGGTGGTGGGCCTGGCCTCAGCCCCAACCAGCACGCACCCCTGACCCATCCGCAGATGGTCAACCTGCTGCGAGAGAGGAGCGGCGGCCAGTCATCGAGCCATCCATCCATTTGACTGCTGGGTGGCAGGCAGGCAGGCAGGCAGGCAGGCAAGTCAGTGAGAGTAGCGTGGCCCCCCTGACTGACTCCGGTTGGGATGGATGGATGGATGGAGAGAGGAGAGGGAAGCACACCGGCTATCTGACCACCCATGTGTGGCTGTGTGAGGTATATTTCGTCCGTGTGGTCGCCTTTCTGCCCATCTGTCTTGCCTTGTGTCTGGCCGTCGTAAGGATTGCATTGCTTCACCTCTCTGGAGTTATTTGTATCGTTGTGGGTGCTGTGGGGCTGGAATGGCCCCAATCCAATGTGTGTGTGCGTGGGTGGTGGGGAAAGAAAGGACAAGTAAAAGACCCAACACAGCCCAGCAGAAGGCAGACAAAAAAGAGAGAAGGGCCCACTAGAAGGCCGCAGAGACAGAAGGGCACCAACAGAGAGAGCCAACAGGTGAGGGCGACACCCCACACCACCGGATAGCACTTACAAATGCATGCATTTCTTGTGGCTGGATACGTACGTGTGTGGGTGGGTGTTGTCTGTTTGTGTCGCAGGCACCATGTGGCTGAGCCGATGCCACCCTGACACACATCAATGTCCGTCATCTGCACTAGCACACGATACAGTGTATATGGCGTTGTATTCTATGCTGCTGCAGGCCACCTACCGAGTCCCGACAACAGATGCCCAACGCCCACCAGCAACAAAGAGACCTGCCGCCACCAACAAAGAGACCGGCGACTTCATCTCACCCACTCAGAGCCCCGGGAAGCAGCCCCAGCAACACCCAGTGGCCCCACCTCGAATGGTGGTGTGGCACCCCTCACTGGACGGCCGCACCCCAGCCACCAACACGCACCCAGTGAGAGAAGATGGTGGCACCCCTCACTGGAAGGCGGCGGCCAGCACGACCACACCTTCCGATCTCCTGAGATCGCTGCCTTCATTTTATATCCGGACGTTGGATTTCGTTTCATGATGGGCGTTCTGTATGGATGTGCGGGACGAGCTGGCTCGGTGAATGGTTGATATATTACTTGACACACGGACAATGTAGGAATCAGTACACGAGATGCCAGCTGTTGATATGCTCAATGACGGATTTTCTGTGTGATTGATTGACGATCAACTGACGTGTAAGTATACACTTTCCATAACACACTCATTCACTCGATCACTCGTTGACTGGCTGGCTTCATCAGGCATTGATGGACTGACTGTCACGGCGATGCAGCCAGGCCGTCCCTCCGACTCCGGCCGCGGGCGTGGTGACGCCGAGGGCTCAGCCGCGACAACCGGCGCCACTCGTCCGCCCCGCTACATCTTGAAGCAGCTTCTCGGGTCGGGCACCTTTGGCAAGTGTTACGTTGCCACCGGCACATCAACGAACGAGCTGGTGGCCATCAAGAAGAGACCCAAGTGAGCGAATGTCCATCCCGCCATGTCATTGTCATGTCTCTGAGCACTTGCACAGGTGGGGCGGTGGTGTGAGCCGCGAGCAGGTGATGCTTGAGCTTGTCAAGGGGCTGCCCCACTGTGTGCAGATGGAGGGAGTGGTCTACACGCACTCACCGCGACAGATACTCACGCAGCACATCGTCATGCAATGCGTGCCCTGTGCGCCTCTCATCACCTGACACGCACACATATGATGGAAGCACGAGACATTCACATACCCTTCTGTCTCTTTATCTTCTGTGTGAGCGTGGATTGTTCAGCGACGTTGGGGCAGCTGATCCGTCGGCACCGTGCCGAGAGGAGGCCTCTGCCCTCTGACCTCATCCGCTCCATCGCAAGACAGCTCGTCGCCGCACTGCACGCCCTACACCAACAGAACATCGCACACGTCAGTTCAGTGGGGGACAGACACATCGATACATACACGATAGACATGTGGATGCGTGGATGCATCCATTGTCGGTGTCGGTCAGCGTGACATCAAGCCCGAGAACATTCTGTTTGACCCCAAGACCCGCGACATCTTCATCTGTGACCTCGGTCAGTCAGTCACCCGGCACGGACGCACACACACAACGAGACACACTCGATCAGTCGAGTGCGTCTGTATGTATGTGTTGTGTGCTTCACACACAGGCTGTGCCAAGTCTCTGTCGGACTCGCCACACCACATGCCGTACATCTGCTCGCGGCCATACAGAGCGGTCAGCAGACAAAGACTTGCCGCCAACCCACACACAGCCACCAACGTCTCACATCTATCTGTCTGTGTGTCTGTCTTGTTGTGTCAGCCCGAGCTCTTGTTTGGGTCGATGACTTACAACGAGTCTGTCGATGTGTGGTCAACGGGCTGCATCCTCGCAGAGATGCTTGTATGTCTACACACACACACAAGTACGCCCCGCCCCTCTAAATGTCTCTGCATGTGTGTGTGTCGTCCCATCAGTTGCTGTCACCGCTGTTCGTCGGCCGGAAGCCGCCCCAACCCCAACACGACAACAAGGACAACAACGACAACAAGGACAACAAGGAGAGAGACGACGGCCGCCACAAACGCAAACGAAACAGAATGGAGGGTCCCCAAGGTGAGATCAATCGACCAGCCACACATCCATGACACACACACACATCAGTCAGCCGCGTGTGTGCCTGGATGTCACAGCTGGCGACGACGAGCCCTACCAGATCCTGCGCATCTGCCAAGTGCTGGGCACGCCGACAAGAGCTGAGACGGAGGAGCTGACGGCCTCAGCTGGCGAACTCATCAAATCCCTCGAGCTGCCCGCGGTGTTTGCGTCTGAGCGGCTGGCGGCCACCGACCTGCGACGCGTGCTGGCACCGCTCGTGCCGCCGGGGTACGTGTGTGCACATCTATACAATATGTGTGTGCTCTCTGTGTCGTCATCATCATCCAGGGGGTGTGTGTGTGTTCAGTGAGGAGGGGCTGCTCGACCCCATCCACCGATGCGTCAAGTGAGCGACCATGCCATCATGAGCCATCATGTCTCTGTCTGTCTGTCTGTTGACGTGTCAACGCAGGTGGTCTCCGTCTGCCCGGTGTAATGCTGCAGAAATGACCCAACACTCATACATCAACAGAGTCTGAGCTGAGTGCAGTGCAGTGTATGGATGCACAAGTGAGTGGATGGATGACGGGGGAAGAGTGTGAGTGTTCTGGTCGTGGATGGACGAGTGCGTGTGTGGTGGGAGCGAGGTTGTCTTGATGACACGCGTCCAACTCAATCGATCGCACGTTGTCAGCTGTATGTCCATTCTCAACACAGACTCACCCACACACATGTACGTATGGACCTCACAAACACGTCCGAAAAAAGGCCAACGGTGCACCGGCCGTCGATATATAAAGCTTCACGAAGGGAAGAGGAAAAACGACCCAAAAGTGTGTATGATCTGATCGATGTGTGTACGGATGTCCGCGTCTATGCTACATGCATGGAACCGAATGGGGAAAACCGATCCGGAAACCGATCAGCCGGGCGTGACAGACAGCACACAGGAGCGCACATACGACACAGACAGACAGACAGACAGATCCACACACACACACACACACACGTGTATACAAATACTGCAGATACATGGACGCGCACGTATATAAACCCGGTGCAACGCTCGATTCGTGCGTCACACTCACTGTTTTCCTCCACCGCCTCTCTCTCTCTCTCTCTCTCTTTCTCTCTCTCTCTTTCTCTGGACTATATTACACTCGATGGGCAATCATATAAATGACACGTACGTACGTACAGGCGTATATATGCAGCCATCTACACACACACACATACAGACATATACACATCTCCACGCAGACAGACAGATGCTCACACACAAACATGTTGTCTTCCACTGTCACAGCCAGCGCCTTCACTCACTTTTTCGTGCTGCAGTGCAGGCAGTGAATACAACAGACAGATAGACAGACAGACACAGGTGGGTGGATCCGCCCACCTACTTTACCGCTCACACATATACAGGCGTACCTTCCCGCCTCGTTGTAGCGGAACTCCTTGCCGCAGTGGGTGCAGGTCATGTGGTTGCAGCCGGTGGTCTTGCTAATCACAGCACCGCAGCCGGGACACACGTTGGTCCGGTGACGCTGACCGATTGCAACGCACCACCAATGCCACACTCCCCCATGTGTATGTGTGTGTGTGTGTGTGTGTGTGTGTATGTGTGGTGCCGGCTGCGTACCTTCTGGTATCGCAGGAATGCCTCTTCGCCCCGTTTGTCGTCTTGGTCGGGCTGCAGCAGCAGCCCAAACCAGCCCTGGCGCGCTGTATCCTGCTTGGCCTGCTCACACGTCATGTCCTTGTGGACCTTCCCGCCGCACAGCAGACACCTGACACACGAACAAACAAACACACACACACATACACACATGCACATGCATCGCGGGATGTGTGTGTTGGTTTCTCTCGTACTTACAGCTTCTTGCATTTCGGGCAAGGAAAGCCAGCCTGTACACCTCGCTCAGGGCCGAGGATGAATCGGTAACCGCAGTCAGGATAGCCTGCACGTGCACACACACACCACATCAGTCAGTCACACCCCCGCCCACCCCACTCATCCCATATGTCTGGGCGTACCACACACGCGCATCTCGGCCATCTTGCCGATGAGCATCTCGTCATACTTGGCCAGCTCGACGTCCTCCATCACCATCACCAAATCGGCCGCATTCAGCTGTGTCCGGCATTGGTGCTCCCCACCCACAGCCGACGGGACGAGCGAGGGGCACACGAAGGGCACCTTCCCGGCAGATAGCTGATGCTTCAGGTAGCCGGCCAGGCAATCGAAGTGGTACGTGCACCCGCAGTTGAGCAGCCGCAGGCAAAGCTCCGTCTGCGGCTGCAGCCCGTCTCGGCAGATGCAGCACACCTTGTCGAGATGACCATGATGCTGGGCGGGCCGAGCTGCATTGCCGGTGGGCAGAACAGGTCCGTCATCCGCTGCTGCTGGCAATGCCGGTGAGGAAGCCGTCCCACGAGTCACACTGGCGCAGAAGCTCCAGATCACGCGCATCATTGTGAGTTCTGCGGTTGGCCGACACCGTCAGGTGAGCGGAGAGAGCCGGCGATGAGTAAAAGGGAAACGAGAGGGAAGGCTTTCCTACAAAAAGCTCGCCATCCGGCTAGGGTGCTCCCTGAAACCGCTGGCTGGCGAGTCAAGAAGGATTTTTTTTCGATGGGAATCCACAGAGTGCAATGTGACAGGTATGCAGCGTGCGAGATGCGTCCATGGAGAAGCAGATCTACGCTCATGACTCATTGGCTGTGTGCGGCTTGTGCTTGTGTGGTTCGTAGGTTGCTGGGCAGTCCATTCATCTTGGAGAGTCTGAAGCGACTGATCAACCACCTGGAGACCACATCGCCACGGGACTTCAACGGCAGGTTCTTCCGGGAGGTGTCATCTGCACGCATTGACCCAGACCTCAGAAACCAAGTCACAGATGTAAGTACGTCAGTGACTGCAATGCCGACTGGATGCAGTGCATGGAGCGAGTGCATTATTAGCATCCCTCTCTGTGCTGTGTGTGTCTGTCTGCCTGCAGTGCCTGTACAATCTTGTGAGGTGGCGGAGGTTGCTGGACCACGCTGCTGGCATCGATGAGAGCACCTTGCCGGAGCTGTCAGGCCGCAAGGGCAGCGCCGATCCCGCCCTCTGGCAAACGAGGCTGCAGACCTATCTCGACGGTCGGTCTGAGAGACCCACCTGTGCACGTCGCTCGGATGCGTGTATTGTCAGGCGGGTGGGCTGAGCTGGTGGATGACGCCTCCATCCCCCCGGATGTGCGCGTGTCCCTCCCCGCCCCGCTGTTCGACCGGCTGGCCGGCCGCTGGGGGCATGACAGGGCCATGGAGCTCGGACTCATCTTCAATGAGTGGGCGCCGCTGTATCTGAGAGGTCAGTATGCCTCAGTAGACACCCATCCAAGCACCATTCGCCGTGGATGGTTAATGTGCTAATGTCTGCTGGTGGGTGGCTGGGTCAGTGAACCCGCTGAAGGCCAATCGTGAGGATGTGTTGGCTGTGCTGAAGAAGCGGGGCCTCGACGCACAGCCCGCTGGACCGGCACTCGCCATACGCACACTCAACGACAGGTCTGTCAGTCAGGCACACACACACACACTCACTCACACACGCCGCATAGATTTTGTCGTTGTGTGTTCCGTTGTGTTGTGTGTCAGATTTCCGATTCACCGGTTGCCTTTGTATATCGATGGTGTGGTGGAGGTGCAGGACGAGTCCACACAGATCGTCGCCGGTCGGACAGACAAGCAGACAACCACACATCATCTCATTCCACACACAGACAGAGAAAGTGTGTGTCCTGTTTGTTGTGTCTGGTGTGTGTGCTTTCAGAGAGCATCGATTGCCGGCCCAATCAGCGGGTTCTCGACTACTGCGCCGGTGCGTATGTCGTGAGTGACGGACGCCGTGACTGGATGGATGGGTGTATGCGTGTATGCAGGTGCCGGCGGCAAGTCACTCGCAATCGCGCACAGACTCAAGAGGACCGGTGAGTCCGTGACACACACACACACCATCCACACACACCACATCCATCCACTTGTCTGTCTGTCTGTCTGTCTGCCTGTCCTCATTCCCACCCAAACAGCCACCCCGCCATCAACCACCTTCGACGGCCCCTGCCCCCTGGTGCTGCACGACGTCCGAGAGGAGTCTCTGCACAAGGCCCACGCCCGCCTCTCCCGCGCAGGCGTCGAGGACTTCGAGTGCATCACGCCCGACCGGCTCTCACACCCCCAGCAGGCCAAGAGGATGCGCCGCAGCTTCGACTGGGTCATATGTGACGTGCCCTGCAGCAACACGGGGACGCTGCGAAAGCACCCCGAGTACAGGTGGCTGTTTGCTGAGAGTGAGCTGGGGGGCCTGGTCAAGACGCAGAGGGAGATCGTGGAGAGGGCCGTGGAGTTCGTCAAGCCCACAACGGGCAGGCTCGTCTACTCCACGTGTGCCATCACGGTGAGTGAGTGGGCGAAATGACTGAGGTGTGCCAACACGTGTGCTAACATGGCTCTCTCTCTCTGTCTCTCTCTCTGTGTGTGTGTGTGTGTGGATGTGTGTAGGAAGAGGAGAATGAGCAGCAGATCGAGTACTTCACGCGTCAGCTGGGGCTGGATGTGTGTGGTGCGAGTGTGGCGTGCGACGGCCAGGGTGGCGTCGCAATGCCTGACGACGATGAGTGTGGGGATGGGGAGCAGAGGGGGGAGGGGGTGAGGAATGTGGATGGCGATGGCCCCATTGTGTCATTTAGTGGGGGTGTGACCCACCTGCCGGTCAGCAGGGGCAGAGACGGATTCTTCTTCTGTGTCATGAGGACTAGAGATAGATAGCTGACAGCTAGAGGCATGCATGTCTGTCTGACAGTGTCTGTCATTTAGCCATCCTCCTAGCTTCAAGGTGTCCCTTCATGTCATTCCTTTATGCGCACAGACAGACAGACAGACAGAGAAGACCCTTCTCTACGCATGCCCCTGCCTGCCTGCCTGCCTGAATGTGTGCGATGCACACCTCCACTGGCTGCTGTGTGCACACAAACAAAACGAACGCATCCATCCCATCTGAGTGCGTGTGGCCTGCGGGCTTCACACGGGCGTGTGTGTGTGTGTGACACGAGCGTGTGTGTGCCAAGGCACGGGGGGAAGTATACATGCCCCATGTGCGAAGAAATTGCATACAACAAACACCACAAGTCAGTCAGAATCGCTGAAGCACACCGCAGTCAGTCATGAGCCTGTCTGTATGGTGTACAGTACAAGGGCAAGGTGCAACCACCTGGGCCACGCAAAAAGTAAGTCAACAGAAACCACCAATAAATACAGGCATCGCATCAATCATGCGTGTCGTGTCCACCAAAAAGGAACCAATTCGCCTCATCGATCCACATTTGCACCCGCCCCCTTCCCGCATGTCTGTCTGTCTGTTGGTCACGACTCATTACTGCTGCCCCAGCAGTGGGTCCGTCGGGCTTGAGCCGATAGTATCGTCACTGCTGATACTCTGCCCTCGTGCTCGTGGTTCCGCGCGGTCGGCCTGGCCTGTGGCCTGTGTTGGAGTTGGCCGTTCCCGGCTCTCTCTGGGGGGTACGATGGGGCCGCCCAGCATCTTCTCCACCCTCCTAACACACACACACACAGACGGGAACAGTGAGGTGGGTGACAGCACGTTGTCCCGGTACCCACCCATCTGATAGATCTGCTCATTGGTCGTCATTTCTTACTTGACGTGGTCACGGCCGAGCCTCCGCGCGTGCACCTCCAACACCTCAGCCTGCGAAAGCGCGGCTATCTTGCACGCCGCGACAAACCGTTCACGATGGCTCTCCTTGATGTTCTGCAGACATGACACGGCCACTGGTGGTTTCTGTCAGTCAGGTCAAAAGATGCATTGCGTACCCCGTCTTCATCCAGGCATCGGTCAAGCACTCGAAGCGCATCGATACCGAGCATGGTGCTGTTACAGGGGCACGGCAGCCTGTGCCTTATCTGATCAACGGCATCACCTACTCTTTGAATCAAACGCCACTTTTCGCTGTCTTCAGGCTCAGGTACCCAGAGCAAGCTGTAAAGGAAACTCCCCATGCGGTGGCGATGCACGGCCGTCACGCGCCGGCGATCCAAGAAACCCTGCCATTGAAACCCAACTTGAACCCCAACAAAAGCCGCAGAAACGAACAAATGGGAGCAATGTCCATTTCTTCAGGAACACTCGTTGATTATTCATTCAGTCATCCTTCCGTCATATTGATTCGTTGGAAAGCTCCCTGTCCACCCACACTGGCCTCGCCTCGCGCCGCCCACGCAAATATCTATGTACATGTGCAGAGCGAACGGACACACTTACGCTCCCTCACACACGCAACACAGCACAGCACACAGCACACAGCCAACGCCGCGCCGCGCCCCGCTCCTGTACACTACACCCGCTCGCCCTCCCTCCCTCCCTCCCTCCCTCTAGACCTCTACACCTACCTCTACCGCTGTTTTTGTGTGCACTTGTCTGTCGGCCTCTACATATCGGCAATGGATATCGGCGTGGCGTGCGTTGGTCGGTCGGTGGGTCAGTTGAGCTCCTTGTCCTTGTTGGACCGGTGCTCAGGCTCCGCCACGTGGTCCCGCGGGCACATGCCCCACATGTCGCGGGCACGCAGGATGCTCGGGCCGGCCGTCGCTATGAGCAGATCTGTCAGCTCCTTCTGCAGCGCCGCCTCGTTGAGTGGGTAGCGGAAGAACATGTGCACGGGCCGGCGGCCGCACTCGTCAACCTGACCACACACACACAGACACGCACACAGAGGGTGGGAGAGAGGGGGCCGAGAGTGTGTGTGGATGGATACACAGACAAATACGGACCTCTGTGGCCAGTGAGGGCTCTCGCTGCAGCAGGCCCTTGACGAGCCGCAGCTTGCGGTGGCCGGAGAGTGGGCAGGCCGCCACGTGGTGCATGAGCGTCTGGTTCTTCAACGCCACACCCGGCGCATCCAGCAGGGCCTCTACTACCTCAACCTGGCTGCCGTTGGCTGCAAGGTCAACACACAAGCACACAGATACCCATTAGCATTCCGTGTGGTGTGGCGTGTGTGTGTATATGTGTGTGTTGTGTTGCATCCATCCACACATATGGCAATCTGTAAGAGTGAGCAGGTCATGGTGGTGCCCGTCGACGGACCGAAACCCACACGAGATCTGGTCCGCAGCAACTCTCGGATCTGCATCGAATCGACCGACATACAACCAGACAAACACATCTTTCTGCCGTCTGGCCGTGCGCTCGTGCGTCCTTACCGGTGAGTCGAGTGGCACATCGGTGGCTACCTGAGATGCCTGTGATGGTTGGGCCCTCTCGTGCGCCATTGTGCGCAGCGCTCGACACGCAGGCAGCTAGGGAGGCAGGGGAGGCCACAGGCGGGGCGGCAGCCGACGCCCGCACCTATCCACACATACTATCTATCCCCAGCTCTTGTCCGCCTACACCAAACTGTTGCACGCTTCTTTGAGCGGGATCTTTCTTTTTTCGGTTCCCGTTCGTTCGTTTCTTCCAGGGTTTGGGGTTTCTCGGGTTCAGGGTTTTTAGGGTTTAGGGGTTAGGGCCTGCAGATCAGACGCCATCTCAACACCTTCCCTACGTTGTGATGCTGCGAAACGACACACGGCGGAGCCTTCAGGTGTGCTCCCTCGCCGCAGGCCCTGCAGGTGCGCCATCCGCTCGACGACTGAGGCACCTTTCAGGCCAGATGAGAGCCTATACACCGCCTTGTAAGCCAGACGGACGAACAGACACATGAATGAATGAATGCAGATAGACAGAGAGATAGATAATGCACCCACCAGTGTCGTGAATCACTGCCTGCCTGTCTGTCTGTCTGTCGGGCTGTATGTCTGCGTGTCTGTCTGCAGCGAAGCGCAGGATGAAACAGCTGGTGTTCCGTCTGTGTGCCAGAAATGCCGCCAGTGCACCATCGATGTCGATGGCAGCTGCTTGCCTGTCGTCGGGTGGCAAGGAGTGGTGGCACGACAGCCAGGAGCGGCCCGACATGCTCATGGCCATCGACGACATAAGGGCAGCCACACGTGGGGAGGCACATGGGCCACACGGGAGGATTACAGACCCAACCACACTCGCAGTGGTGAGGGAAGGGAAAGAGACCAAGGGTTAATTTATGGCCAGAAGGAAGGTCACACAGAAAGACGAGCGTGTGGTGTGTGCGGCTGGATGGATCAGGTTGCTGAGAGGTGTGTGCGTGAGGGCATGACAGACAGGGCCGTGTGGGTGACGCTGGCCTGGCGGGCGCAGCAGCTCATCACCAAGACATTCGAACCACACCTGCGTACGTGAAGTCAGCCAACAGAGCCAACAAACAGACAATCCCACACACACACACATAAACAGACAGACAGACACGAACATGCCATATGCCTGTGTTCCCTCCCTCCGCCACACACACGTACGTGCAGCCCATCTGTATCGGATCTTTGCCGAGAGGGGCTGGTGTGACGATTGGCTGGTGACGGCCTTCACGGGCCGCATGAGGCGGCGAATGCACCACTTCAGGCTGACCGACTGCGCTGCGGCCATCCAGGCCATGAGCCACACACACTTCAAAGACGACACGTGCGCACATCAGACACACATGTGGCTCCTCTCATTATCCTTCTGTGTGTGTGTGGTGTGGTATGTCCTTGAGTATCTCAGGGTGTTTGATGGCCTGCTGGTGCGGGTGCGGCATCTGCTGTCGTCTGGTAGGGGCGAATACCGCCCCGCGCACCTGGCCACGGTGCTGCACGCCCTCTCGCTGCATCGACCACACACCGACGAGCTGCTCGCGGCGATCGGTACAGTCAGTGTACGCTCACCCCTCCACCCCTCACACATGAGTGTGGTGTGGTGCGATTGTGTTGACGCGTGGCGTGCAGGCGACCATTTGGTGGCGATTGCTGACGTCGATGAGGTGGATGATGCCTCGCGTGTGGCTGTTGTTGATACCATTGATGGTTCGTGCGGGGTGTGCCCCGGTGTGGCGCTGCCCGACAGCCTGGTGGCTGTGAGGGACAGATGGGGGCCTTGAAGGGCAGACAGACAGACAGGGGGTGGCGAAGAAAGATTTGTACGTGAGCTTGTCGGTGCTTGACTGACGTTGCTGTCTTATCCATGGGTGGGACTCATTTTGTATGGGACGCGCATACACTGATGAGATGAAAGGCAGGGCTGCCTTGTGCGACACAGACATGCACACCCACGTGCACACCCACCAGACACGACCAGTGTGCGTGTAGTGAGTGTATTAATGGTACCCACACGATCCGGAGAGAGTGCTTGAGCTTCTGGGTGTGTCTGTGCAGTGTTTACTCACCACACGGACATGAGAACAAGGCAAGGCAATGCAGTCACACACACACACACACACACACGTCTGTTCTCCCATCCATCCACACAGACAGCCACACAATGGATGTGTGTGTCTGGTATATATGTATCACGTGTTGACGAGCCAGGGGTTGGCCTCGAGCACCCGCGGGTTCGTCTCGCCGTAATCGATCAGCAACTCGGCACCCCTACACACACACACACACACACAAACATCGCGCCCGTCCCTCTGTGCGCGTGTTGTTTCCCATCCATCCATCCATCCATCCATTGCGCACACACGTAGGAGGCCTACTTGGGTATGTCCTCCTTGGCCACAAAGAACACCCGAGGGGTGCCGTTGGTGTCCGTCAACGACTGCACGGATGCCACACAACACACACACACACACACACACAGACCCACACAGACACACAAGCGCGGCTGTCTTGGCTGTCTGTCGCATGAATAGTCTGACTGACCTTGCTGAGTAGGTTTGGTCTTTGTTTGGAGTGGTTGACGAGCCTGCCGGGCCCCCACGTGTGGCTGTACTGCTCACTCGTGGCGTCGATGCACCAGTTGCCGTTCAACGCAAAGTAATACATGTAACACCTAAACATACACACACACACACACACACGGCACACACACAGAGAGAGAGAGAGAGACACCATAACTAGTGGCTCCCTCCCCCTGTGTGTGTGAGAGAAAGTGTGTACCCCTTTCTCTGTGTGGCGTAGGTCTTTTCGCGCTCGGCGGCGACGGTCTGCGGGATCAACTCGCCCTGATACTCTGTAAATGAATGAAGGAATGTGACGCAGACAAACAGACACGAGATTGCGTATGTGCGTTGGGGGCTGGCTGTGTGGCAAAGGTAGGCTAGGGTAGCCGACACACCGAAGACAAAGTCGTCCTTGTGGATGTCCTTGCCAGCCAATATGCCACTGCACCATTCGGAGGGCACAACACCGACACCGGCGCAGATGCGTGTTCTGTGTTGTGTGTTGTGTGTGGATGCTGTGTGTGGCGGCTCACTCGCTCAGTCACTCACCGTCCTGTGTCGCGGTCGTACTTGACGACCACAGGGGCCCGGATGCCCCTCTCCAGACAAGTGCGGTACACGACGTTCCTCGCGTAACTCGACAAATTAGTCAGAGACCTCCTGAAGGGACGGACACACACACACACACACAGAGAGAGAGAGAGAGAGAGGCGTCATCATTCATGCTGGCGAATATGTGTGTGGTGGGTGGGGTGTGCTTCCTTCCATGGTGACCGACTTGATCCTGCCGTCCGGTTCGAGGCATGAGGCCACCAGCTGCTCTTTCTCTGTGTCGGTCGTCGGAGCGCCGTAGTGGGGCGCCATCCTGCACACACCCACGCACGTGCATGCAGGGGGGATGTGTGTGTGTGTGGTCAATTGCGCCTGACTGGCTGACCGTCTGGATCTGCCCGAGCCGTTGGAGCCCTGGGACCCGTTGGCCGGCGACGCCTCAGCAGCAGCACCAGCCGCATCATCTTCCCCGCTGGATGGATCACACGCCACACACCACCACACACACATACACATACATGCCATCGATGTCTGGCCTTTCTATCCCCACCCTTGTGTGTTGGCCGGTGAGGCAGCGGGTCCCTCTCTGTCTTTGTCCGTGTCTGGTGCTGCTGGTGCTGATGCTGCTGCTGCCGCCGTGGCGGTGTCCTTTGGCTTCTTGCGCCCTTTGTTGCCGCGTTTGGCGAGCTTCTGGAGGTACTTGTCGAAGTGGGCGTTGAGCCTCTCGGCCCTCTGCAGCTCCCGCTCATGACGCTCCTCGCGACGCTGCTCGTACTGCGCGCGGAACTCCCTGACACACAAACACACACACACACACACGCGGGCACAAAAGAGATAAAAAAAATGACCATGGTGATTGTTTGTGGTTTGGCTGATGGGGTGGGTGAGAGGGGCGGGGGCGGTTAAGTACTGACTCTTGTCTGTCTTTGCGTCGTCTTTGTTCGAGCTGGTGTTGTTTCATCTCCTGCTGGTGCTGCCTGAACCGCTCGGACTGGTTGCGCCGGCGACGCACCGTCCTGCTCGTGGGAACCAACGTCGCCAAAAACTAAATCCACACACACACATATCACCCGCACACACACGTGTGTCTGTTGTGCGCAATACCTTCCTCCCTCCCTCCATCCCTCTCTGAGTACCTCGTCTACTTTGGGACCGCCCAGTCGTATGACGTTCCAGAAGACAGTGGGGCACCACTGCGCCAGGCTGATGGGCGACAAATCAGGCACACTGACACATACACACACCCACAGTGAAAGGGAGAGGGAGCGAGTTGGATGGATGGATGGCATGAGCGGAGTCCCTCACTGACTGACTGACCTGTCGAAGTAGTCCTCCCCGATTGACCGCTGAAAGGTGGGGTTGAGTGCCAGCCGCAGCGAACGCTCCACCGCCGGGCCGTCCAACAAGTAGTAGTACTCCTTCAAGTTGAAATTGTGGTGCTCGCTAGGATACTCCACCTACAGACACACACACACACACACAGAGAGAGAGAGAGAGAGATGGATGGATGGATGGGTGGGTGGCTCCCCACCGTACCGACCTTCATTTTGGGCGGTGGCGGCCCCTCCCTCCTCTCGGGTATCCTAGGCGGCTGCACCGGGCTGCCGCCCCCACTGCCCCTGGCATCCCTCTTCTTCCGCTTGGCCACCAACAGTCGCAGCTGCAGCGTCTCCTCATCGTCACTACCGACCCCCTCACCCCCCACCCCTCCCCCTCTCCCTCCCTCATCGGTCTCCATCGGCGCCACACGGCCGCCAGACAATGTATACCCCGCCGCCGTGCCTGGCGGCTCGCCTCCACCACCAACGGCGTCGCTGCGGGGGCGCTTGGGGTCGGGGGACGGGCTGGGGGTCTCGTCGGGCGGCCGTTTCAGAGGGTTGTCGTTGGTGTCGCTCGGGTGGGACTTGTCGATCGGCTGCTCGGCCTTGATCTCATCCAGAGGCTCACACTTCACCCGAACGGCAAGGCTCTCGTCCTTGGGCCCGGTGTTGGGGGTGGGGGGCTGCTGCTCGTGCTGATGGTCGTCATGTCGATCTTGGCCATGCATCGGCTCGTCCTCCGTGCCTTTGGCCCCCTCATGGTTGTGTGCCGCCTCCTCCTGTTGCGTGGCCCTCTGAGCCGTTTGGTCGTCTTGCGCGTCTTGTGTGGGGTGCTCTGTCGCTACAGGAGCATCGGGCGGCCATACCTCCATGGCCACGGGAGCATCCCCAGCCGCCCCCTCAACCCCAACGCCCTCCACGCCCGCCCTCTCCTCCCCGGCACCTTCCATGCGCCCCTCATCATGGGCCTCTGGCCTTGCCGAGGGCGGCCCTTCGTCTGCAGCCGGCCCATCGGCGTCCATGGGCTCAGCCTTGACTTGCGGCAAGCACGGCTGGGCGTCTATCAGCACGTCCTGCACCGTCATCGCTGCAGGTGGCGTGTCTCTGTCGATCGGCTCGCGCATGACCAGCCCGTCCGTGGCTGCCGGGGCGGCAGCGCTGGAAGGGTCCTCTGTAGATGGGACGATGGGTGGCTGGTCGTCGGGGATCTCGGCGAGGCGAGAGGGGAGGTCAGGGACCTCGCCAGGGACGACGATGGAGAACCTCTGGACACGGATGGCCTCGATACGCAGCAGACTCAAGCGGAAGCTAGCACTGCACGAGAGAGATGAGAGAGGCACACGGACGGTCCGCACACGTGAAAGGGATAGATCTCTGTGTGCTCCCCCGTGTGTGTGTGTGACTATCTCTCTCACCCACCGATCGATGTTGTCGCTGTCTGACGTGCCCCTGAGCAGCGCCCGGACCTCCCACTGCACCCGATTGGGGACACCGAAGTCCGTCTCCTCACTGCTCTCCTCATTCCCGTACCAGTCCCCGTAGGCATCCTCAACATAACTCCACCCCTTCCATCCCCTCGATGCGATCGCACTCGTCAGCTCCGATCTCTCGTACGCACCACTCGACCACGACATGGCCACGCTGCTCTCCGGCGCCTTGGCTGACGCCGGGGGGCTCTCGGGCTCCTCTTTGACCGCCGCGGGCAGCGGCAGTGCTGGAAGGGTGGTTGGTGGTGAGGATGGCGGCCGCTTCTTGGCCTTTTTCTTGGGCAGCAGGGGCTTGTCCTCCTCATCGTCGTCTTCGGCACCGGCATCAGGCTCACTCTCAGGCACAGCCGGCAAAGGCGAGCCGGCAGTTGGCCTCATTTGGGCGTCGGCCTCGCCGTTGCCCGCCTGCTGCTGCCCCACGACCTCTCCCACCACCTCCCTCACAGCTGCAGCCTTTTCCAGGATGTCGGTGACGTGTCTGTCTGGTGTTGTGTCGGTCTCCCACCCCACCATCGGCTTCCTTGCCGGCACAGGGAGCGATCGGCGCACCAGGATGGACCGATTCGGCTGCCGGGAGGCCGTCAGGTGGAAGCGGGAGGGAAGGGTGACGCCCCTGCGGCTGCTGAGGTAGCGAGATCGGGCTGCGGCGGGCGGGACGCTCAGCAGCTGATGGCCCGATGATCTCACGGCGCCACGTGTGTTGGGTCGCTCGCACATGGCGCCGGTGTTGGGAGCGGTTTTGGTGAGCCTTCTCGCGGACATGTCTGGCTTCTGCTTGGGCTGCTGCTCCTGCTGCCGCATCTGTTGCTTCTGCCCCACCGGCCGCATGCCCCTATTCTCCCCGGTGCCGGGAAGCTTATTGTCACGGGCATCTTTGCTGCCGGTGTGCGTGTCGGTCTCCTCAGCGGGCGGCAGCGCCACCCCCTGCCTCCTCAGCATGTTGACCCGCGCACGGGCCATCATCCGCTCCAGCCTCTCCATCTTGTCCAGGTCCTCTTGGCTGGGTGGGCCGGGAGAGACGCCCTTGAGGTGGTCACTGGCACCCACAGAGTGGGGAGAGGTAGAAGTCATGACGGGATCGTCAGCGATGTCGGGGATGGTTCTGAAGGGAGGGAGTGCGGGAATGTGGCTGGAGTAGACGACTGTGCCGCGCGCTGGGGGAGGGACACGGATGGGCAGAGGCAGGGGGAAGGGACACAGGGGGGCCGCCGAGTTGTCGGAGGAGTCGGTCTCGTCAGCCCTGGCGTCGTCTGCCGCTGGCCGCTCCGGGACGACCGACACGTCCATCGGCTCACGATCCTCCTCCTTCTTGACTTCAGGGCTCTCAGGCACCGGCCGTCCAGCACACAAACCGCCCCCCACCACAGGCACAGGCACACAAAGGCCCCCAAACGGCACACTGGCAGGAGGGATCGACGCCTGCAGCTGGGCGATCGACGAGAATGGCTGGTGGCTCACTGCAGGCCGGGAGGACACGACCGGGGCCACGTCAGGCTGGACAGACCCGGCCTGCCTCCCACTGATCATGTCCGAACGCGGCGCGAACCCGTTTGTGAAGGCATATGACTCATTGCCCGCACCGGCCGATCCGTCAGCCGTCGTCACAGGAAAGGGATTGGGGTCGTCAGGGGGGTTGGCCGCACCGGTCTGGGGGCTCCTTACCTGCCGACACACCTGCTGAAGGTTCTGCACCCACTTGGGGGGATTGGGCGACGACGGCACAGAAAGGGATCGCCGCAGCGCGTCCTCGTCTCCAAAACCCTCAGAAAGCGGCGGCATGATGCCGCTGGGAGCCTGCTGCACCGACCCTATCTGCTGACATTCTCCCGATCCCGCTGCGGCAGCCCTGAGAGCTGGTGGCGCGCTAAAGCCTGCTGCTGACTTTGTGTGGCCACCCAGAGAGAGGACAGCAGGCGGAGTAGGTGGAGCTGGGGGATGGGATGGCGCAGCGCAGGACGGCAGCATGTCAAAGCGGCTGCCGGTGCATCCAAACTCAAGGGAATCGGCTGTCGATGCCTCGAGCTCAGATGGCCATCAGACAGATCGCCGGTCAAACAAAGAGCGGGCAGCGGACAAAAGTGCAGCTGCTGAAGGGGCTGGTGTGGGGGGTAAACTGAGGATGCAGCTCCAGGCACACCGTAGGCAAAGATCTTCCTCTCTTCAACTTGAACCTCCCTGCGGCCAAGTCAGTTAACTGACGGAGTGGCCCATTATTAATTGTGCCCCGATTTTCCTCTGTACCTGGCGAGAGCCGATGGCGGTGCTGCTCACTATTCCGCTGCAGCAAGTGCTTCAAAGGGCAAAGAAGATGCTGGACGGCTCCTCGAGGATTTGGGCAACGAGGATGAAGAACGCCAGGAGAAGAGGAAACTCGCTGCAGGCCGCTTCACAAACTCCAAGTACTGGACACACTACTAATGCAATGCCGACTCACCCTCTCCCCAAAGACACAAGCGAGCTTTTCGCGCGATCCCGTAAATTTCAGGCACCTCTGGAGGCTCTGGAGGCTCTGAAGGAGGCCGGGGAGGCAGGGGCGGACAGCCACCCGGAAATGGAGGTGTCCCACGAGGGTGTATAGCATGCTGACTGACACGAAGATTTTCCGGTACGTACACTGGTAGGTGTATGGATATTGTATACATCGAAAAAAGCTCTGCGTGGATGGGTCAGTATGTCTCTGCATGGCCTCCACGCAGGCAAATCACACGCATGCATCCATGGCTCACGACGCACTCTGGTGGTGCGTAGCTGAATGAATAGGTCCGCCCTCGCCACACCACGCAGACAGACAGGCAGGCAGACAGACCCATGAAGGCACACGGCACACCGCAGGCACGACGCAAAAATACCTTGATCGATCATCGGTATTATCATCGGCCCACACACACCAAGACAGAGGCACAACAGGCAGAGGTACAATTTTTTAGGTTACCACGGCACGGCAGGCGAGTGCAACACACACGCGTGTCTGTCTATGTGTGTGGGCGGCGAGGGGTGGTAGTGGTAGTGGGCGTGATTTCTCTCTACGAGCGCATAGAAAGCGGCACGCATTGCCATGCATAATGGCCATCCGATCAGCAGCACTTGGCTTCCCTTCCTCTCTGGTCTCTCATCTCTCGTGCAGTGCACGACTCAGTGGTGAGTAGAGTAGATGGTGAGTATGGTATGCAGCAGCTACACAGGCGCCGCGCCCAAAAAGCACACGGGCGCGATTGTTGTCGATGAACCGACAGACAGGCAAGCAGCAATCTTGAATAAACCATGCCCGAAGCATATCCCTCCCTCCCGCCATCCCTCTCTCCCTCCCTCAGAAAGCAAAAAGCTGCTCGACAAGGCCCGGCCCACTAGCCCACTACCAGCAGCAAAAGGATCACACGGCTTTCATGGGCTCGGTGGCCCCCGACAAGACCGAGTCGCCACTCATGACGATCTCCTCCTCCATCCCATCGCCACCGCCCTCGTCCTCATCATCGTCACCACCCAGCTCGTTACTCACTTCAAGGTTCGGGCACGTGAGATGCCGCATGGCCTTTCGACGTCTCGACGGGGTGCGTTTGCCCTTAGCCGCCGAATGGCTTCGGGGCGGCGCAGATCGCGTGAGGACCGGCGAGGCCGCGCAGGGGGGAGACGGCGATGAGGTTGAGGGGGGCGAGGCCTCGCGTGAGAGGGCGGCTGTGGGTGAGGGTGGTAGGGGGAGACTGACGGCTGGGAGTTGCTCGTCCGACGGTTGGGGGGGCGGGGTGGGCAGGGGGGACGAGTGGCGATTCTGGTTCTTGTTCTTGAAGCCAGTCTTGATCTCGTGGTAAACCTGCAGGCAGGGAGGGCCGAGAATATAAATGGATGGATGGATGGATGGCGTCAACAACGGTCTGTCTGCATGGCTGGCTGCTCGGCACACGTACGTACGTACCTCTTCTGCCGACGGTCTTTCGGCAGGGTTTCTTCTCGCCATGCGCTTCATGAGGTCGTGGTACTCGGGCAGATGCTCAGGGATGAAGTCCGGCACCTTGGCCGCCGTGCGGAACTCCTCCAACACCTTGTAACGCTCCATCAACGTCTCAAACCTTCAAGCCAGTCAATCAGACAACACACCCATGCAATCAATGCATCCACTGTCCCTTGGCGGCATGTGTGTGGTGCCCGCTCGGTTACCGTGGGCAGAGGAGCTCCAGCAGTATGACTGAGGCCGAGAATATGTCGGCCTTCTCAGAGCAGAGTGCGCCACCCTCGGGTGGTGCGTACCCTGGTGTGCCGATGACCTGTCCCTGCACTGACGCCTGGCTGTCGCTGCGAGGGAGGGTTTTGAGGGCAGATGGGTCGCCCCACACGCTGCTCGTCCGGGGAGGGGTGATGCCACTCGCACCCATGCTGTCCTCATCACTGATGCAGACAGAAAGACAAACACATGGATGGATGGATGTGGAGAGAGAGTCTGTGTCTGTCGCGCTGTGGTTGTTTACCCGCCGGTTGCTCGCAGGAAGCGCGCCAGGCCAAAGTCACCGATCTTGAGCGTCTGTGTCGATGGGTCGACGATGATGTTGTCCGGCTTGAGGTCGCGGTGCACAATGCCCCTGTCGGACACACACACAGAGACAGACACGGACAAGCAGCAGAGACAGAGACGTCATGTGCCCTTTTCCGGTTCTCTCGGCTCTCCGACGCATGCTGTGCTGTGTCGATATCTCACTTTTGGTGTATGTCTCTGATGCCCTTGATGAGCTGGCGGAAGAGGTCCAACTCGACGCGGGTCGTCTTGGCACTCTCAACATACTCCAAAGGCACCGTCGAGCGCTCAGCACTGGCCACACACACACACACATACACACGCGTGCAGTGCATTCCCCGTGGGCACTTGGGTGGCTGCGCCGTGTGGATAGCTTACGCGTCGAGCCACTGCCTGAGTGTGACCCCGTGGCACATCTCCATTTGGATGAGCAGCACCACGGGATACAGCGGCTCAGACTCTCGTCTCTGCCGCTGCGGCCGCCCACGGCCCCGCCGACCCCGTCCACGTCTCTCGGGCACCGCCAGCCGACTCCCGCTGACGCGACGCAGCACCGAGGGCCCCAGTGGAGGCGAGATCTCCAAGGTGCCCATGCCCCCACCACCCTCCTGCTCATTGTCACCGTCACCTCGCAAGTGAGATGAGGCGTCCTCCACTGCCGGCCGGAAGCCGCCGAGGTCTGAGGGAGAGGGGGAAGGGGAGGGCTCAGGCTCAGGGGGCGGGCGGCATGGCGATGGGGGCTCGGACTCGCCCTTGGGCTCCTCCTCGTCCTTGAACTGGATCCAGTCCTCCGACTGCGTCTCATCGTCGTGGACGAGCTCCTCCTCCTCTTCCAGCACCGGCCAGTTCGAGGGGTCCTCGTCGATGGGCAGCGGCGGCAGGCCCGTGCCGTTGTCGGCCGACGGCAGCTGCATCATCCCGATGCTGCCGTACCGCTCGCCTCCCACGCCCAGGTCGACGTCGCTCTGTCCGTCGTCGGTGTTGCTGCCCCACCCCCAGCTCATGGGCGACTGCGGGGAGCCCTCCGTCTGGTCCTCATCGTCTTCGTTCATGGCCCATGACGACTGGTGGGTCTCCACACGTAGGGGGGTGCCGCCCCGGCGTCTGCGGAGGCCCCGGTGCTGCCTGTCCTTGATGGTGCTGGATGGGGTGCTGGGGAGGGAGTCATTGGCGTCCTTGTTGGTGAGCGGCTCCCACTGCGGGCGGCCTCTGGCGTGTTCCTTGGGGAGGAACTGGGGCTCCTCGCACCACCAGATGAAGTAGCGCACCACATGTTTGGACAGAATGTCGCGACCCGCAGACACCTGACACACACATGCACACCAAGGACGGGAGGAGGTCTCATGTCAAATTGTGGGACACCATCGGGTGGTGCCTTCCGCTTGTGTGGGTAGGGTACCTTACCTCTCTGAAGTATCGTCTGCTCCCGAGTGCGTCCTTGGCGCGCATCCTGAGGTGCACGAACTTGACGGCATAGATGGGCTTGTCGGGCTCCAGACGGTTGCGCGCACGGTACACCGCACCAAACCCACCACGACCAATCAAAGACAACTCCTGCCGTCAGTCAGTCACCAGCACACATCGCAACGCGGGAAGGGAAGGTACATCCATCATACACGCGACACACACATTATCGTTCGTCGATCCGTCAGTGCCTGACCTCAAAAGTCCTGTAGAACTTCCCATTTTCGAGCACTTCCGCCAGCGGGCAATCGGGCGGGATCTGCGACTGCGGCCCGCTGGTGGGCGACATCTGGGGGAAGGCACTCAGCGACGCATTCGGGCCGTTGGGCACCGCGATGGGCGGCGGCCGACCGGGCGGCTCAGACCGATCACGCTTGTGAGCATTGTCATCCTGCGGCGCCATCCATCGCTTGGTGGGGCTCTCGCGAGGCGACCCCCATGGCCCGCCGCCATTGGTGATCATGGGCAGCGGCGGCTTGGACAGATCCGGCAGCATCGACGATGATGCCTGCCAGTGGTCTCTGCCGCCGTCTACAGGCTGTAGGGCGTAGAGGGAGCTGCCGAAGATGGGCGCAGTGCTGCCTGGATCGGCCGTCGACTGCCCGGTGCCAGCCGCCGACGGTCGCTGCTTTGAGTGGTGGTGGTCCTCTTCCTGCAGAGGCTCCAGTGGGGGCGGCAGCTCATCCAGCAAGCCCTGGCCCGCCAGATGGGCCATATAGCGCCGGTTGCTAACTCGCTGCAGGGAGATACCCAGTGAGTGCGGCTGGTCCACGCCGCCCTGTCTGCGGATGGCCATGGGCGAGCAGAGACCCTCGAAGGTCCGCGCCTCTTGGCTGTCGCAGAAGACGGGCAGGTCAGCCGGCACCCGGCTGTCCCTGTCAGTGGCCGGGCGGCCGGGGTTCCATCCATGCGGGTCACGGGCGACAGACAGAAATTTCTCCTGGTGCGGGTGCTGGTGGTGGTCATCGTCGTCAGGTGAGGTCTTGCGCAGCCGTCGGGCGCCGCCCCGCTGTCTGTCGATGTCTTCTGCCGGCATGGAGACGCTCGCCGGCACGGCCATCTTGGTCGTGTTGGTCAGGGCCTCATGATTCGTCGGCGGGTCGCTGTCGAGGAGCTCCATGAAGTCCTGCGGAGGATAGGAGTTGGTGCGGCCTCGCCGCCGGTAGTGCATGCGCTGGGGTGCCGCCGGACGCGCATCCATCCACGGCGAGTTGGCGCGTGTGTCGTCACCGGCCGCCTCGTCACCCGGCATGCGCCTCTGCTGCTGCTGCTGTTGCTTGAGGTCGTCATCGAGATCGGCTGGGTCGAGGCTGTTGGGGCTCCCTCCCGCCTTGCTGCGCTCGATGCATTTGTTGGCGATGCTCGAGGGGGGCGTCCCAGCGGCCGTCGTGCTGGTCGTGATGGACCGCACCGACCCGTCAGGATTGAAGACGGAGTTGGGGTCGCCGGCGCGGCCGGACAACAGTACCTCCTTGATGAACATGAAGAGCCCGGCGCACAGGATGGTGCACGCCGTCAGGCCCAGCCAGCACACCCACGCCCACACGTTCCGGTAGTCCCACAGCCAGGCGCTGGTGCCGCCGTCGGTGCCGTCTGCCGTTGCCAGGGACTCGAGAGGGATGGTCTCCTGCCGGCCGGCGTGGGCGATCTGGGGCATGGCGGGGGGCGACGGCAGGTTGGTCACCGAATGCGAATGCGGATGCGCATGTGGGGGGTGGGGATGCCTGTGGGCGTGCCAGTGTGATGGGCGTGAGGGGGAGGTGTTGCTGGCCATCGTGTGGAAGGGGTCGTCGTGGATCTGCACCAGGCCGTTGGCGTCTCGCCGGTGGTGTGGACCACCAGTGCCGGCCTTGAGGCCCTGCAGCGACTTCCACAGGTTGGACCTGAACCAGTCGAATCCCTTGGCGAACAGCAGGGGCCGCCGACGCGACAAGGGGAAAGGGCCTGACAGCACCACACAAACCGACGGACGGACGCATCCATCCATCCATCCTTGTGCATCGCCCGTCTCTGCTCATTCGCTCACTTGTGGTGGGCGTCATCGAGTGCTTTATCGGCAGGTCCGCACTAGGCAGATCCAGCAGATACAGCGGCGACGATCCCTCATGGTCGATCTCCTGCCCACTGGGGAGGGACGGCTGCATGGCCGGGTGGCCGGGGGTGCGTTGCTTGAGCAGAGGTGCGGCGAGCTCCACCAGGTGCGATGCGATCTGGGGTGCGGCGGCCACCGCCAGCTCAAGCGTGACGACGTCCGGTGCCGTGTCGGGCGGGTCGAAGATCGTGTACACAGCCAACACATCCGCAGGAAACGTGAAGTTGCCGGCACCGACTGAACCACACACACACACAGACACACACATGTGTGATCGGTCCTGATGCAAGCAAAGTCGCCGTCTGCCTGTGACCTCTGACTGACCTGTGAAAACAGTCGCCTCTTCCTGATCGTCCCCCGCTGCCATGACGCCGGGATGGCCCAGCCCGAGGGCGGGGTCGGTGTGGAGCGAGTTGGTGGGCGTGGGCGGCACCTGCACCTGCTGTGGGTCGGTGCTGGTGGTCTTCCACGCCGTGTGGGCCAAGGGGCCGTCGTGGACTGGGGGAGGGCTGTAGTATGGGGGACCTTTGTACAGGACAGAACTGCCCTGGAGCTCCAGCAGAGACGCCAGATCTTCCGTCGCTGCACACACGGACGCACGCGCGAGGGAAGAGGCGCAAGAAGGCCACACCCATCCACACATACATCCTTCCTTCCATTTGTCTGTCGGTCGGTCTCCCTCTCACCCGGGCTCCTGAACTTGGAGAGTGTGGCGATCTCGTTGACGGCGAGCGACCACTGATGGCTGTGTCGGTACTCGTCAAAGGCCTTGAGCTTCCATGTGGTCGAGCCGAACACCAGCTGCCTGGTGGAGTCGCCATGGATGAACCCCCTGTCTGCGGGCGGCGCGTGGCACGACGCGGGATCCTGGTCGGCAGGCGGCACTATGTCGTCACCCTGCACGCACAACAACAACACAACACACAGATACACTCCATGTGTCTAGGTGTGTGTCGAGTGTGTCTACTGACTGACCGTTCGCAGATTGATTGAGTGTACGTGTGTGTCCCTGGTGCCGGTGAAGTAGACGCCGGGGAAGAGGCTCGTGGTGAAGGGCGACCGGGTCACCAGGTCCTTGAGCGTCACACTCAGGTACGCCGGAGAGCCCTCGTCCATCACGTACAACAGAGAACCCTGCACAGCACAACCACACAAAACACCACACAGCAGCAAGCACAGCAGAAAAGACCGATCAACAGTCGTGTCTGCGGTCCGTGTGTGTCGGTGGTGTGGTGTGAGTCGTCTTACATCGAAGGAAGGCAGCAGCCTTGGTGGCGGCCCCTTGCCCCGTCCCTTGGTGGCGCCCTTCCTCGCCGGTGTGTCGTAGGCCACCAGAGGCTCATCCAAATGATACTGCCACAGATAGTCCCCGGCCGTGTTGACAGCCCACAGTGTCCCATCACTCGTCAGCACCACCAGCACCGACTCACGGTGCCCATCAGGGTGCACTGCGGGGATGTCGAAGGGCACCTCGGCATCGCTGTCCGAGTCATAGTCCGCCGCAGGGTGGCCGTACTCGTCTGGTTCCTTGACAATGATGCTGGGTGCGGCTTGTTCCGTCGTCGCATCGACAGCACCGGCAGCCAAGGCATCTGCCCGGTCCGCAGAGCCGACAGCGGCCCATGGCGCCGTGAAGAACGACAGCAGGACGCCCCACAGAGACCACAAGATCCATAACCGAAGCCATGCCGAGAGGCGATGCCTCAAGCGAGGCATCGTCACCGGTGTGCAGGTGCAGCAGCACGATGCTCGGCGTCTTGCTGATCGTTGGTATGCTCACATCGAGGCTGTAGGCGTGATTGCTGCGTCAATCTCCCTTTTGAAGAGACGCGCGAGTGACGTGGCCCGCGTAGGAAGCCGCTGGACGTCACCAGAGCATCGTCAGGGCTCCGCTGGAGCACTCGGAGGCCGCAGACACAGGCAACAGCACCGTGGGATGGCACCAAGTGGATGGGACGGACGAAAGGATCGGAGGCAGGGCCGAGGACAGCCAACAAGGATTCTGCAGAGAAAGCCAGTTATGTTAAGCTGCCCTCATCGCTCTTTCTCAAACCCAAGCCTGTCACAAACTCGAGAGCTCGCATGCGTGAAACGCATCGCTGAGATTCGCGCAGAGAAGCGAAGTGAACTAGAGGTGTCGTGTGGAGATGTCGCAAACTGCCGATGTGGCCTCGCGCGTGCGGCCATCCAGCTCCCTGTTTGGCCCTCCCACCAGTCCGCCCTCGACGCCCGTCGCCACCCCCAATGCCCCTCTGGCTTACCCCTCCCTCGCACGTGGCCAGCAGCACCTGTCTGAAGACGAGATGCAGCGGATCCGCGAGTATTCTCTAAGGATCAGGACAGCACTGCAGCGGGCGCTGACCACCCTGAGGCAGCTGAGGCAGCGGTGACCGACGCACGGACGGACCAACAGGCCGGAGTGGCGATTTTTCACTTGCTGATGCTGCTGGTGCTGCTGGTTGGCGATGCTACTCTCTCTACACTTAAGGGTGGTGGCTGGTTTAATGCTCCTTGCTTTTGATGGATGCCCTGTCTGGGTGGCTCGGGCGAGCATCGGCTCGTGTTGGGTGGTCGGTGGTCTCAGAGTGGGCACAGGAAAGCAGGAGTCAGCAACAGCAAAGCCACACGCATTATGTACGTTAGTGGGATAGATAGAACACAGACATTAAGTGTTCTGGTGTTTGTGTCCTCGTTTCTCCGGTGGGTGATCACATTCCGTCGTGACCTGCTGAGGGCTCGGTCCAGAGTCATGGGCGGAGCCGCTGCAGCTTGTGACGGTGATTGATCATCCAGCAGAGGACGGGAGGAGTGTGTGCCTGGTCTCTCTGTACGCATGTGTACGCCCCCCTTGTGCAGTGATGGAGGGAGGGGGCATGTAGAGTGACGGTGCCTGTCTGTCTGTCTGTCTGTCTGTCTTCTTCCTGGTGCTCAAACTGGTGATGTGACGACATCGAGCTGTCCAGACATCGAGACCTGCATGTTTTTGAGCGACCAATTGGCTGCACTCACTAACGAGATGCATGTGAATCGACCGACCGACCGCAGCGCCTTATACCGTACGCAACTCATGTCTTGAACAAGTCCATCCATCCATTCGTCAGACCATCCCATGACAAAGAAGGTCAGGCAGGAAGGAAATAAGACAGGCAGGCAGGCAGTCAGGCGACATTCTCGCCCCGTCCATCTGTCGGTGTTTGTTTGCTCCAGCAAACCTCCCTCTTCCCCTCTGTGCACTGACGACGCGGGCAGACGTGTGTGTTCCTCCCTCCCTCCCTCCCTCCCTCCCTCCCCTCTCTCCCTTGCAAGTCCAGCACTCATCCAAAAATGATGACCACCCACGGCACGGGCCAGGTCAAGTCAAGCCCCCCTGCATGATTTGATTCCCCGTCTCCCTCCCTCCCTATCCCGTCTCTCACAGACAGCGATCCTTGCTTCATTCGTCAGATCAGATCAGAGCAGATAAGAGCAGCAGAGCAACAGGTCGGTGGCGTGGCATGTGATGTCATGTGTGGATGAGGTAGTGCTCGAAGTCTTGGTAGGTGATGTGGCCGTCGCCGTCGGTGTCGACCTCCTTGAAAATCTGACGCAGCACTATCTCGGGGGCCTTGGGCACTGAAGCACTAGACGCCGCTTGGGCGTGGCCCGCGTGGGTGGGGGACTGCTGCTCGTCCATTTCGATGGCGCGGCTGCTCAGCAGGATGATCAGGTCGTCCTCTGTCAGATAGCCCTTGTTGCCGCGATCAAACTGCAAACACAAGAGACACGCGAATAACCAGCTATCTCTCGTGTGTGTCTCCTCTAATCCCTCCATCGAAGGCGGAAAAGGTACATCCATCCATCCATCGAACCATCCGGAAAGGTACGTACCTGTGTGAAGACCATAGGCAGTCTGTCTTTGAACTTGTGCAGTGTGGCAGATGCGAGTATGGCGGTGAACTCCGAGTAGGTGATGGTTCCGCTCTGCGCCATGTCCAGCTTGTCCACCACCATAGGGATCTCGGCCTCGCTCATGCCCAGCTCGCTCAGCGCCTCAGATATCTCCTGCTCGGACAGCACGCCGTCGTGGTCGATGTCCAGCGCCTTGAACACGTCGGGCGCACGGCTGATGGACGTGTAGTCCAAATGAGGCGTCAAAAGATTCACACACAAACGGTGAAACATCGGTTTCTGTAAAGGACGGAGGGAGAGACACGGGGGAGGCATCATCCGTGTCGGTCTTCCCTTCGTGTCTTTTCTGTTTGTCTGTTTGTTTATTTGTTTGTTTATTTGTGTGTGTGCAGCTACCTACCTTTGCGAACGATTGGAAGAGTGCCGAGTCGATGCGGTTCCGTCTCATGGAGGCCTTTCTCGACGCCTGGCGGTCCTTGTCGCCGGCAAACTTGTGGAACCACGGGTGCTGCAGCGCCTGCTTGGGGCTCGGCCGACGATGGAAATCTGATAACAAACAAAGGACACACAAACAGGGAGGGAGGGAGGGAGGGGAGGCGTGCACCGCTCCGTGCAAGTGTCTTTGCCACGGGTGCATGGACCTTTCTGCAGTAGTTTGCCGATGAGGTCCTTTGCTTCGATGGAGATGTGGTCGAAGAGGTTGGCGGGGAAGGGCACTGGTTTGGTCTTGACGACCTCGGCGTACTCTGCCTGACTGGAGGCGTTGAAGGGCAGGTAGGAGGTGAGGAGCATGTAGAGGATGACACCCACACTCCACATGTCGCACTTGTAGTTGTACCGACGCATGAACATCTGCACGGGACACACACATACAGCATCACATCAAGCAACGAATCAATGCAATGCGCGTGTGGCCTGTCTTGTGTCGGAGTGTTCGTGTCTTGCCTCAGGCGCCATGTAGTAAGGTGTGCCCGCGATGACAGAGGAGAACTGCTCGGGCGTGAACAGCTCTGAAAGACCGAAGTCGATGATCTTCAAACTACCTGACAACACACACACACACACACACACGTAGAGACGAGCCTGTTTGCCATGCGTGTGGCCATCCCACACACATCTTTACTTACTGCCGTACCTCCAGCCTTTTCAACGCTCTTGGGATCGTGCAGTATCATCACGTTCTCTGCAAGACCCACACACGACGATAGACAGCACCATTAATGGTGTCCATCTGGTGTCTCTGCATCTGGTCTCCTGCCTGGTTTGAGATCCTTGTGCATGATTCTCTTCTCGTGGCAGTGTGCTAGAGCGCTGAGTATGCTCTTGAGAATCTGCGCCGCCTCCGTCTCGGTGAAGCTGCCACCGCCCTCGGGGGAGTCCTCCTTGGGCGCTCTCTCAAGAATCTCTGTCAGCAGCTCCTTGCCCTCAAACAGCTCAAACATCAGATACAGATGCGTGGCGTCCTGCACTCATCAATCCATCCATTGAGCACATCATCTGTGTGAGGGAGAGAGAGGTGGGGTCCATGCATGTCTCTGTCTGTCCCTTCCACACTCACTCACCTCGAATGCTTCGACCATGCGTATGATGTTGGGGTGGTCCAGCTTTCTCAGGATGGTCAACTCCTGGACAATGGACTCGAGCGGCAGCGCGGTGTGCGACTTGGGCACCTTCTTGACGCAGCGGACCACGCCGCTCTGCCGGTGCCGGGCCTTGATGACCACACCGAACTGAAGACAAAGGAGAAGCAGGCATGGATGTGCTTGTCACACGGAGTAATCGGTCGTCTCACTCGGCCGCTCCCGATCTGTTCTTGGAGGTCGTATGTGGCCTCGATCGACTGCTTCGATGGATCATTGGGGAAAAAGAAATCGCGACGAAATCTGCATACACACAGCGGCCATACAAATGCACAACACAACATGCACAACGCAACATGCTCCTTCTCTGCTGCCTTTCACGTCCGCCCCGTTTGCCTACCGTATCTGTGGCTCGAAGTGTTTGTCGCGGATGTGCAGCAAAAGGTCGCGGAAGAAGCCCTTGAAGGTCTCCAGGTCCAGCTGACCCACGTCTCCTTCATCGTACTTCTCAAACAGGTTCTCCCACTCCGCCTCATCGATGCCGCTGATCTGGAAGTCCTGCGCCAGGCTGCGGGCGAGGTCAGGCACGCTTGTCAGACGCATCACCTTCACCGTCCGGCCCAACGGGGGCAGCGTCGCCTCGGTCGCGTCTGTTGAAACACATCAAACAGTGATCAACGCGCTTTTGTGTGGTCTCTTTTGTGTATGTACCAGGGTCGGTTCTCTGTCTTCTCATGCCATTCTCTGTCCACTCGCCGTACGCAGGGCCACTGCAGGCGCTCTTGGGGCTGGTCTCGTCGGCATCGTCATCCTCACCGTTCTCCCCGCCCTGCACCTCCGGAACCTTGAGCGTCAGCGACCCTGCCTTGTGGACGGTGGCACTGACGGTGCTCTTGCGATACCCCTTGACGCGAGATGCGCGACGAGACGACCTGCGCCGGCGGGGCTCCGCCATGGGCGCTGTGGCGTGCTCATAGAAGGCCTGCGTGAAGGAGGGAGACACGAGGTATTCATCGAGGGCTTCTTGTTTGCGTCCCCTCTCACCTTGACTGCTTCATCATACAGAAGCTCAGGCTTGCGGATGAGCTCAATCAGCCGCTGGCGAGCCTGAGACGCCAACATCATCCCGCGGGGCTCAACTGCTGCACAAAATGCAAGAATCAGAACCATGAGTTGGCACCGTGTGTTCTCATGCAGGCACTGGGTACCAGCCGCAGGAGAAATCGGTGCCTGAGTGGTACCCAGTGGCACCACCGGCCCAACATTGACGATTCTCGGTCCCGTCGCCTCCGCCTGCCCCACAACGCGATACGTCACACCCCCAACGTGCGGCGCATGAGTCACCACACCTGAACAAACGACGAGGAATGTATATTAACGGGCGAGGGAGTGCATCACGCTTGCTGGAGGGAGATCCACCCACCGTGCGCTGGGTAAGGCGCGGCGCCCTGGTACATGGTTGGGACGTTGGCGTATGTGGTTGTTACCGTTGGCGGCCGGTAGGGCTGCGCGGAGACCGGCATATACATCTGGGGAGCGACGTGTGGAGCATTGGGCTGAATGCCTGCCTGGGGAATGTGATACGCCGCCGCCCCGTAGGCTGAACACACCAGCCACACAAACACAGAGATGACACATCCGATCACACAAGACTTAGTGCATTCATGCAGCTGATCTTTCCCCTCCGGTGTGCTGTGAGGGGCTCACGTGGCATCATTTGCATGGGCGGGTATCCCTTCTGAATGGGCGGGTATTCCTGCGGGGGAGGGACAGACGCCGGTGGGAAGTACATGGCGACTTCTCTCAGGATCAGCCAACTCTATGACGAGGGGATACCCACAGACGATTCGTCACTTGAGTCCGCACCGGGGAACTTGAAGAGGATTTCAAGCTCGCTACGCCCCCATGTCGCCCCCAGTCTCCGCGAGCGAAGGGTGGCGTGAGGCACTGCCTACGAAAGCCTCAAATGCGGAGCTCCGACGCTTCCTACGATTCGGTATATCCTGGCATTGATCTCCCTGCAGATGACGAAGACAAGGACGAAGAGGGCGATGAGGAGGGCTCTGAGACATCAGAGGCGACAGACGAGGAAGGGCCGGGCTGTGGCAGTCCATCCCAGAAATCACCCGAGAGATCCCCCAAGAAGGAGCAAGAACGGCCTTCCCTCACTTTCCTCGCAGAGTCTTTTTCGCTAAGGAAAGCAGAGGCCGCTGAGGCGACTGCCAAGGCGCCGAGTGCCAGGGCTTCAGCCGAATCGGATGCGAGCGGCGCCAGGAGGAGCAGCAGCAATGCAGATGGTTCGACCGGGAGTCCCGCCGCCAAGGCCAAGCCCAAACCACACACGGACGAGAGCTTCTCTGTCCGCATGCAGCAGCTGGCAGAAAGACGCTCGTCGATCACCGGCCTTACCGGTCAGCATCAGCAGCGGCGCTCGAGCCTTGGTATCCCCAGCGAGGCACCGACCCAGCCATCCACCGCGGCCGCTGATACTTCAACAAAGCCATACCTTTTTGCGCGGACCCGGTCCTTGAAGGACGGGGAGTTCGAGGGCCTGCAGGAGTACAGGACATACCGGGACTTCATTGAGGGAAGGGACGACCCGCACGACGTGCGGTGGATCAAGGGCTTCTTTCACAATGCCAAGTCGCTGTCCACCTTCCTTCGTCGCATCGACAAGAAGAGAAAGAGATGGGGTCTCAGCCATCAGACGTACAACCACCTGACGTCATCCATGCTAGGGACGAGCTACGACAGGGAGACTCCCTCGCGCAAGACGAGCGTGATGTCCGGCAGCAGTCCCAAGAAGAGGGTCACTCGGATGATGACCGACATGACCATTGGTGGTGACAAACGAGAGATGTCCATGTTCATGTCTCAGCGGTCGGCAACGAGCCTCAGGGACACGTCGAGGAAAGAAATGGACCGGTGGGGGAGACTCGACTGGCTCAACTTGTCGGCCAAGTCGCCCTACCCGGGTCTGCACTCCAAACTCAAGCGGCTGCTAGTCCACTCGAGCTGTCAGGAGCTGCACCACCTGCAGCAGGTGGCCGTCAAAAGGCAGGAGAGAGACCTGCAGAGGCGCGGCGAAGGTGAGGATGTCGAATCGGAGAAGGATGAAGGTCCCGACTTTGTTCGTCAAGCGCCACCCCCCGAGCGGCCGACAAGTGCTGCGAGAGAGACTAACAAGAGGCCGTGCGAGATGCCTGCATTCGTGCCGACGCCTGCTGCTGTCCGAGCGGTGATGGCGTCTCTCGGCATTGCCGAGGATGAGGAGACCGACCCGCCACTTGTAGGACAACCGCACTGCCTTTCGTTGTGTCTTATTGTGCCGTGTCTCCAGGTAGCCGTGGGGTCAGATCTGGCTTCTCGTCACACATGGGAGCGCAGCGCCGCCCCAGCGTGGGACAGAGACGCCGAACGAGCCTTCAGAGGTGAACGGAATGCGACTAGCATCGATCTATCGTCTTCTCACCAGGTTCTCTCTCCTCAATGCAGCCTCGCGCAAGTCCGCCCGGAATCTGCTTCATTCGTATCACCGTGGTGTCGAGCGGTGGAGCCGGGTGACCCTTGCGATGCTGCTGCTAGACACACAGATCAGCCCAAAGCCGGCAGAGGCGGCATCCCCGCCTGCCAGCAAGCCGCCAGTGGAAGCCATCAGTGGGTGGGATGGATGGATGGATGGATCCTTTTCTGTATGGGTGGCCTGATCCCTTGCTGTCTGTGTGTGTATCTGGTCAGTGGTGATGGGAGGTCGGGCGGGGATCCAGTGGTATCTCTGCTGTCGATGACGGAGCAGAATCGGCAGGATCTGAAGGAGTGGATAAAGCGGCTTCCGCTGGGCACCTTCCACGAGGCGGAGTTGAAGGTGGCTGACGAGATCCTGCAGAAGTTCTTCGCCCACATGGAGAGTTACGAACACTCCAGGAGCTCACACCTTGAGGCAAGCACGCACAAAGACAAAGAGAGGCGTACCGAGCGGACCTGTGTGTGAATCCACTGCTGTTCTCTTTGTTTGCCCTTTATGTACGATCGACCAGTCATTATCGCAGGAGATTCGAAGGCATGTTCAACAGCAGCTGGACCAGAGAAAGCGTGAGAAGAACCAAGAGATGCGGAAAGCTGGACAAAGGAGGATGGCCAACCGTTTCAGAGCGGTACGGTACGCACACAGTAAGAGGAACACTCAACCGACGGACAAATCCTCACTTTCCTTTTGCCACACACACATGCTATGCAGGCCTTCCGAGCCAAGGAGAACGAGATGGAGGGCAAGAAGCGCTGCACATTGCCACTTGCGTCCGGCGAGCAGCCGCATTACATGCAGCCGCACAAGAAAGTGGCGGCGGAGGACACACGGCAGCAGTTCACTGGAGGGCCGCAGAATGTCTGGAGGTCACTCATCACACCGCAAAGAGTGAGTACGCAACATGCAGAAATACTTGTCGTGGATGTTTGTCATCCATTTCATTGTGTCTGCGTCTCTGCCTCTTTTCACTTTTATGCCTGCAGCGTGACGAGTGTGCGCGGCGCATCCAGAACATGTGGCGCGAACAAAGAACCAAGCTCAAGTTCAAACAGCTCATTGAGATGATCAAGGCAAGCAAGCAGGCCAGACCTCTCCATGTACATACCATGTCTCCGCTCGATCAGATCCGCGAGGGCATCATTGCGCGGGAAGAGGCGTACAGGCGGGAGAAGAGGGCAATCGCCATCGAGCGGGAAAGAACCAGCATGGTGAGTCAACACACGACAAGGCCATGTGGGCGCGCGTGCTGATTGATGAGGCGTCTTTTCTGCCTGTCTGCAATCGATGCAGCGCGCCCCTCCCAACATGCAGAGTGACCATTCAGCGTCCTTGTTCGCCCACACGATGAACAACAACGAGCTTGGCGCCGCACTTGCAGCCATGAGCCTCGAGAATTACAACAACATGTAGAGCAGAAGCAGGCACACTGTTAGAGACATTAATGTCTCCCCCTTCCTGTCTGCCTCTGGGTCGTTGGATGCAGCTCCGTGCTGAAACAAATCTTTCTCAAGGCATCGTCCAGCAACATGGCAGGGCTGCTGGAAATCCTCCTCAACAAGTGAATGCGCGACACAGATGGACAGAGACAGAGACAGTGGCGATCCCCTCGTATATGGTTTGATGGAATCCATGCAGGTCGTTTGCCAACGTTGCGTGGCAGGACAGGACCGGACGCAATGCCCTGCACCACGCCTGTCAGTCGGGTGCCATCCAGTCGTTTTGTCGCTTGCTGGACTGGAGTTGCGACCCGGACCACAAGGACAGCCACGGCCTCACGCCCATGCAATGCCTGCCATCCACCGCAGACAGGTCAGCCAGTGACGCACCCGGGATTCATCTAATCCATGTCTCCCTCGGTTGTACACACAGGAGTGATTTCGAGGCGGCTCTTCATTCTCTGCAGCACCGCAACAGCATCTTATCTCACGCGATTGACATATCGGCGGCAATCTACTTGAAGAAGCCACGACGGGCCCATTTCGCCCCCAAGGACCATGTGGTAGGGCCAAGTCGCTTAAAGCCGTGGAAACAGGTGCTTTTGAAGGGCAGCACGTCTTTTCTTGAGGTCGGTGAAAGTCATTGCACGTAGGAGACCCTGGGGTCCCGTGCATCTGTGTTCATTCCTTCAGGATCGCAGCCGTCCGTCGTCCCCGATGCAGGGTGTGTGAGGCACCAGACACACCCACACACCCTCGCACTCCACTCGGTCGGAAAGACCGTTCAAACCAACACCTTGGAGGGCCCGCTACGTAATTTGCTCAATCCAATTTTGCTGCATATTGCTTCCAAGTGCTTCCCACAATATACTGCGTTACTCCCCTTTTTCCTACTATGGCCATGCGTGCCTTCGCATATTTGTCATGTGCCAAATGTGATCTCAACAATACAATTGCCTGTGTCACTTAATACGTGTCATTCGTCCTCAAAATTCTTGTCATCCATCCATCCACTCCACTCACTTGTGCGTCCATCCATGCATTGCACTGCAGTCATCTCAGCCTCCGTTGACGTATGAGTGTTGGGTCATTTCTGCGGCGGTCAGCCGGGCAGACGGAGACCACCTGCATGGAAACGTGAACAGACAGACAGACAGAGACATGCTGGCTTATGATGGCATGGTCACTCACTTGACGCATCGGTGGATGAGATCGAGCAGCCCCTCCTCACTGAACACACACGCCCTCGATGACGATGATGGTGACACAGAGAGCACACACATATTATATGGATGTGCACACACGTACCCCGGCGGCACGAGCGGTGCCAGCACGCGTCGCAGGTCGGTGGCCGCCAGCCGCTCAGACGCAAACACCGCGGGCAGCTCGAGGGATTTGATGAGTTCGCCCGCCGAGGCCGTCAGCTCCTCCGTCTCAGCTCTTGTCGGCGTGCCCAGCACTTGGCAGATGCGCAGGATCTGGTACGGCTCGTCGTCACCAGCTGTGACATCCATGCACACAGTGGCTGACTGATGTGTGTGTGTGTGAGTCATGGATGTGTGGCTGGTCGATTGATCTCACCTTGGGGTCCCTCCATTCTGTTCCGTTTGAGTTTGTGGCGGCCGTCGTCTCTCTCCTTGGTGTCCTGGTTGTCCTTGTTGTCCTTGTTGTCGTGTTGGGGTTGGGGCGGCTTCCGGCCGACGAACAGCGGTGACAGCAACTGATGGGACGACACACACACAAACACACAGAGACATGTAGAGGGGCGGTGCGGACTTGTGTGTGTGTGTAGACATACGAGCATCTCTGCGAGGATACAGCCCGTTGACCACACGTCGACAGACTCGTTGTAGCTCATCGACCCAAACAAGAGCTCGGGCTGACACACGCAGACACACAGATAGATAGATGTGAGACGTTGGTGGCGATGGTTGGCGGCAAGTAAGTCGTTGTCTGCTGACCGCTCTGTATGGCCGCGAGCAGATGTACGGCATGTGGTGTGGCGAGTCCGACAGAGACTTGGCACAGCCTGTTCGTGCAGCACACAATACAGATAGACAGACGCACTCGATTGTGTCTCTCTCGCTGTGTGTGTGCGTTTTGGGTGACTGACCGAGGTCACAGATGAAGATGTCGCGGGTCTTGGGGTCAAACAGAATGTTCTCGGGCTTCATGTCACGCTGACCGACACCGACGGTATATGGATCCACATGTCTGTCGTGTATGTATCGATGTGTCTGTCCCCCACTGAACTGACGTGTGCGATGTTCTGTTGGTGTAGGGCGTGCAGTGCGGCGACGAGCTGTCTTGCGATGGAGCGGGTGAGGTCAGCCGGCAGAGGCCTCCTCTCGGCACGGTGCCGACGGATCAGCTGCCCCAACGTCGCTGAACAATCCACATACAAAGAAGATAAAGAGACAGAAGGGTATGTGTCTGTCTCCTGCCTCCATCATGTGCGTGTCAGTACGCACGGGGCACGTATTGCATGACGATGTGCTGCGTGAGTATCTGCCGCGGTGAGTGCGTGTAGACCACTCCCTTCATCTGCACACAGTGGGGCAGCCCCTTGACAAGCTCAAGCATCACCTGCTCGCGGCTCACACCACCGCCCCACCTGTGCCAGTGCACAAAGACATGTGATGGCGTGTGTCTCGCCGTCACGCATAGCATTCGCTCACTTGGGTCTCTTCTTGATGGCCACCAGCTCGTTCGTTGATGTGTCCGTGGCAACGTAACACTTGCCAAAGGTGCCCGACCCGAGAAGCTGCTTCAAGATGTAGCGGGGCGGCCGAGCCGAGGCCTCGGCGTCACCACGCCCGCGGCCGGCGTTGGAGGGACGGCTGGGCTGCATCGCCGTGACACTCAGTCCATCAATCAATGCCTGATGAAGCCGCCAGTGAACAGGTGAGTGATCGACTGAATGAGTGTGTTATAGAAAGTGTGTGTGTACGTACACGTCAGTCGATCGTCAATCAATCAAATTATTACACACACAGAAAACCGTCACTGAGCCCTCACCATGCCAGCCAACCAACCAGCCATCTCCCACTCCCTCCCTCCCTCCCTCACTCCCTCAGCGTCTCCGTTCATTTATCAACAGCTGAGACCTCTCCACACTCATCCACACGGGACACTGACAGCTGTATGATTAGCTGGTGCGCGTACGCCCCGTCTATCTGTCACTGCCTTCACCGCCACTCGTCCGTCATCCACCGGGCCCCGACCGGCCCACCCAACCCCTGTCAACAAAATTGACGTACGCTTTGTGTACGTAGGCCACAAAATGCTCGATCAGGGAAGGCCACAAATGATCACCTCTTCACCACGCGCACGCACACACAAGAATGAATGAATGCCCCGACATGAGCAGGCGGTGCACAATACATAATAGACGGGACATGTACATATACACACTTCCGCCTCCAGTCAGTCCTTTTGGCCACCAGGATGGCGATTCTCCTGCACATGTGGCAGAAAGAACTGCTGCACCCTGGGTGTGGGCTGGAAGCTGTTGATGTCTGGCGAGGGGGCGTGGCTAAGTGAGGTGTCCTGGTCGTTGTTTTCCCCTGACTTGGAGGCGTTGACGATCATGTACGGCTGGATGGGGAGGACGTACTCCAGGCCCAGCTTGTCCAATGTCTGCATCAGGTGCCTGCAAGCATACAGAGCATACATGCGGCTGGGTGAGTGACGAAGTCGGTACCAGAATAATCTGGTTCGTGCTGGGTATATGTTTTGCCACTCGCCCCAGGTCATCGTGTGAGCCACCCACAGGCCAACCTGAGCACAGCCGAGCCGACACAGACAGACACACGCCATGGGGCATGGCGTGGCATGAGTGTCCACTAAGCTATGTGGCTGATCGATTGTGTACCTGGAAGGAGTGGTTGGGCTGGAAGCTGTAGATGTGCATGTCTGGTGGAGGGTTCGATATCCAGTGGGCGGGAAGGCTGCAGCAGTACTCGATGACAGATCGCTTCAGATCAAAGAACTGCTCCATTGACGTCTTGATCGACAGCTGGAAGAGGATTTCAAAAACTGCGGCGGGCGACTTCGTCTCGTTGATGATCTTGGCGATTGCCAGCTGGAAATTTGGCAGCACAACCTTCTTGTTGTGGATCGTCCTAAGTGCACACAACACAAGCAAGGTGGGCGCCATCGTCCGTAGATCGTTCTCTCGCTGACTCACTCGAATGTGGTGGTCATGACAGAGATTCGCCGGACGTTCATCGCCACATCGCCATCCACACTTACACGATCTGCCCACGGAGGAAAACATATATAACACATCGATCCATTCAATCATTCATCCATCCATCTGTCTCTGTTTGTCTCACATACCGCCGATATCGAACGGGTGTTGGATGAAGACAAACACCAGCGAGTCCACAAAGTTCTTAATCGAGTTGCCAAGTGCAAATGCGACGCCAGCGGAGATGGAGGCGAACCCCAGGATGGTCGTGTAGGGGTTGACGCCCAGCAACCACAGGACGGTTATGATGATGATGCACCACTGCAGCATCCACAGGAGCGACTTGAGGATGTCGGCGACCGACTCATCCACCTCCAGTGACTTCAACAGCTGCTTCCTCTCGTTGTACGCCGCCAACAGTGCGCTCAGGAATCGGGAGCGCGTGACACGCCCAGTGCCTGCACCACACACACACATCCATATCTCATGCTTTAATGCGCATCTGTGTGTGTTTGGGGTGGGGGGAATCACCAGAGGGGTCAAGCAGCAGCAGGAGCCGCTCAGCGTCCTCCGGCGATGTGATGTACTGACGAATCAGTTCTCGTCCGAAGATGTTGTACGAGACGGTCTGCGGCGAAGCGCCTCCGTCATCGCCTCGTTGTCTCTGCTCGTGGGCGGCAGCGGCGGTGTCTCCGCAAGGGGGCCGGAAAATGGCGAACGACTCCATGGAGAGCCGGTTTTCCTCAATCAGCTTGGCCTGTATCTCCAGCAGCTGCGTGAACAGCTGGTTGCCGTACTCCCGCACCTCCCTCTTGCGAGTGATCTCCACACGACCCACACCTGCACACACACGGCATCATAACACACATGCATCGACCCATGTGTTTGTATGGCTGTGTTTGCCACGGACAAACGGACCTCTCAGATGGAAGCGAATGGGGTGGAGGATGACATACGATCTATGACGCCAGCTCTCCCACGCCGTGGGCGCAGGGCCACTCAGTCCAACTCCGAGGCCGTCGCCGCCGGTGCTGCTGGCCGCAGACGAGCCCACCGGCCCCTCAACTGCAGCCGACACCGGGACACGGGAGGTCCATCCGGTTCGGTGCCTCTTGGCTGCGTTGCGGCGCGTGCGGACGCTCTTGACGGCTTCAGGAGCCCCCTTCTGACGGAAATCTGCACGATGCATGTGGATGGTGAAGCAATCGGCACGTGTGTCTGTGTGTGAAAATGATTGTGTGTGCGCACCGTATCTGAGGTGCAAATGGAGTTCAGGGACGACCCGGTTGAGCCGCGAGAAGGCCCGTTCCTTCCACACGAGCAGCTGGAGCTGTCTGTTGCGCGTGGTGTTGGAGTGAATCGACACCCACGTCATGACCACCTCACGAACGATGCTCTGAAAGGTGAATGATAGAGGACACACAGCATGAGCAGCGTGTCACAATGATTGAACACACTTGCTGACCGACCGACCAGTAGGCTCATAATCAACAAGGATAGCAGACCGACCCGCAGGTATCTCCTTGCCTGCATTTCGATGATGTCCCACTCGCCGTCGTCCGGTCTCTTGCAGTTGGACGCGAACGTCTTGCACGAGAACATGACAGCGTAGGTGATCAGAGACAGCAAGAACCACAACACACTACACAGCCACCAACCCACCCACACCAGTTTGCCTTTGTGCTGCTTCTCTGTCTGGATGTCTGTGTTGCCTATTCACCGTGCGCAGTGTTCGTGGAGCGTCTCTATGACGAGTGACGACGGCAGATCTGCATCTGGGTCCACAACCGTCATGATGGCCACCAGCAGACCTTGAGTGAGACACAGGCGCACACAATCGGACACAATGCAGGCGCGCACAATGCAGGCAAGCAGCTGACGCACCGAATGAGAGAAACGAGGCCATCCTTGCAACGAGGATGGCGGTCAGCAGGAATAGCCACTTGGACTCCGGCGTCTCCACGGTGCGGTAGCTCGTGTTGAGGACCAACCCCATGACAAAGAGTGCCACCACTCCAAGCAGATAGAGCACACCGCTGCAGAGGTTGGGGACCTTGCACGCAGAGAGGAGCCGTTTCACCCGATTCATCGTGCGCTGAACACACAGACACGCACAGAGAGAGACAGACAGACAGACAGACATACGTACAAACAGACATTGCCTTTCCCTCCTTTTATGTCAGTCGTCTCACGTTTAGCCTTCGCTTGCGTTCGAAATCGCCCTCTTCCTCGTCGGTATCAAAGTCTTCCTCCTCCACAGTCTGTCCATCTGTCGCCTCAGTCTGTGCATCCGTCGCTCCTGCCGCCCCGCTGTCCTGGCGCCTCAGCCACGTCGTCTTACCCTGGAGGAAGGGGAAGAAGCCGCCCCGGCCGATGTGCGATTGGCTCTTGTTGACCTCGCTGCCGGTCTCACGCATGTCCTCTTCTCGCCGCGACACGCTGTCTTCCAGATTGTCCGCTGACACGACCCCAATACGCGTCGCGGGTGAGGAGAAGGCCTCGGGCGACTGGTCCTGCGCGAAGGAGACCACTTTCGGTGGCTCAGGGGCATTGGGACTACCAAATGAGGGGCTGGCGAGGTGCAGCCCGGCGCTATTGTCATTGAGCTCGTCACATGCATTTGGGGTGTCTTGTTGCTGGCCCCCTGAGGCTGTGCGGTCACCGATAGTGGTGGGGGTGAGGTGCTGGGCGTCCGATGGCGGCGAGGGGCGCCTGGCTGGCTCGTTGTCGGGCCCCGTGGTGCCCTCGGTGAGATGGCGGGTGATCTGCCGCAACACCCTCACGCGCTCACGCCTACACACCAAACAAGATGGATGGATGGAGGGAGGGAGGGAGGCTGTCAGTTGAATCTTTTTGGTTGTCTGTCTTGTGTTCTTACTCCTGCTGGAGGTCACGGTCGACGAAGGGCTTGCCGACGTTCTCCAGTACGTCTGCGCGCACAAGAGCGGATACATCACAACACACGCACTGCCAGCCCATCTTAATTGAAATTCTCACCCACTCACCATCCGAGTCGAAAGCTCGTGTCATCTCAAACATCGATGGGACACACGTAACCAAATCTCTTCGCCCCAAGGCGGAGATACGGAGAGATACAGGTGATACAGAGATCGGTGACGAGAGATTCGTCGAGACGGGGGCCGGGTGGGGGCCAAACACGATGGGTTAGTGTCTCGCTTCTTCGCTTTAGTCACCGTCCTATCCATAAGGTACATACACGTAAACGACCAGCTGAGGAGAAGTCACTGCAGTCACACCCACCCATCTATCCATCCATTCATTCATCCACACACACAGAGCTCAGACGGATCTATCACTCAGCAGCCGCCTCGCCCCCCTCAGCCTCCGCCTGAGTCTCAGTGGCGGTCGCAGCTGTCTTGTCAGTGCCCTTCATTGTCATCTCATCGGCGTATGATGGCGGGAAAGGGGGACGGTACTGCCATGGGAAGTCCTTGGCGAATGAGGGGGGCTCGCACATCCACCGGCCCTGGATGAACGCCATGGGAGCCATGTTCTCACGAGCCAAGCGGTCTGATTGATGCAGGCAGGATGCATACCCAAACACACACCGGCACACACACACAGAAGGAACCGATCGATTGTCTGTCCGTTCGTCCGGCTCGTCTGGGGTGTGCACTGCAGTGTCTGCCATACGGTTGTAGTATGAGTCGCCCACTGCCTGGCCGTAGAATGGGCGGTACTGATCGCACACAACAACACATGCACACGCGCGTGGCAGACGCCTCGATTGCTGGACCGTTTCATCTCACACACCTTGTAGAAGATGGACTTCAGGTTAAAGTACCGCCCCTCGCCCCAGGGGCTGTTGCCGCCCTGCCGCCAGAACATATACCCCACACCCCTGAAGGGCAGCCGGTGGGCCGTCTCGAAGAAGTTCCTGTCCCGCCAGCTCTGGTCACACCACTGGGCGAAGAACTTGACGCTGGTCAGCTCTTCATACTTAGGGTATCGCTGTCGGTGGGTCTGCTCGGGGTAGTGGGGGTACTTTTTGTGGTTGATGGAGTAGGGCGAGTGGTACTGTGGGAAGTAGGGGCAGAGGATCTTGGGGTGGTTGGTCTTGCGGAACGGCAGCCGGCCGATGGGCGGCGGGCCCTTGAGATTGATGATCTCCTTCTGGCCGCCACTGCGCCGCCAATTGACCTTCTTGATCAGCTGCAGATGGCGCACGCTGACATTCAGATAGGGCGGGGGAAGCCCGACACATGACGGCGACGAGGGCAGCTGCGCGAGGGGACGACAGGGACGACCAATCGATGGGCTTCCTTTTGCGCTGAGCATCTTGTGCATCACAGCCGCTGCACTCTCCTTGCGCCTTCAAAGGTCGTGCGCTTCTTTTGCTGCTCCCGAGCCAGGCTAAGCTCGCAGATGGTACCTAAGCTCGCAGATGCGAAGCGACTGCGGTACTTTTTGTAACAGCGTGATTCATTGATGAAGTATCGCAGCACACGAGGAGGCGTGAGTGGCCTCACTTTCACTGAGGCAGTGCTGTCAGGGCTGGCCGACGACGGAGGGCTTCTGCTGCCCGAAAAGATCCCGAACGTGCCGGCAACGACGGTCAATAAATGGAGGTCAGGAGATCACAAAGAACGGACGACTTGACCACACGCCTTTGCATTGACCCTCTATCTCTCTCTGTTTGTGCTCGGCTCTTCTGTGTGTGTGTGTGATGTGAATGTGTGGCACCACACACAGGAGCCTTCCATACCAGGAGCTGTGCTATGAGGTGCTTCGCCTGTACATCCAGAGCAGCGAGATCGACGACAGGGATCTGCGTGACATCATCCAGACGAGCTACAGGTCATTCAGACACCCCGAGATAGCGCCCACCGTCAAGCTCGGCGACTACTACCTCCTCGAACTGTTCCACGGCCCCACTTATGCGTTCAAGGACGTCGCACTGCAGCTGCTCGGTAGGCTGAGGCAGCAAGGAGTGAGTGGACCTCCACCCTGTCTGTGTGTGCGTGCTGGTTCGTGTGCACATCCAGGCACTTTATTCGACTACATCTTGAGCAAACAGAACCGGCATACGGTCATCCTCGGCGCCACATCAGGCGATACGGGCAGCGCCGCCATCGCTGGTGAGTGGCAAACGATGAGCCCCCAGCCATGATTGTTCATCGCCGTCGGTTTGGAATGCACTCCATCACCGGCAGGTTTCCGCGGCCGTTCGAATGCCGACTGTGTGATACTGTACCCCAAGGGCCGCACGAGCGAGATCCAGCGGCTGCAGATGACCACCGTCCCGGATGACAACGTCTACTGCATCGAGATTGACGGCAACTTCGACGACTGCCAAAACATCGTCAAGACGCTCTTCGGGTCGCCACTCAAACAAAGGCTCAAACTCGGTGCGTGGCCTGCCTGGCAGTGCAGTGTGGGCGGACGGCTGTGTGGATCGTTGGCTGGCTGCATTCATGGCGCATGTCATGTCATGTATTGGTGACTGTACTAAACTGTGTGTCAGGTGCGGTGAACAGCATCAACTGGGCGCGCATCTTGGCACAGATGGTCTACTACTGGTACTCGGCGTTCAGAGTCCTTGACATGGTAAAGTCCATAGCAAGACACAACGGCAGGACTAGCACCTCTCAGCATGATCATACATGGTTTAATCATGGCTGTCGGGGTGTGTGTGTGTTGTGTGCAGACCAAGTCAACGAAGGTCGACTTCTGCGTCCCGACGGGCAATTTTGGCAACATACTGGTACATACACCCGCACAGAACAACAAAGCGCAAACGACGCCACGCAGGCAGTTGTGCGTGTTGGCGTGTTGTTCTGTGTCACCATACCATACAAGGCTGGCTACTATGCCAAGCAGATGGGTGCGCCCATCGGGAACCTCATCATCGGTGAGCGAGGGGACACATTCACATGTCACTCTCTTCTCTTTCTGGATGTCCCGGGGTTCAGCGAGCAACTCGAACGACATCTTGACACGGTTCCACAACAGCGGCAGCTACTCACTGGTCAGTCTGTCGCACACACACACACACACACGTGTAAGTCAAGTCGCCCAGCCTCTTTCTGTGTGTGTACCAGACGCAGGTGCAGCCGACTCTGTCCCCCTCCATGGACATCCAGGTGTCATCCAACTTCGAAAGGTGGAAGAGAGAGACCAACACGGACGCACCGCATCCCGCTGCCTGCAGCCAGCCTGCCTGATGTGCTTCCAATCATCAATCAGGTTCCTGTACGATGCCTTCGGCAAGGACGCAGAGGCGGTCAAGGAGCGATTCAGTCAGTCAGCGACACACAAAGAAAGGCACACAAATGAAATGAATGCGCAAGGAAATGGCTTTATGCGTTTGTGTGTGTGTCAGTATCGCTGAAAAGGACCGGTGAGTTCAGAGTGGGCGAGCAGGAACTCTCAAAGACCCGGGGAGGTGAGCCACCCACCAGCCGATCAGGACTCCCACACGTCAGCCCTGGGCGGATTCTGCTTCATCGTGCGTTCCTCACCTCATTCAGCGTTTCACGCCTACTGTGCGAATGAGGAGGAGACGCAGGCGGCCATGAAGGCCACATACAAACAACACGGAGTCATCGTCGACCCGCACACAGGTCAGCTGTCTTGTCGGTCACACAGACCATCCCATCCGTCCACACCTCTCCTGAGCTGTGTGCCGTGCGGTGCCATCTGTGTGCAGCTGTGGGCATCGCCTGTGCCGACCAGTTCAGGACAGAGCACCCACAAGATGGTACAAAACTAACGCTAAAGACCCATCCACACAACCATACAGACAGACAGACGGACAGACAGAAATGTGTTTGTGCCGCGTGCAGGCAAGCGCCACCCACTGGTGTGTCTGGCCACCGCCCACTTCGGCAAGTTCCCCGACGGCGTGTCGCGCGCCATCAATAAGCTCATAGTCGACGCCAGCATGCCTGAGGAGCTCAGCAAACTCAAGTCGCTGCCGCAGAGATCTGTGGTACACAAGACACAATACACACAGAGAGAGAGGAGCCAAGGACAAACATGGTCTGTCGACCTACCAGAAAGCTGTGTGTGTGTATGTGTGTATGCCAGCCGATGCCGGCAAGTTCCAGGAGGGTCGCGAGATTCCTGTCGGCCAAATTCGACGTACGTATGTGCGGGGGGGAGAGAGGGAGGGAGGGAGGGAGGGAAGGACGTGTCGCACGCTCTGTGTGTGCGTGTGTGGTGCACAGAAGAATCGGTGGCTGCCTCTAAAGATTGCCGATAGGCTGGGCGAGCTCATCGCAGACAACTGGTATGTGACCAAACCGACGGCAGGGTCCCACAGGGAGCCCACACACCCCGCCTCTCTTCATGTGTGTCTGTGTGTTTAGCGTGACGGTGTCTGCTGTGGCCGCTGCAGCTCTCGTGGCGGCGGTTGCATTGGCCTTAGCAAAGAGGAAGTGACTGATGGCCTGTCGTGTGTGTCGGAGGGTGCATATGCATGTGGTGTGTGCAGCTTTCGTGCAGCCAGCCAGCCAGATTGGCTGAATGAATGAAGTTTTTCCATCCATCCATCGGGACACAACACCCTTGGCTGTCTGTGTGGTGGTTGATGCGTATTGACTAAGTGGAGTGTCTTCATACACACCTTAAATAACCCATTCCCCATCCACCTCAGCAAAGTCACACACGCGGGATGGCATGGCACGGCTAAAGAGGTCACACACCGCACACGCACGAAAATCGCCCCGCAGGAAATCATTCGCCCCCAATGTATCCATCCATCCATTCACACAAAGACACACATACACACACACACACGTGTCGACACACATCAAAACGAAGGCCGGCCGGCTGATCGGTGACGCCGGCCGGACAGATAGGCAGAGAGACAAAAGACATGAAACGGAGCTGACAGGAAAGATTGAACGAGCCCCGTGTGCCGGGGGAAGATGTCTGCCTCGGACCTGGCACAGGCAAGAAGTGCAAGTCGCGGCAGACCTGCGCTCGTTGTCTGCACCACCGACGGGGAAGACATCTTCCCGCTGCAACACACATGAGAGGCTGCATGACGGACATGACATGGACACACAGAGAGCTAGGCACGCAGCTTGGCTGAGATCGGCGAAGCCGTCTGGACTGGACAGACGGCCACAAAAACAAATAAATGCATTGATTGCTGACTAAAAGACGCAAACCAAACACATTTATCTCCCCCACTCTCCTCTCTCCCTGGCTGCTATTCACATCACACATCGCAGCACCCCTCGTTCTTTGTGGTGCTGAAGGACTTGGATGCGGGCACCTTCATGAGGTCCGTGAAGAGTATCACCCCCACGGCCAGGCCCGACACGACGGCAAAGAACAAACCCACGTCAAAGATCATCGCAATCTGACAAACAAAGACACACACACACACACACACGCACGCACACACACACAGAGAGAGAGAGAGAGATGGTGAGAAGAGCACGACGACAAATAGATCTGGTTGGCTGTACTGACTGACCAGCATGAGGCCGTAGTCGAGTGTGAAGGAGAGGAACGCCAGGCTGAAGCGCATCGCCAGTCGGGCGGCCGTGTGCGCCGGGAAGGCCTCCTTGTTGCTCTCCCACGAGTTCTCCATTTGCCCACGGTACAGCCGCACAAACACGGCAAAGATGGCACAGAAGAAGACCGCAAAGATGCTGCACACATCACATCACATCCACAGCCGCATGGCATGGATGGGCGTGGGCGGCATGATTGTTGTTTGTGCTGCCTGCCTTACGCGCCGGCGTATTGGCCTCCGTTTTCGGTCTTCCACTCCTCGAACAGAATGACGTTCTCAACTGCACCACCACAGAACAGACACACACAGACACACACACACACACATCAAGTCAAGAAGGCAGGATAGGATCCTTCCATCGCTCGTCCAGGCATCCCATTTGCTAACCTCCCGTTCGAAAGAACATGGGGTGTCCGCCAGCATGTGAGCTGTGGTCCATGCCATGCCCGCCATTGGTGTCGTTCATTCCATTCATGCCATTCATGCCGTTGTGGTTGTGGTTGTGCTGACCAGCCGCTCGGTGAACGACGGTGGCGAAGGCAACGGCTCCAACGAGCCAAACAAAGATGAATGACGATGCACTCATCTTCACACCCCTTGTCACACCCAACACCGTCAGCGTCCTGTGCTCGCTGACCGCCGCTGCCTCAAACCTTTCTCAAGATCCCTTTCTCAGCATCAAAGCTGCCGATCGCTAAGCTCGCCAAGGAACGAAGGAGAGTCGCCTTTCCGACGCTGCGGCAGGCACCATGGGGGACACCGACATCAACGACGACATCATGGCTGCGTTTCTGAGCGAGATAGAGTCTTTGCCCAAGGAGGGCGACAAGAAGAAGCCCGACGCGTCGGCGGCGGCCAAGGCGCCCTCGTACGAGTCGCCACAGAAGGAGGTGATCCGGCTGACGGCCAAGATATTCACCAACTCGTTCGAGATATTCAAGCTGACACCCGACGCCACAGAAGAGGACCTCAAGAAGGCATACAGGAAGGTGCGGCAGACAGACAGACAGGCAGACAACCACATACATACATGCGCACAAACACGGCGCATGGACGCACACCGGCGGATTGTGTTCTCTGCTGTGACTGCCTGCGTGTGGTGTGTCCACCGCAGTTGTCTCTGATCATCCACCCGGACAAGTGCAAGCATGAAAGGGCACACGATGCCTTCCAAGGTGACTGGAGGGAGAGGGGGAGAGAGGCCATCCTCTCACCATGTGTGTGTGTGTGTGTGTGTGTGTGCGTAGTTGTGTCCAAGGCCTATGAGGAGCTGCAGATGCCCGAGAACAGGGCCAAGTACAAGGGCGTCATTGACGATGCAAGGAGAGAACTCGAGAAAGTACGCGCTAAGGAAAACAAAAGACGGAAAGCCGGTAGGTACACCCAACACACGGACACACGAGCGGCACACAGAGAGATGGGCTGTGTGTTTGGTATTGACGGCAGCTGGTGATCCTCCCCTGGAAGAGTCGACATTTGACGAGGAGCTGGCGGCTCTGTGCGAGAAGAAGCTCAAGACCTTCGAGGCGCGGAGGGCGTACGCAGAGAAGACACGCAAGGCCAACGAGATGCGGGAGAAACAGGTGCGTGGAGCGGGTGGGCCGGCTGCAGAGGAACACGTGAGCTGATGCCTTTCCCTCTCTCTCTCTGTGTGTCTGTCTGCCTTTTGTGTGTGTCATTCAGCAAGAGGATGAGTTGGAGAAGGAGGAGGAAGAGAAGCGCAAGGAGAAGCGCAAGTGGGAGGAAATGAGGGACCAGCGGGTCGACTCGTGGAGGCAATTCCAGGTCAATGACGTGACCGACACATCACGTCAACACACACACAAACAAATCACACAGACAGACACACACAGATGATGTCCACCCACCTCTCTCTCTCTCTGTGTGTGTGTGGTGTCATTCAGACTGACGTCAAGGACAAGCGCGTCAAGGTAGAGGGCGTCAAGGCAGTGGGCCACAAGAAGGAGCAGCGGACGGGGAGGGACGTCGACCCCCACGCCAGGAAGCTGCCCATGGGCATCGACGAGTCCTACAAAGACAAATGGAGATAGAGAGATAGACCAGGCCAGCCGCAGGGAGACAGGGAGGGAGGGAGGGACCAGCTGTCCCTCCATCGATCGGTTGTGTGGACAGTGAGGGTGTGCTCGTTTTGGCGGCTGTGAAGGATGGATGGATGGATGGATGGAGTGGGTGTACAGTACATATACATACATACTCGCCAGCAGCCAGCCTTTACTGCCCATCTTGCCACGTTACCTCGTTTTGCGGCGGTGTTTGCTGTGCTGCTTCATCCGTCAGGTCCTGGTGTGGGCGTGTCCACGGCCGGCCCTTCGGTCGTGTGCACCACCACACCAGGGCGCGTGTCGCATGAAGCAGACAGCCAACACACGCGGAAGAACAGACAGGAGGGAGGGGGTCAATCGATTGTGGTCCTGAGTGCAGCGGAAGGAGGTCTTTGTGGCCGGCGTCACATGCTAGGAGTGAAGGTCGCGTCAGACCTGCGCTTCTTTCTGGCCTGGACGGCGAGCGATGCAGACACCTTCCGTGGCAACCGGCCGGACGGGTGTGACAATGAAAAGGTGAATGTGTCTTGGCCCATTGGTATTCAGCCGTCCTGACGCCAGCCAGCTATGCACACTCACTCCTCAGTCTCACCCACAGAGATATACCCCCCCCACACACACACATACATACAAACATGTCGGCGCTGTACAAACACAAGGACATTCACGCACTCAGTCTTTCAATATCTGCTGCTGCTGCTGCTGCTGTTTTAGCTGGACATACCGGCTCCTGTCTGCTTCTCGTGTCGCTTCATCCACTCCTCCTCTCTGCAGGCAGCTGTCAGGGAGTGGGGCATGCCCCCAACAGAGGGACGCTCCACTCCCTTACAACACGCAGAGAGAGGGCCAGTGGATCCAACAGACCGAGAAACGCAAGCTGCCCACTACCCACACAGTACGGATCGGTACCTATCAACCTGCCTCGCCTCGAGTGCACTCAGCCAACGGTTCTCTACGCGCGGCCCCCTCCTTTGCTTTGCTTGGTGGTATCTTGGATGGTTCAGTGTTTGACCTGTTTGCTGTGCACCTTGTGCTCGCTGCGGGGGGGCTGGTACATCGTGTTGTCCTGAACACACACACACACGTGTGTGTGGGCGTGTAGTGAGTGGATGGCTGTCGTGTGACTGACCAGTCCGGTGGCGATGCAGCGCTCGACGTTGCGACGCAGCGTGTCACGGCGCTCTGAAACATCGACACGCACACACACATATGCCAGTGAGAGTGAGAGTGGATAGATGTGGTGGTGTCACCGCGTGCGTGTTATGTCATGTACTTACAGTCAGATGTCAGGCTGACTGACCTGCGTCGCACTGAGTGAACCACACCTCCAGCCGTATCGTGGCCGCAGCTGGGGTGCGGCTCGCCTGCAACTTGTCCACCTGTGCACAGGCAAGCATAAGGGATTGCACGCCGCGTGTGTGTGTGCGTGTGTGTGTGTGCGTCTGTGTCCTGTGTGTTGGCTGGTAGTGCGCCAGCCGACCGACCATTCGAAGGCCCGTGATGATGTCGTGTGGCTCGATGGTGGCCCCCACCACCCCCAGCACCAGGTTATTCCAGTACTCGTCGATCTGTGCTGGCTCACACTCCCTCGGGCGAATCTGGAACTGGAAATGACCGCCGTCCGCGTTCTTCGGATCCTCCCACTTGGGCCGAATAGGACTCCTGAAGGCACACACAGATGGATGGGAAAGGTACATGAAGACATACATAGCCATCTGTGTGTGTGTTCCGCTTGCAGCCGACTGTATGTGTGTGTGTGTGTGTGGTTGCTGGGGCATACGCACTTGAAGAGCATGATGGCGTCGACCGTGTGAACGCCGTCCGCCCTCTCGCGAACCATTCTGCATGGACCACCACACGCCCACATGCGCCGAGTGTCCGCTCCTCCCCTTCTTGACCGTGTTGTGTTCCTCAATTACTCCCTCACTTTTTGCCTTCCACCAGGTGGCTCGGCTGGGGGAGATGCTCCATCAGACGCCAGAAATGCTGCACACACACACACACACAACAGCAGCAGCAGCAGCAGCAATGCAACACCCCCCCACCACCAACCCCATCCCCCCGTCATGCCGTCCATCGCACCTGAACTGTCCTGAAGGTGGCGAACTTGTTCGTCTGGTTATCGTAATTGTCTCCCCTGCTGCCGGGCTGCTGCCCCGCCGTCTGCAGCTGCTCCCACATAGACCACTCATCCATCAAAGGCAGGTCAGCGCCCAGTTGCCAGTCGGGGTGGGGATCTGCCGTGGCAGCCATGGCGCCGGCAGACGTGACGGTGGCGGTGGGGTCGATGTCGATGTTGGCTGTGTTGGCAAGGCTCTTGTTGAGCGACAGGAACATCCGGTCATGGCGCACACCACCACCACCACCGCCAGATGAGCCCGCCATCTCCTACACACAAGAGGGTCGATGGTTCATCAGGGTCCGAGATCTCCTCTTGCTGTCCTTCCTGCTCCTCACCTAGCTATGGAAAACCTCCGCGATGCATCCGCCACTGGCAGCCAAAAAAAGGGGAAGGAAGCGGCGCAGAATGATCGACCCCTTTCAAAAGGCAAGCAAAGCCCTTCGATGGTGACGTACACCGCTGCATCTGCCCAGCCTGTTGATGCTTGCTGCTTTGCCGGCCTCGCGGAGGCCCTCATCACAACACCTTCCTCGATGGGTGCGGCACTTGACTGAGTGGGAGAGGCCATGGGAGGCGGCGGTGGCGGTATCGGACAAGACGCAGCAAGCCAGCAGGCCGTCCTACAGCCCTGCCGAGGACCAGCCAAGCAACTCATCGCACCAACTGGCCTTCTCAAAGCCCGAAGATATCGCCACGTTGGTTCATCTCTCGGCCCTGCAGGAGAGGAGGCGGGCGTCTCGTGCACCACAACATGGCGGCTCAGCGGGGAGGCGGCGCGCGATGCTCAAGGGCAACGTGAGCGGTGCGTACGAGTGGTATGCGGCGTTGCTGAGCGGGGATGAACAGATGGTGTGGCGGGTGGGGTGGCCTGGGGGGGTGCGTGTGACGGGGGGGAGGTGGGGTGGGGCATTCGAGAAGAGGATGACCGGGCTGAGAGAAACACTCAAGGTACTTCCTGTGCACACACCAATGCAGATGACATTAATGACACCCGCAATGTCACCGATCAATTCCCTCCCCGTGTGGCTTGCTGGTTTCTCAGCGCAAGATTGGCGACTCGAACCTCATTGAGCTGTCCAAGTACTTACATGACTGACTGACTGACTGACTGACCACAGACACACTGCTGCCATGAATGTGCAACACCTTGTGTGTGTGTGTGTGTGTGTGTGCAGGGATCATCCTGAGGTGGCAGCAGAGACCACGTCAGTCCTCCTGCGGGCCCTCGACAAGTGCATCGCCAAACACATGGAGCAACCAGAGAGGGAGGAGGATGAAACCGCCACAGCCAGCAGCAGCAGCAGCAGGGATGACGACAGCACCACCGACCCCGACCAAGAGGCCGCCCAGGACAATCGCGACAACGACAGGCAGCGCGAGAAACGGGTGGCTGATGACGGCAGCGAGGGAGTCGATACCGACGAGTCGATGATAGAGGCTCTCTTTGATGACATCGATCCATCTCTGCCGCGTGAGCGCCTGTCGGCCGCTGCTGATGACGTGATTGGGGAGGCCAGCGCAATAAAGACATCGCCCCGACAGCAACACCGTGAGGGAGACCACCCGAGTGAACTTCGCGACCCTGTGGACACTCGGCAAAAGGATAAGCGGCAGCTTGCTGATGCAGGCGAAGACGACGAGTCGCAGATGGCTTCTACTGGCGGCCTATTTGGCAGCGGCGAATGGACAGCCACCACTGCAGACGATGAGATGGACAGCGCGGCTGAGGCCGTCGAGTCAGCCTTCTCACAGCTGTCTCAGCGGGCGGGCCAATCGCAGGCCATCAAAGACTTCACACCAGGCCTGGACCTCAAGTCGGCATGGCACCTCCACGACTTCACCATCCCACGTCGGCTGCGAGACCGGCTCGAGCGGTCCGACAAGCTGCGGCAGATCGTGGATGACATCGGCAAGGACCGCACGGATGACGCCCTGACGCCAAGAGGTGTGCAGTTGCGGCCTCCTCGGGTGATGGTGGAGCTGCCGGGTGTGTCTGGCCCCATCAAGTTGCATCTGCCTGTCCAACGATCTGCTGCGGTCGATGCCGTCCGAGCTGGCACTGCTGCTGCGGCCTGATGACGAGAGGATGAGACACCTGGCGCTGGCAAAGGTCGCCGAGGGGAAGGTGCTGTCATATCAGATGGAGGGGAGAGTCGCCATGGAGCTCAGAGACCGCGCCGCCATGGAGGCCGTCGTGCCAGAGGGCGGCGGTGCCTTCGTCCTCTGTCTGGACACATCTGCTTCGATGATCGGCCAACCTGAGCTGGCGGCCAAGACCATCACTTTCCTGCTCGCCTCACGGGCGATGCAAGAGTGTCGGCCGTTGGCCCTTCTCGCCTTCTCGGGTGCTGTCGACGTGCCGCGGCGGGTGCTGGTGATGCCGCAGGGCACACGGACAGGCGTCGGCGGGATGGAGAGCCACCAGGGGCGTGTGGCTGGTCTGAGGGCGCTGTTCGATCTGCTGTGCGGGCGGTTCGGTGGCGGGACGGATCTGAGGCAGCCGATGGACATGGCCATGGGTGAGTGGGCGGTGGGTGGTGGGAGGGGCGTGTGGTGTTGAGTGAGTGAGTGGTTGTCGTGTCGTGTCGTGTGGATCGTTCCTCCCCTCCCCTCCTTCCTCCCTCAGATTTGATCGAGCAGGAGGAGCCGTTCAGGAATGCTGACATTGTGCTCGTCTCGGACGGCGTCTTCGCACTCAACGACACGTACACCACCCCACACAACACACACAGAGAAGAAGAAACAAGATAGGCAGATCGATCAACTACAACGTGTGTGTGTGTGTGTGTATGTGTCAGGATGGTGGATCGTCTGAATGTTGCCCGTGAGCGGCAGGGCGTCCATGTGCACGGTGTGATGCTGGGCGGTGGCGGCATCTACAACTCAGACAACGGCGTGGCCTTCCATCAGTTGTGTGACGAGGGCCAGCTGCATAGCGTCAACCTCAACGCAATGGACTGGTGAAAGGAAAGGCGGCCGGGATGGCCATGCTTGTATGCACGTGTGTGTCTGGGTGTGGTGTGGATACATTGAAGGGCAGGAGGGGCGGGATTGGGGGCAGACGGGCTCAACCGATGGCTGTGCTGTGCTAAAGTAAGTAACCACTGATTGAATTGAAGCACCAACGCAACGCTCGATCAAGCTGTGTCCACATGCACCACAAACCAGCCCATACAAGGGAGACACCCGTCGCAGCCGATCGTTACCGTCCGTCCATCCACCCACCCATTGATTCATTCCTTCTATTTCCGAGCGAGAGAGAGAGGGAGTGTCCTCAGTGCCTACCCACCACACCACACACACACGTACGCATCCACCCGACCAGACCCACCACCTGCCGCCCATGCAGCTGGCTGGCCAGCGAGATGGATGGATGGATGAGGATGAGGGATGGGGCGGGACGGCGGGCAAAAATGATAATAGTGAGTGAGTGGTACAGACCAGACGAGGGACCGAAAAGAGGCAGGCGGGCAGGTAGGCTGCCTGCCTGCCTGCCGAAAGCAAAGCAATGTAATCAATGTCAACCAACAGACAGACGACCCGACCACCCTGCCAGCTCAGCCCAGACAAGAGAGAGAGAGAGAGAGAGACAGCCAGCCAGCCATTTTGGCCTCCACCACTCACTGAAGAATGCACGAACTTTACTCACTCACTCCCCCTTCCCTTCCTGCATCCATCCACTCGCACGTTCGCCCACACATATACACATACACACACCCCGGCCCCCCGCACGTCCCCCCTCCCCGCCCCCCGCCCCCCGGTCAACCACTCACCAACCCACCCACTACCTGAACTTCTTTTTGTCAACTGGTTTGAGTATCTGGAACGAGCACATGAGTGTCTCGTCGACGCTCATCATTGCGCCTGCGTTGTCGAACTCGCCGCAGTAGTTGGGAGCGGAGAACAGGGTCACCAGCTGCCGCTTGGCCGCGAACTCGTAGCCGTCCTCGACCACCTGGTGTGCCCGGCACACCAGGTCCATGTCGTGTTTTCTCAGGAAGTTCTGCACCACGTCCGCACCGAAGGTGTACGAGACGCCCCGGTCGTTCTCCTGCCATCCGTTGATCTCCTTCTCGGGATCGGCCCACAGCAGATCGCACAGCAGCCCTGAGTCGGGTATGTCGGTGGGGCGGACGATCCGGCGGATCTGCTCCATGTTGTTGAGCTCGGGGGAGAGGCCGCCGTGCATGCAGAAGATCTTCTCGTCGATGACAGCTGCCACGGGCATGCAGTTGAAGCAGTCCGTGAAGGTCTTCCACAGCTTGACGTTGTAGCGCCGCTTGCACTCGTCGTAGAAGCCGTAGATCCGGTTGATCGACGCGCACTCGTGGTTGCCCCGCAACAAGAAGAAATTCTACCGAGACAGAGACAGACACAAACACACAGAACACAGACAGACAGACAGACATCCCTCTGACGTGACGCCCCTTGTTTTGTTTGGCGAGGCGTCGCGTGCGGACCTCTGGGAATTTGATCTTGTAGGAGAGCAGGAGGCATATGGTTTCCAGCGACTGTTTGCCACGGTCGACGTAGTCTCCGAGGAAGAGGTAGTTGGCCTCCGGGGGGAAGCCACCGTACTCGAACAGCCGCAGCAGGTCGTAGTACTGACCATGGATGTCCCCACAGATCTTGATAGGCGCCTCCAACTCCAGCAACGCCGGCTGGAACAGAAACACCTCGCGAGCCTTCATGCACAGCCCACGAACCTCAGCCTCTGATATATTGATGGGGCAATCAATCACCCGACATGAAGACACGAGCACAAAGCAAAGCGTCGGTCAGCCAGCAGCTCCTCACCTCACTTACCCACAGCCGTCTGTGGTGTGTGTGCGGTGCGCACCTGTCAGCTGGACGGGCTTCCCTGGCCTCGCGCCACGCACCTCCAGCAACTTGTCACTGATATATCAACACATCATAGAAACAGCCGTCCAGAGGGGTCCACTCACTCCCCACCCTGCCTGCACACGTGTGTGTCTCACATGACTGAGTCCACGTCGATGTCGATGGCTGCCATGGTGACAACGGGGCTTCACAGCGGACCAGGCGGCGAGAACAGATGAGGGGCCGTTGTTCGGAAAGCGTCGAGGGGCTCAACAAAGCGAGACGGAGGCCTTTTCACCGCACAAAACACCGGGGGGCTTGCGCTGTCCGTCCTCTCGCTGGGTGTCGTGTCCGAGTGGTTCTTCGAGAGACGGGCCCCCACCCTCCCCCATTTCTAGCTCGCGCTGGGAGTTTTCTCGCGATGAGCATCTTTGAGCGTTTGTGTGGGGCCTGCTGCCTCGCTGGCCGCAACAGAGACGAGGCCCCGAAGGCAATGAGTCCGCCGCCACTTCCCTCCCCCATTCAGGTAGAGGACAGTTCTAGAGGGGAATGCGCATCGTTGATGGGTGTGTGTGTGCTTGGGGCGTCTTGTTTGGTTGTGTCAGAGGAACCGTGAGGTATTTCTTGAGGGCCGCACCCTCTCGCCCGGCTCCCACCCAATGCCCGAGCTGTCCCTGCCCATACCAATCAGGCGCACGATGCTTCTTACAGAGCCCCATCACTACCGCACCCCAATGGCTTTGCACGTGCCGCCGTCGCCTTATGTGATGGCGACCTTGCCCGGGGGCGGTCCTCCGGCGAGTCCGTATGGTCTGCCTACGATGGTGCCAATGGAGCGCACACCGGGTCATGGGCGTGGCGGCGTGGGTGTGGGAGGGGTGGGGATGCCGCGAAGCCCCCTGCAGATGCAGGTGCAGGTGCAGGGGCTGCAGGGAGTGAGGAGATAGAAAGGATACGGAAGGATGGATGGGCGATAGGACAGGGAGTGAAGACAATGAGTGAGGACATCGTGACATGATGGCATGAGGTGGGATGATTGGTGGTCGTCCTCATGCGTGTCAGTCAGTCATTCATCCATTCATTCATTCAGTCAGTCAGTCATTAGGCTGTCCTCTTGATTGATTGGGATCATTACATTATCGATTCATCCATCCATCCATCCATCCATCCATAACACGGCACCAGGCGAGACACTCAATCGAGAGGGGGAGAGGGAGGGAGAGAGAGAAAGAAAGAGAGATCAGGCCAGACAGACAGACAAGACAGACAGACAGACATGCATCCAGTCACCAGTACGGGGCGGGGCGACTCGGCAGGCACAGAAAGGGTCTCGAGAGAAATGACTGCTGCAGTAGTAAGTACTGTACATGAGCCAGCCGACACCCAACCCAACCGAACCGCCCACGCATCGCATACGGTATGTATGAATGTGTGCATATAATAATAAGACGTACGATCTGATATGGTGTGGAAAGCAGAAAAGACAAAGGGGAGGGACTCTGTTGTTCAACAGATCAAGGTGCAGCGAGGCAGACAGGCAGGGAGACAGGGAGACAGGGAGACAGGTCATGTGTATGCATCAAAGAAAGCAAACCAGCAGCTAGAGACAGACAGACCAGACAGACAGACAGACCTAGGGAAACAAATTGTGTCAACCGACCGAGCGATTCATCCGCTACACATGGGCTGGGTGGGCTTCTCGTGATGCTTGCTGCGTGCGTGCGTGACGTACATACAGTACACTCATGTGCTGAAGGAGAATGAAAATGAAACACTTTCTTCCGTCCCTCTCCTCCTAGTCGCGAGCACACACACATAAATACCTCGTGGCATGCATCCATCCATCCATCCAGCCATCCACCCTTGTCTGGCCCTGCCTGGCTTCGCTGCGCTGTGCTGTGCTGTGTACCTGACCGACTGTGTGTGTTGGGGTGTGTGCATGTGATGTGCCCACTCAATCTATCACAAAATACGATAAAATAAATAAATAATAGGAACGAGCAACCACACAGCTGGCTGGCTGGCTGGCTGCGTCTCTCTCCTCTCGCCCTCCTCTCTACCTCTCTGTCTGTCTACCTACCTCCCTTGCTGCAGAACGTCTTGTGTCTGTATGTCTGTATGTCTATCTGTCTGTATGCTGTCCGTCCGTCCGTCCGTCCGTCCGTCCATGTGCGCCGCGCCCGTCGGCAGGCTCTGCCCTATAGACACCCTACCCTGTACACACAGCCCCACCCAGCTATTCACAACACACCCGGTGGTACGTACCTAAATAATGCATTCATTGACACACAAACCACATGTACACACATCACTCACACACACACATGCAGACAGACACAGAGACATGCACACGTGCGATCCGTCCATACCACCCACCCATGGATTGCGATGCCCCATTCCCCGCCCCGCCCCGCCGGCCCGCCGTTGAATTGACATTCACAACACAACAGCACCAGCCAGCCCCATCTCCCCCGGCCCTCCTGTGTCTTAACAGGCACCCTCCCCTCCCCTTCCCTCCCCCCGGTCGATGGATGGCATCGCGGCATTGTTATGCAAATGACAAATGAGCCTGTCGGTCGGTCTACCGGAGTAGCTATGTGTGCATCCATGTGGGAGATGATTAAGAGCGAGAAAGGTCTTCACCAGATAGCGTGGGTGGCTCTTATAACACCAGCCAGTCAGTGTGCGACGCGATGCGATAGGAGTGCGATGTGTGTGTATGGTCGGTCGGTCCCCAATCCCGTGTGTCCCTTTAAGGTACTTGTTACGCTCACTCAACCCCCCCACCCCGACTCACCCACCGGGCTGCAGCTTCGCCCGGTAACCGGCCAGCCAGCCAGTCAGCAAAAGAAACAGGCATGCACGGAAGCAGGCAGGAGAAAGAGCCAGAGAGAGAGAGAGGGCCACGTGTGGTGTAGTGTAGTGTGGTGTGGTGTGGGCCTAGCTTAGCTTGTCTTAAGAGGAAAAATGCAGGCAGGCAGGCAGAACAAATGGTGGGTGGGGGGTGGACAATTAAGGGCATGATATGAACTTCCTGTGTACAATCGAGAAAATCGCAGCTAGCCAGCATAGCATCCCACCCTCCCTCGCCCCGCCCCATCAAAAGCAAACCAGCATTGCATGCATTCACTCATCCATGGATCCATGGATAGATGGATCGATGGACCCCCACTCACTCACTCACAAGTCCGTCGCATCGGCCTGTGTGGTAGTGACGGTGATCCTCTGGGCGGTGGGCAGCTCCGGGGCAGGCTCCTCCTTGCCGCCCTTCCGCCGCCTCAGCAGCAGCCACGCCCCAACCGCCACACCCACGGCCAGCACCAAGGCCAGCACAATCACCACCCAGAACCACGCCGGCAATGCGCCAGTGGTAGATGCATCCTCCTTGCTTTCAGGGATCTGCACCTCCTCGGCGCCGCGGACCTTGTTAGGGGGCGGCTGGGCGCCGCCACCGGCCGCAGAGGGCTCCTCAACCTCTGGATCGGTGGTCTCCACCTCTGACAGGGCGATGGTGGGGGGGAAGCTGTCGTCGATGTTGAGGAGCCTGTGGAGGGTGCTGCTGCTGCGCTTGACCTGGTCGGTGTAGGCCGACACGAACGAATCCATCTCGCCGTATCGAGACGTGATGGCCTCGTCATTGATCCTGAGAGGGAGAGGGAGGGAAACGGTGCGGTGGTGAGGGGGGGAGGGGGGAGAGTGATGGGTGGTGTGTGAGGGTAGGGTACCTGAATATAGCGATGACGGACCCCCTTGCCAGTTTGATGATCTCAATCGCCTCTGGCGCGACGCCCATGGCGCCGCCCACAGCCTTCTGCACCAGGTTGGTCATCGCACGGACAGCTGGGAAGCCACCCTGCACACACACGAAAGAGACACACAGAAACAAACCAACCAAAAGCATCGCTGAAGCAAGTGGGTTGAAAGTTGTTTAGAGTTGAGACTTGCCTTCATGATGTCGTCATAGTTGTAGTCGAGCATTCTGATCTGGAAGACGACCTCATCCTCAATCAGCAGGTCATCGTCCTCGAGAGGCGGCGCGCTCGTCGCGTCTGTCGCCTCCGGCGCAGCAGTAGTCTGGATGGGCGACACCACCCACACACGCAGAGAGGGTACATGTCTGTCTGTGTGTCTGTCTGTCTGTCTGCTGTGCGACGGCGCTCACCTCCTCCTCAGCTGCTGGTGTGGTCTCGAGCTCTGCGAGCTCGAATGCCGAGAAGGCCGCCACACGGGGCTGCTCCAGGATGGCGGCAGACAGGGGCGTGAGCGACGACGCCAGCTTCTGGGGGATGGCTGCACACATGGATGGCATGGACACAATACCACAACCACACAGACAGGCATTGGGTACTTGACTGTGTGGTGTGGTGTGGTGTGGTATAGGCGAGTAGGTACGCACCTGATCCCTTGGCGGCGAAGCACTTGACTTCCTTCTCGGCGTCGAAGCAGCACCCTCTGGCCGTACACTCCTCCTCAGACGCCAGGCCCTCAGTGAAGCAGTCGAACACCGCAAAAGAGTCGTCAGCGCCGAACGAACACTCACCTACACACACACACACACACATCCCGTCCTGTCCTCCACCCACGCCACGCCCTGCCATGTGTCTCTGCTCACGCTCGGCCGTCTGCTCCGGCGGCAGCATGGGTGTGTCGATAACGTAGACCAGACCGTTCTCGGCTTTTAGGGGCTCACCCTCCACAGCAGCCGCCTTGCCCAGGACTCGGTCGACCTTGCCCGAGGTGCCTTCCCTGGAGGTGACCACAGGGCTGACATGGAAGCCATCCGGCGACTTGTCGAACACCAGTGTGCCCACACTGAGGGAGGGCTGCTCCAGCACCGAGGAGTCGCCCAGGGCTGTCAGGGCCTTGCTCAGGTCAAGGGTGCCCGGCACGATGTGGTAAAACAGGAACTGTGTTGGGGAAGGACAGCCACAGATGGATGGATGGATGTGTGTGATTTATGAGTGTGTGTGTTTGTCTGCACAACCTACCCTCTTGAGTGCGTCGGGCTGTTTGGCGATCATCTGGATGGTCGTCTCGTCGAGCTTCGCGAGAGCCTCGTCCGACGGGGCGAAGAAGGTTACCTTGTGGCCCAGCGACGCCAGCATGCCGTCCAGCCCTGCCTCGTGGATCAGCTCGGTGATCTTGCTCGCACCCAATGCGTTGCCCTCCTCACGCAGCACCGACAGCAGAGACGCGGGAGCCGCTGGGGGCACGACCTTCTTGGTGCCTGAACAAACACACAACACAAAGAACGCTCTCTCTGGGTTTCTATCTGTGCGTGTGAGAGGGGGGAGGCTCGGTGCTCACGGCTGGTCCATTCGCCGTAGTTGATGATGGTCTCGCCGTACGGTGCGCAGGCTTTCTTGCCCTCCTGCTCGATGCACATCTCAAAGGCCATTGGGATCTTGTTCTCCGGCTCGGCCATGAGCTCGACCTTGAGCAGGATCTGCCCGTCCCTGTAGGCCTTCCAGTCCTTCGGCCAGAATTGGGGCGTGGGGAAGGCCTTGGTGTCGATGAAGAAGGCGCCCTGGTCGAGATTCATGCCGTCCTCGATGATCTCGGCCTTCTCGTCGAACAGCAGGAACTCGGTGGCTTTGTCGCCCGCCTCAGCGCTCTGCTTCTGGCGCATGTTGTCCTTGCCGTAGTACTTGTTCCAGCCAGAGAACTCCTCACCCTCGGCGATGGCGACCGCCGTGGCCCGCACATACAAGGGGAAGGTCTCGTTGAAGAGCGTGGCGTTGCTGCATGCACTGATGCCGCCCCTGCTCGCCGCGGCCATGGCGCAGCCGAATGAATCGTCCTCGGGGTCGGCGAGGCGCAGCCGGATGAGGAACCGGTCGATGGCCTCCGGGTAGAGGGTGAATGGTGCGTCGAAGTCGGCGAGTTTGATGGGGAGCACCACGGCGTTCTTGGGGAACCGCTCGTCGGCCTTCTCGGCATCCGTCATCTTGTTGAGGGCCTCCTGAGAGAGAGAGAGCGGACAAGGCAGGACAGGACAGAGAGGATGGTGGGTGGGGTGGTGCATTGAGAGCGTTTGAGTGGTCATATTGATAGCGTGTCTCACCACGTATGGCGTGTCAACTTCAGGCTCCGTTGCATCTGACCACACACACACACAACAACAGAGACCATAGGCATGACGTCTCCCCTCTGTCTGTCTGTCTCTCTGTCTGTCAGTCAGTCTGTCAGTCTGTCAGACGTACATCGGTCGATGTTGGCCACGGCGTGGTGGGCGACGGTGCAGACCTGTGGGCAGTCGAGGTCACCGCACTCGGCCAGGCAGGTCTGGAAGGCCACGGGCTTCTTGGACGGCATGTCCAGGACCTCAAACCGCATGTGGAACCGGCCGTTGAAGTAGTCGTACGGGGCTGTCCAGTTGGAAGGCCAGTACTTGGGGGTGCCGTCGCCGCCCTCCGCCTCACCGATGTGGTGGAACCAGAAACCTGATCACACACGGAGACGAAAGGCGACCGATAGACGCACATTCTATCCCTCCCTCTCTCTCTCTCTCTCTCTGGTGTCACTTACCGTGCTGCACCTTCATGTAGTCCTTGTCGGTCTTTCCCTTGGGCACCTCCACTGTCTCGTCGAGCAGCAGGAACTCACCGCTGTTGCCCGTCTTGTTCCGCGCCGCAGCGAGCGTCTTGTTGTCCATGTAGTTGACCCACCCAGAGAACTCCTCATCCCGCGCCACAGCCACAATGCTCGCCCTGTATGTGATCGGCAGGAAGTCGTCCAGCACCTCCTCAGGGCAGAAGATGTCGCCCTCGTCGATGTTGCTCACGATGCACCCCTCCCCCTTGGTCAGGCCGTCAAGTGAGTCGAAGGCGAAGGTCTTGGTCTCGAAGCGGAAGACCGACTTGGGTGCGGCCGCCCAGTCGAACGCCTTGCCGGGCTTGTTCCAGAACTCCTTGGACGGCACGGACACCCCAGTGACGATGTGAGAGTTGGGCGCCTGCTGGACGATGCCCGCCACCTCGGAGAGGGGAGGCGGGGCACCAGCACCATCCTCTGGCTGTCCGTCTTGCTGTGGCCACTGCTGGGGGGGCTGCTGCCAGTCCTGTTGCTGCCAGTCCTGCTGCTGGCCGTCCTGCTGGGGCTGCTGCTCCGGTCCAGGTGCTGGCGCGGCGGGGGCGGGGGCGGGCTGCTGCCAGTCCTGCTGACCCTGCTGCTGGCCATCCTGCTGCCAGTCCTGCTGACCATCCTGCTGCCAGTCTTGCTGCTTCTGAGCCTTGGGGGGCTTCTGCTCCTGCTGCTTTTGAGCCTTGGGGGCCTCGCCATTCTCCTTTGCCTTCGCCATGGCCACTGCCTGGGCTGTTGCCGCCGGCTGCTGTGACGTTTTCTGCTGGGCCTGCTCCTTGGCCTTGGGTGGCTGCTGCTGACCCTGACCCTCTCCGTGACCCTGACCCTGACCCTTCTGCTGCTGCTGCTTCTGGGCCTTGGGTGGCTGTCCGTCTTGCTTCTTGGGGGGCTGGCCATTCTGCTGCTGCTTCTGTTCCTGTGCCTTGGGCGGCTGGTGCTGCTGCTGCTGCTGCTTGCCCTCCTGGCCGTTCTGGTGTGCGTGTGCCGGGGGTGGTGGGCCCTCGAGGTCGACCTCCTCTTTCTTCCCGTCAGCCATGGGGCGGACCTCGAACTTCTCGCTCTCAGTCACGGCCACCTCACCATCTGAACACACCGAGGAGCACATGCAGCACACAGACGAGTTGCTGGCGGGTACCCCATGTCAGCTTACCGTCCTGGTCGCTGCCGCTGTCGTAGATGAGGCTGTTCGGTGCTGCGGGGCTGCAAGCCTCGGCGCAGTCGGTGCAGAGGCCGCCCTGCCAGATGCAGAGCTGGAAGGCCACGGGCGACTCGCTGGGCTGGTCGAGGACCTCAAAGCGCATGTAAAAATTTCCCTTCTCGAAGTTGTGGGGCGTCATCCAGTTGTCGGGCCAGTAGGACGGGAACAGTGTGGGGGTGCCCTCCTTGCCAGTCGGGTTAATTGGGATCAGCCAGAACCCCTGAACACACAAGAGCAAAAGCGATGCGGGAGGAGAGGGTGTGTCTGGCCGTGGCCGTTAGGGGTGGTGAGAGGCGGTTGGTTGCTTACGTGGTCGTAGTTTGGCTTCTTCTCCCCTGGTGCGGCGAGCTCGACCACCTCGTCAACGATGAGGAACTCCTCGGGGTATGTGCTGCCGGCGACATCCTGGGCCGCAGCGATCTGCTCGGCTGTCTCGTAGTTGGCCCAACCTGCACACACCAAACACCACCACACGACCACACAAGCGTGTCGCCTCCTCTTCCCACACTCTCCCGTCCATCTCTGTGTCCGTGTGTGTGTGTGTGTGTGTGTGTGCCCTCTCCCTCACCTGAGAATTTTGCGCCCTCCGCAACGGCGACGATGGTGGCTCTGTAGGTCATGGGGAAGAAGTCGTCCATCCTCTGCTTGCAGTAGACGCCCGACTCCTCCAGCCAGTCGGACACCACACAGCCCGGCCAGCCCCCCTTGAGCCCGTCCAAAGAGCGAACCGGCACCTCCAAACGCGTGAAGCCCAAAGGCCGGCTGAAGTCCACAGGGCCGTCCTTGAGCCGCTGCCACCAGTCAGAACCAGGAGACGACACAGACGTCACCACGTTCCTGGGCAACGCTCCTGCAGGACACCACACACCCAGAGAGACAAAGCCGGGCCGGCCGTTGGGTTTGTTTCCTCCACGACGCTGCCACTTGTGGCCGTGCTGTGTATGGCTTGCGTACCTGCTGCTGTGAGGACGGCGAGGGCGCCCACGAGGGCGAGATTCACTGCTGCTGTGGTCACCATCCTGGGAGGCGCCTGCCGCCCCATTATCTGTGTTGCCGGCAGACAGACCACACAAGTAAATAGGGGAGAAAGAAGGGAGGGCAGGAGGGAGGCAGGCCCAGAACAGACAGACAGACTGCCAGGCCTCTTTGTTTTGATTGTCGCTTAGCGTGCCGCGCCGTTCCTCAACGCCGCTCGAATAGTGGGTGCACCTTCCAACTAAAAAATCCCTCAAAGCTCGCATCTGACAAAGAAGTGCTCCCCAAACCGCTGCAGACAAAGAAGCAGGAAGCAGATGCACAAAGAAGCGGGCCCGAGATGATGTGGCGATTCATGCTGGCGCCGCTTCTCGCCGCGTGTTGGCTTGAGTGCTTTGCGACGACAAGCAGTCACAACAGGCTGATGACCAGCCGGAGAGGCCTGCTGGAGCTTCGAGGAGGTTTCATTGCCCGGCAGAAGAAGCGGCAGATGACAGATCCCGCCGCATCCGAAGAAGATCTCAGGGCGAATGTGTTCCACCAGACGGCCGATTCACCCATCATCGGCGTGTTATTGGTGAACCTTGGCTCTCCCGACTCGCCAACCTACGCGGCTCTGTTTCGATATCTCAGAGGTACATACCGTAAGGGCATATACGCCATCCCATGAGCAAAGCAAATGGACCATTCTTTCTCTCATGTGCTGCTTGTGTGTGTGGTTGTGGTTGGTGTATACAGAGTTTCTGTCGGACACGCGTGTGGTGGACCTCCCAAGGATCCTGTGGCTGCCCATCCTCTATTTGTTCATCCTGCCGTTCCGGAGCAAGGCCTCGGCACTCAAGTACCAGAAAGTCTGGACGGAGAAAGGATCACCTCTCGTGGCAACTGCCGTCAGCAAGGCAGAAAAACTCCAAACGTCCCTGCAGAAACGGTCAGCCACCCGGGGACAGACAGAGAGAGATTGGAGGCAGGCAAGAGAGAGATGGTCTGTATGTATATCCCTCCCTGCTGCTCTGTTGGTCCAACACAACAGGCATCCTGAGTCGAAGTTTCAAGTGGACGTTGCGATGCGCTATGGCGGCAGCGGGCCCCTCTCCATCCACCAGGCGTTGCGACGGCTGCAGCAGGGCGGCTGCAGGCGGCTGCTGGTGATTCCTCTATACCCTCAGCCAGCTGAAGCCACGACGGCCAGCATATTCGACAAGCTGTTTGAGGAGATGATGCTCTGGAGGTGCTTTGTTGACGCCACACATGACATGACATGGTGCAGCTGTGGTGTGTATGCGTGTGTGTGTGTGGCTACGGTAGGTATCACCCTGATGTTCGGATCGTGAATGGCTATGTGGAGGAGCCTGTGTACGTCAAGGCAATCGCGGAGTCTGTGAGGCAGTTCTGGAAGAAACACGGCAAGGGCGAAAGGTGAGATGACACACACACACACACACACACATACAGACACACATACACACAAATGTCAGTCATTGGATCACTCCCCTCATCCACCATGCCATGCCATCCCTCTGTGTGTATGGTATGTGGCCAACAGGTTGTTAGTGTCCTACCACGGCATACCCAAAGACCGGCTGACCACAGTGGGTGATCCGTACGAGTGCTTCTGCAAGAAGACCACACGGCTGATCCGAGAGGAGCTGGGCATCAAGGTAAACCAGTATTGGTACACGCACACACGAGCGAGCTCACCTTCTTGGTGCATCGATGATGTCAGGATGGCCAGCTGGAGATGGTGTTCCAGTCCCGCTTTGGCCCTGCTGAGTGGCTGCAGCCTTACTTCGATGACGTACGTACCACAACACACACAAAGACCCACCTCTTCACGCCTGTCACTGCATTCCTTCCCTCTGCCCTCTGCCTCCCTGCGTTGGTTTGGTTTGTGTCCCTCAGAAACTGGCTGAGCTGTCAAAGGCTGGCGTGAGGAAGGTCGACGCCATATGCCCAGGCTTCTCATCAGGTGGGTGTGTATGCCCTTCACCTACCCATCCATCCTTCACACCGTCATTTGTGTACCTTCTCCCCTCCCTCGTCAGACTGCCTGGAGACGGTGGACGAGGTGGGTCGAGAGTACAAAGAGCTGTTCGCCCACCTAACGGGCGGCGAGGGCGAGCTGCGGTACATCCCCGCTTTGAATGACAGCGAGTTGGGCATGCAGGTGCTGGAGGCGGTGGTTGACCGCAACCTGAGAGGCTGGATATGATATATTATGGCTGGTGAGTGCCTGTGGGTGCGGTCTGATGGTTCGTGACGTAGACGAGAATTTTTGATAGTGCTTATTCATTGTGAATAGTAGGCAGTCCGGCTGCGCAGGGAGGCTGGCGGGCATTTGTACAGCTAGGCGGACCGGACCTTCACTCACTCACTCGCTCAGTCTGACACTGACGTATGTTGACGAGTATGTGTACATCAATCACATCATGATGTGTACATGAAGAGTCTGTTAGTGAGTGTGCTGATGCGATGTGGTGGATAGCCAGATGGACCATGCGTGTGGCTTGCTGCATGGCCATCAACCCCCTTCCTCGACACGATTCGTACTCACTCTTGGGGACGCGGGACGGGAATACCTGACACACAAACGTACACGTACACCCACACACACGTGCAGTGCATACATCCCTGCCCACCCACCGAGACGTCTGGCTCTCTCTTGCACTGCGGCGTGTTCGAGCGAGACGGCGTCGAGCCTCTGCTCGTAGTGCTGCTGCTTCTCGCTGATGTGTTGATGCTCGGCCTTCTTCTGCGCCAGCTCGTCGCGATATTTGCTTTGCACCTGAGCACGGCCTGACACACACCAGACGCACTCATGCAGCCAAACAAATATACCTTATCTCTGTTGGTCTCTGTCGCTTACGGTTCTTGTGGTAGTCAACCTGACGTTTGAGTGCATTGGTCTGATTCTTCATCGCTGCCACCAAAGACACAGGCAGACACGGAGAGAGAGATAATGAATGGCGTGTTGCCAGCGCCCCACTGGTGTCCCCGTTCTCTGATTCTCACCATGGTGTTCCTGTTTGATGTTCTGCAGTTGTGTCTTGAGTGATTCGGTGCGGTTGAGGATGGCGGCCGCCCGCTGCTGCGCCTCATCCATGTTACGCTGCTTGTCCTCTCTGACAGACACACGCAAACACACTCAGTGAGTGTGTTTTCTCTCTCCTGTCTATCGATTTGCCCACAGTGCTGACCGTGCGATTTGTAGTTGTGTGAGTTGTGTCTGCAGGTTGGCCTTCGTGTCCCTCAGCGTCTGTGCCTCGCGGAGCCTGTCGGCCCACTTGCCGTCAATCATCTCACGCAACGCACCCAACTGCTGCAGAACACTCAACCTGACACACGTGCAATGCAACACACCAGACAGACACAGAATACACCATGTGACCATAAGCCATCAAATGGCTGGCCCACCTCCCTCGCCCTTTGTCGGCGTGCAGATACGTACCTGTATTGGCTCTCCTCGGTGATGACTGCCTGTGTCTGGTCGTCGAGGAGCCGCATCTCTTTCTGCAGCCGCTCACTCTCGCCCCGCTGACGCACTGGTCGATGTCATCGAATCGACGGGTGGCAGTTAACACAGAAACACACACACACAGCGGTGAGGATGAATCGTGCAATGAGGTGCTTGGTCAGTCAGTACTGACTTTCCTCTATGGTGAGTGCAGACGTCTGTTGCTCCTTCTTGAGGCTGGTGACCTGGTGCTGGTGGATGAGATGCTGCAGCCTCCCCTCCGCACTCTCACACTCCTTCAGCTGTTGCGTCAGACCTGCAGACAGGCACACAGCCAAGATATCGGCGACAAATAGATGCCTTCATGTGAATGCCAGAAAGAAACCAGACCTTCGTTGTCGGCTCTCAGGGATAGCAGCTGCTCCGTGAGCGAAGAGTGCTCCTCCTGACAAAGAAAGCGCCGGGAAAATACGGTGAGTGTCCATGCAGTTGTGTGTTCTTCGCTCACCTGCAGTGCATCGAGCCGCTGCAACAACTCGGCAGCGGCTGCATAGTCAGTGTCATCCATGGTTTCCACAGATCTCTCGCCGTGGCCAGGTTTGTTGTGTCGATTTACGCGTGGCGCCTCGGCGATCTTCAAAAGGCGCGGCGGCGAAGCGCGTTTGTTTGGCCCGGGCGGCATGAAGCGTGTTTGTTTGGCTGCGTCGTCCATTGACCACCGCCCCATGGACTGCACAGATGACAGCCCCGCCTGCTCGCTGCCCTCTGACGTCACCCGCTCCGCCCTGCTTCCCGCACTTTCCTTCGACGTACAAAAACCTCTTGACGCCTCTCACTGCGTTCCTTCCCTCTGCCCTGGCTGCGTTGGTTTGTGTCCCTCAGAAACTGGCGGCGCTGTCGGCAGCCGACAAGACGTCGAGGGAGGCGCTGGAACAAGAAACTTTCTGGCAGAGCGAGAGCAACGCTGTCGTGGAGATTGATACGCGAGATGTGAGAAGTGCCAAGGACACGACCGTGCATAAGCTGAGACACAAGTGGCCCGACTGGTCGGTGATCAGCCAAGGATCTGCGGATGGTCAATGGGCTCTTCAATTGTCTCTTGTGTGTGTCAGGTTGAAGGCCGCTGTGATGTGCGGCAGGAACCTCTCTCTCACAGGCGAGTTATACATCCCTGTCAGCTATGTGCTGGCATCGAATCTTGAAGAACTGACACTCACACACTCTGACATGTGGGCAAGGAAGAAAGAAAAATCCGCCGTTCCGTTCCCTGCACACAAATGTCCACGTGTGGTTTTCTGCAGCGACGATGAGGATCTGACGGCCCTGATTGCCTGCCGCCCCTCTCTCATGCGGCTGTCATTCATCGAATGCCCAAACATCACAGAGGTCACAAATGCCTATTTCCCCCC